TAGCAGCCTCGAGGCGTTCAGTAAGGACAGAGACCTTCTTGCGAAGCTCGCCGGTTTCAAGAGTGTGGTTGCGCACAAGCTCCTCCTTGTCGAACTGGAGCTGGTTGACCATGTGGTGCATCTCCATGGACTCGCGGTGCCAGTTCTCCTTCTCAGCAACAAGAGCGTCGTACTCGATGCGCATGGCAGCAAAGTCATCTTGCATCTGGCAGATCTTTTCCATCCACTGCTTCTTCTCCTCTTCAAGCTCCTCGATTTGCTTCTTTCCATCGAGTGGCCCAGGCCTAAGGCTCCGGCTTCGAGGCTGCTCAATCCTCACGACTCGACTCTTAGGATGCTGCAAAGCTATTAAATACGCTTTGCGGCGCTGAGGAGAATCCATGGTACAATCTTCTGAGATCGTGTACTTCAGATCGTCCAGGTAAGGCTTAGAGGCAGAGCTAAACGGCCGATTGTGTATGACTCTGGATGAGGGATCGCCACTCTTCTCATTTGAATGTACTTGTATATTGGTTGCCGGGGCCATCGCTGCCTGATGCTGGTGGCTTCCGTAATGTTGATCCTGTGGTGATCGTTGTACATGGTATGCTGGTGTTTGTAAAAAAGGATTCAATACGTTTTCCTGTCGAACCGCATTGCTTGCCTCAGAGAACAAATTAAGATTATAGCTTTTGAAAGTGTTAGTGTCGCCAAAGTCAAGACCGTCATCGAAGGCATTAGTCTAAAGTCATATTAGTATGATGCAATAAAGGTAGCGGGAATACGACACTTACGTCTATACCCGGCGGAGTCGAATGATGAGATGGCTTCTGGGACTTACGTCGTCGCTTTGTTGAGCGGATCTCTTCGTCTTCATCCATGCTGTTCTCAGCATCTGAATGATGACGCTTGATCTTGGAGACACATGAGGGAATTCCCACGCGTGCATCGTTTGTTCCAAGGCCGGACGTCGCGTAATCTTGCTTAAGACGCTCTTTCGTATGGGACGTGAGCCCTGACAATAGTTCTCTCCTCCTTTTTTCAACCGGAGCTTGTTTCTTTGAGAACGTAGGCACTGCTGTCAATTGCCTCGTACCTAGTTCTTTGCCATTCTCCCAACCATCGTATACTGACTCGTCCTTCTTGGTTCCAGCTTGCCTGCCGAATATTGGTCGTGCAGCATCGCCACCGTAGGCGTTCTTGCATCGGGATTCTGCCGTCTCGGTGAACTTCTGCATAGTTGTTCGTCGTACAGATGGCGTCAAAATTCGGTATGGAATAGGAGGGCTTAGCACTGGTCATCCAACCGAGATTCAGAGCCTGTTGTAATGTCTGCTGGCGCACTTTTGGCTATCGCGTGGCCGCTTGCGGTCTCTTGAGACGCACTGCGCTTGCTGGATTCCAGCTTTCGATGACGAGCGGAAACGGCCAAGCGTTGGCCGGGGTGCTAGATGTTTCTTGTCTCGGGGTCAGTCTTTTAACGGAGCTTCAAAACAGTCCCAGAGAAAGCGCGAAGTAGCCGCGCAGGTATGGTCATTCCGTTTCTACGACAGCGTCATGCGTCAACGTTTTCCGAGCAACTCCGTGCAAGTAGCGTAAAAATTAAGAGGGAAGTGAACAGCAACTGTATCATCTGTTTGTCGGTGACCAAGGTAGCGTCGATGTCGTACAAGAAGATATTGTGTAAAAGGATGGCTCGTTTGGCGATGAATGCATGTGCGTAGACGTGTACGCAGCCTGCATGTTTTCGGCAAAGCCCCAGCCTTCCTGCACAGCCCGCTTTCTCAGAAGCTGTATGAATGAAAGCCAGCGGTGGCTCACCATGATGGACCCATACTTGTTAGCAGCAACTCATACTCTAATCGAGAAGTATCGTAGGTTCGACATGTCTTCAATAGTGATGCGCAACCACTCGTCCTGGTATACAGCAGCGCCAGGTCAGGAGTACGGTCAGCCAATCATACGGAGCGCAGACAAGGCTGACATGTATAGGAACCGAAACATTGCAGCGGAAGCCTATCAAACGGCCATCGAACATCTCAAGAATGAGCTTGGAATATCTCTGGAAAATCCTGTTCCTAACATGTTCAATGCCTCTATAAAGGATGTCGTCGCCATGGTGGAGATCGCCAAAAAAGAATACGAAGACAAGAACATGGAGCGCAAGCATACGGGTATGAGGCAGTCGCTCGAAAAATTGTCTTCGCGCATCATGCACTATGGCAAAGTCATGGACACTCTCGCGCAGCACCACCCTGAGTACGTCGCTCTAGTTTGGGGTGCTATGAAGTTCGTTCTGACGGTATGCTACAACCTACGCAAAGCCACTTTCTCAACCTCAATGCTGACTCATCGTCTTAAAGGGTGTAATTAATCGTGCCAATCTCTTCGAGAAGCTATCACAGGCTCTCATCGTCGTTGGTGACATGCTGCCACGAATGGACCTTAGTGCAGATTTATATCAAACCGAGTATATGGAAGCCGTACTCTCACGGCTGCTCACGTACATTATTCTCTTCTTCCGCCTGTGCGTCCGTTGGTATACCAAGAGTCCGTTCGGTCGAATATGTTCCGCCATCATAACGCCTTTCGAACTTGGGTATCAAGACCTGGTGGAGCATATCCAGGAGTGTTCAAAAGCAGTGGATGACCTCGCTAGTGCTGGTGCTCGAGCTGAGATCCGTGATGTCCACAGTTTAGCCAGGCTGCAACATGCGCAACTCCAGCACGTTGACGTGAAGCTGGTCAAAATGCTGGAAGAGCAGAAGAAGTTTGAGGCGCATGTGATTCAATTGCTTCAGGTCGCAACCTTGCACAAAGGTATCACAGAGCGAATAGGCGTCGACATCTGTGACGTACGGCAAACAGTATATCGTGTCGAGTTCCATGGAGTGATCCAGTTCTTCAAGCCGGAAGTATTACCGGAGACAGCACTGGTTAAAGTTCAATCATTCGCGCGACGGAACTTAACACCAAGTCTGCCTAGTCCTACCGAACAAAGAGCGCGAAAGACGATTCTGGATTGGGCACTCGGAAAGGGATCGCCGCTCCTGGTCGTGCAGGTTGGCTTTCGTGCACAAAAGCAAGCGAAAGAATTGGCGACGAATGTGATCGAGAGCCTAAAGCAGAATAGCCAATGCGTGTTTTGGAACTTGTCGTCAACTTCCACTTCTTCAAGCGCGCACACTATGGCGGAGCTGTTCAGGAGCATCATCTTCCAAGCACTTCAACACTCTGGTGATCTGTTCAGCAGCTTTTCTGAGCAACTACATCTCTCGAAGATCAACGCCGCTCATACAGATCGCGAGTGGGTCGACCTTATCTGCCTCCTCTTTTCCAAGATACCGACAGCTATCGTAGTAATCGAGACTGAGGCACTCCAAAAGGCATACCAACATGACCTCAATTGGAGCAAACAACTTTCCGGGTATCTCCAAAATATCGTCGAGCGAAGCTGCGCAGCAGGATGTGAGCTGAAAACCCTCCTGGTGTTGTATGGAGATTCTCATCGGTTCGATCCGACTGCTTCAAGCTCCCAGCGCGTCTGTGTCGCGAAAATGCAGCCGCCAACTCCATTACCACCACATTTACGGCATGTGGCGCGTCGATCAGGTCTGAAAACTAAAGGATGGAAGATACGAAGGCCTAAAGGACGAGATCAGTGATGAGTGTCATCAACCGTGGTCCGGCAGAAGCTGTATCATTTTCGGTAGCTTCTGGAAATTCAAATGTGTTACCCTAGGCCTTTGGTCAATCACTCGCTGTTTGAACGGATATCGAAGCATACATGGTGCAAAAGAAGCCTAAAGGTTGGGCCGTGTGCGACAAGATCGATGTTGAGTTCAGCATGACGGCACGTGACTTATCGATACGCACCTACCATCGCGCGAGCGCGCCTTCCCGTCCATTTCGCGTCTGCATCATCATTTCCTACCGAACCCCATCCACCCACACCTCCCTCACCTCCCAACATCCATCGCACGCTTCCTCAGCTTTTACCCTCATACTGTCACTGACAAAGTACGACACGACAAAACATGATGCTGACAACATCGTTCTTCTCGCACGAAATGCCGCACTATTCTGCATATACGCCACCGCGATCATCACCACTCTCTGAGCGCTCTGCAAATGCAAGCCCACGAGCCTTCAACTTCACAATGTCGTCGCCCCTCAAAGAGAAATCCGCGATGCCGCAACGCGCCTTCAAGGCCAATCCGGTGATGCAGACGCGCGACGCCACCACAAAGCGAAGGAGGGACATGTTCTTCAAGCGCGTCCAGAACAATCGAGACGACAAGAAATGGGAATCACGGGGCGAACAGGTATGTAAAATCGACCCACATACCTCACGAGCAGCGATACTAATTGACGATGCAGATTCAGCAATTAGACTTTGTGGCTGAGCGCAAACGATGGGAAGCCCAAAAAGCGCGTCAAGCACCTCAAGAAAATGATGATATTATCGAATACATGTTGGACGACGCGGAACTTCCTGAACTTCCGAGTTACGCGCCTCAACACGATCCCGAGATGACCGAAGCCGATTACGTCGCTGCACAAGAGGAGTACGAACTTGAACAATTGATCGCGTCGATGGAGCAAGAATCGGATGCACGATCACAGCATTACGGCAGCGACGATGACGACTATGACGCGATATTCATGGAGTGCGCGACGGCGGGGCATGATCAAATTCAGCAGCAACCGCAACACGCACAAGACGCGTTTGGAGGTGAAGACATGATGGACATGGACATGACCGACGGCTGAAGGCTGTTCAGGAAAGGAACATCGACACGTTGATGATATTGGTCTCGGAATCACGGCTTGAGGGCTTTGTACATATTGTAGGACAGAAATGTTGGCAGGTCAACAAGATAGATTACCTGGGGAAGGTATCATGTATACATTGGGTATCTGGAAAGATTCAAGCAGACGAGCTATCACACAAGGAGATTACTGAGTCGGGCAGCCCTGGTCCATATCCTGAAGCGCCTCCTGCGCAGCGTTCATATCGCCGACAAGGTCGGGTGGGGGAGAGCCAGCTGCTTGCATCTAGATAGCATTAGCACCTTTTCGCATCGTGCGTCAGAAAGCAATCAAATACCTTCTGCATCCTCTCGACAATGTACTCCCTGTCCTGCGCGTTGTCGTCACTGTACCCTTTCCTTTCAAATCTCCCTACAATCTCCCTAACCAAAGTCTGCTGCTCCTCGTACCTCTTCAGGTCGTCCTTCTCCGTCTTATCCTTGTTCTTCTCCATCCACGCTGGGAATTTGTCGTCCAGCTCCTTCATGGGCTCGTAGAGGATGTCCTTGTTGGTAAGCTGCTCCATCATGCTCATGAGCACTTTACTGAAGTCTTCGTCGCCGCCCTCGCCCGCGCCACCGAAGCCACCAGATTCCATGGATGCGAGCATCTGCGCAAGGATGTCGTCTTGGGACGAGGATGCGGCTGCGGAGGTTGCGGTATCGGAGGAAGACTGGATGCGCTCCATCGTCTTCTTGATAGTTTCCTGGAAGCTCTTCTCCGCCTTGGCAGCGGTTTCCTTTTCGGACTGACTGGGTGCCGCCTTCTCCTTGGTTTCACTTGCACTTTCATCAGTTTGCGCATGCGCATGCAAATGTCCGGGATCTGCCAGTGGGTTCGCGCCACCCATCTCCTCACTCATCTCCTTCATGATATCCTCGAACTGTTTCTGGAAGTCGCCTTGACCGAGCAGCTGTTCCATTTCTTTCGTCAACTGTTCCTGAAACGCATCTGGGTCTTCCATCATGAGTTCGGCAGGAGAGATGTCCGAGGGTGGCCTTCCGGGCCCGGAGGATGACGGCGCATTGCTGGACTTGGGGTATGCTGCTTCTATCGACGAGGCGGTAGGAGCTTTGGCGTCTAGCTTGGTGTTGGCGAACTCATCGAGCACATCGTCAAGGTCGGAGAGGTCATCTTCTTCGGGATCTGACGCTACCTCGGGTGGAGGGGCAGTGGTAGTGGTTGGGGGTTTGGCAGGCTCCTGCTCTTCTTTCTTCACGGCTGCGTCCGCCATGTTGCTTTAGACCTACTCCTAGATATAGGTAAAGGCTACTTGAAGTATAAGTAACAGGAATGGGAACAGGTGAGGCAGATCGAAGCTGTTTGGAATAGGCATGTGCCATGTCAGCCTCGGCCCGTGATGTGCATTCGTTCACATAAGCGGGGCAACAGGCCAAAGTCTAGCGCGGGGCAGATCGCGCATCGCACCTTCCACCTCGCGACGGGATCTAGCCCGAATCCCAACGCTGCGGCGCCCGATAATTGTTGTCAGTCACGTGCAACCGTAACTCGACTTCACCTGGCTCTCCAAAGTGTCTCATCTTCACCTTCACCACACTTCCAAAACACATCGAACGCGACGCCACACCTTGCAGTCCGTTAATCTCAGTTTGCGACATCCGGACCCTTCTGCCTCGGCCACTCGCTTCGCTAATACTCCATTACACAAACCCACCCGACAAGCTAGAGGCGCAACAGGCTTATACCTACAGCCTCACCATGTCTCTTTGCGTAAACCGACTCTCAGAAGAGAGGTATGCGCCATTCCTTTTCAGTGAATAATCTTTTTGCTAACTCAGACCCCAGAAAGTCATGGCGACGAGATCACCCCTTCGGTTTCTTCGCAAAGCCAATGCGCGGCTCCAACGGCATGATGGACCTTAAACGATGGGAATGCGGTGTACCTGGCAAGGAGAAAACTATATGGGAAGGTGGCTTGTTCAAGCTCGAGGTCACATTCCCCGATGAGTACCCGACAAAGCCTCCGAAGTGTGCGTCCACGACTTCTTATGAGCGGCCTCCGTTCCTTGGAATTCTCACAACATCTTCATGAATGTCGCTAACGCGCAAATCAGGCAAATTTGTACCCCCGCTATTCCACCCAAACGTCTACCCATCCGGCACCGTCTGCCTGTCCATCCTAAACGAGGAAGAAGGCTGGAAGCCCGCGATAAACATCAAGGAGATCCTTCTCGGCATCCAATCACTTCTCGACGAGCCCAACCCAGAGTCCCCAGCGCAAGCCGATGCATTCAACCTTTTCAAGAAAGACAAGGCTGCGTACGAGCGAAAGGTCAAGCAGATCGTCAAGGAAAACCCAGCGCCGTAGGATGCCAATGAAAAGACGAAGAAACAGCTCGAGAAGGCTGATGGAAAATCTGACAAACACGCTTTGGCCGGATTGAGTAAACGAGAAGTACAAGCGATTGTCTGGCAGATCGATAAGCTCTTGGGTAGTGTCTAGGCGAGGGCAGTGTGCTTCTGCATTCTTTGCTTTGACTTTTTAGCTTCGGCGCGATCAGTACAGAACGTTTTTGGCGAGAATGATGGGGATTCTGGCGTTTGGGGCAGCAACCGAGCATAGCATGGGTGCTTAGATGGGGAGAAAAGCCCTATGTGGCTATGATACCTGACTTCTTCCTAGTCTTCTGGCATATTGCCTACGAAGTAATATTCATGATTTACACATCTCCGTTGACTGTTGCTCAGGATCCCGGTGCGTTCGAGACTGGAGACATGAGATTACCGTAGCGATGGAGATCCGTAAGAGACCAAAGCTATTGCCTTGTCCGACCAATGTAATATTCGTATGTCAAAGAAGATACCATGCAACAGAATGATGTAAGATATATTAAACCCATCTGGTCGTCCAGAGTTCCGGTGATAAGAAGTCTAGCAGCCCAATTACTGCTCCCTCACATGTTCCCAACAATCACCTTAATAGTACAAGTCTCAGTCTTACAAATTCCACCACGACTCCCATCCAATTTTGTGTGTCCCTCGCCTGCCCTGCCTGAAGCCCCAATAGTGATAGGAAAGGCGACCAAAGTCTCGTGGTATATAGTGTGTGCCAATCTCGTGTCACACCTAGTATGGACGGTATGCCGATCCGCCTCTTCCGCCGCGGTATCCACCACGGTAGCCGCCTCCTCGTGGAGCGCCGCCGTAGCCGCCACCATATCCGCCACGTCCATACGGTGAACCGCGACCGCCGTATCCGCCTCGAGGGCCACCACGGCCGCCGCGTCCGCCTCGTGTCATACCGGGGAGGTTCGTTCGCTTGGGGACGACCTAGGTGACAGTTAGTTTCATGCCGCAGGTTTGGCGTAGATTGTTGTGTGTCTCGTACCTTTAGATTCCGGCTGCGGAACTGGCTGTTGTCGAGGACCAAGGCCTCATTGACCAGATGTGGTTCTGTGAACTCCACATACGCATACCTGCATACGCTCATTAGCGTTCCGATCTTTCTGCCAAACTCTTGCCAGGTAGCGAAAGTTACTTTCGCGACTACTGTGACTCCAGCGCTACGCGACTAGTTGCGCATGAACTGTTAAGACAAGAACAAAAGTTGAAAATGCGCAAATCTTCAAAGAAAACCTCCTCTTAGTACTGACCCTTTAGGATGACCGGTGAACTTGTCCAGCAATATAGTGACACGGTTGATGCTACCAATGCTCTGGAAGTGTGCCTGGATCTCTTCGGGGCTCGCGCCGTAGTCGACATTGCCAACAAAGACACTTCGCGCGTCCACGTCTTCTTTACTCTCGCGCATTTCGTGGCGCTCGAGATCAGTCTCGCTCTGCATCTGGCGCAGCTTCTGGGCCTCTTCCTCCATCTCTTGTACGCGTCGCCTCATTGCTGAGATCTCTTCCTGTATTGCGCTGTTAGCATGCTGCCCTTCATGACCAGACTTTATATGCGCGCGCAGCTCTTGATGGTGTCGTCTCTCCAAAGAGTGTCCCAAGCGCGTCGATGTGGATTGTATCCTACCTCTTCGTTGGGGTCTTCCGCGGTATCGAGGCGCTCATCCTCCTCGCGCTTCTGTTCAATTTCGGCGTCGGACATGGTGGTTTAGGAAAGGTTGAGTATCTGGAAGGACAGTTAGTAACCAAGAACCATTTTACGGGCCGCCCTTGACTTACCGGGCTAACGTGAATGTTCCGGGCCGTGAATGGTAATTAAACAACGATCGTTGGGCGCTAATATTTCACTCTCAGTATGATTAAACCGAGCACCAAATGCGACGACGTGTAGATGACCGGTGCAGTGTTCGTAGGTTGGAAGACAGCTGACGGAAGTGATGGTAATGTTGCTCATACGAAATGACGAATGGCACTGGGGAAGCTCGTAGCGCGCCGCTAACAAGGCAGCGGAGCCTCACTTATTATGTAAGCACGGGCCATGTTTGCAGTTGCGACACACAAAGACCAACGCCTTCTTTATTCCCCTTTCACTACGTAATCATTGACGCTTTGAATCATAGAGCTTGCACTCTGCTCTTCACTGTCAATCTTCCAAGAGGCCAAGCATTCCGATCTTGTGCGATGCAAAAGGCTATCCGCAATTGCGTTCTTTATCCCGAATGTCATTGTCACCCCCAGTGGTCCTACCAGTCTGCAAGCCGGCTACTTTTATCTGAACTCTCTTCTGGCATGCAAACAGCCACATAATAATCCTTGTGCGGAAGGACTTGGCCCGCCTCGGTCAGCTTGCTTAGTTGGTGCAGGTTTTGCAATCCACGGGCCAGAAAGTCTGTTGGCAATTGCCCGAGATCGCAAGATTCTCTTTGCTGGTTGACGGGTGGGATACGATACTAGATAAATCAAGCCAGCTTGGCCGTTTGAAATTCATCAATAGAGTAGGGTATGGCGCATAGTACAGCAAGCGTTTGCTATTATAACTGACTAATAGCATTTTCTCAATATAGATCGCGGATGCGGAGCAACTTTGGATAGAGCCTCGCTCCAAGGCAGCGCCTAGTAGACGTCCATATTTGAGAACTAATTCATTCTCCTATCTCCGAGTCATTACAAGCTCGTTGTAGTGTTTGCGTTCCAATCTCGATCTCAGCAGCGGCTTATAACCCACTTCATTCATCTTGTGCAGCAAATCAACGAGAAATGCCTGTGGCAAGTCTGGCATTAGAACCTTGTCATACGCGTCCATCTTATAGACAATATTGCTAATAGCCCAAAGGTCGACGTAAAGGCGCAACAACGGATCGTTCCCGGCGAGGTGTTCGTAAGCGTGAATGACACGACGGCAACTAGGGTGCCATCTGTCCAGATTGTGGATATCCTTGTCGAAATAAGCATCTATCGGCGCGGACTTCAGGCCAGCAGCTAGCAGTCTGTGGGCCAGAACACAAGCTCGGCACGCGATGGCCAAGCCACTCTTGTAAATGTGTCAGATGTATTCCAAGTCTTCCCTCAAAGTGCCCTGGTACGCCCAACCAACAAACACATCAAAGGCATCGGTGTCAACGTCGAGGAGTGGAACCACGCCGTCATCGGTTCCTCTGAATGCGCCAGAAAGTGCTCCGCAAAAGTAGCCTGAGTGGTGTATGAGAAGGCCGGTGTGTAGGTTGTACTCCTTGCCGTCCGGACCGGCTTTGACGACAATGGTGTTTGAGCCCGCCGCCATGCTGTGCAAATGTCAGTGTTTGGCTGTTCCGAACTAGGAAGTGCATACCTAGGACGAAGCACTATGCCAGAAGACGAAGACATCATGCAACCCATACGTAGTACCGTGTAGGGATGGTTTGCGTCGAGCCAAAAATATGATAAGATATGTGGCAACGTGTTGTGTTGTTTGAACGGCGCGAAGGTCTTTGTGTTATATTACAGCGCAGTTGCGAGGGTTTGAACGAGTCATCGCAGTACCAGTGGTTGATGTGGACTCGACCAAAATACGATAGAAGGGGTAATCAGTCGACTATAAGACTCATGATTAAGCATGAACTGGCGTCATTGCGTATCGTGAGTAATGACACAAAGTGGAGGACTTTATCAACTGCCCATGTGGGCCAGAAAAAGATAAAAAAGTCGCACGACATGATTCCTGTGCCTTCGTATCCTGACTTAGGGTTTTTCTTCCACGAAAGCGTTGATCTCCGTAGCTCAGGCTTAGTTATAGGCATGTCAAGTTATCGAATGTCTTAAAAGCTTCTGATACAAGTGGGCCAATGGGCGTAGCCTGATTGCAATGGCTGTCAAGTTCAAACAGCTTTACTGGAGAGGATCATATTCCCGAGCAAGCGGAAGGTTAGATATTTGTGCAACAATTGAAGAAAGTTTAGTGTCTAGCGCTCGAAACGATGCACGATCGGTGACAGGGTGTCTAAAGGAAACCAGTAGACTGGGAAGAACACTCGATTATAGAGTTTGGGGAAGGACTCTTTGTTACTGAATACTCAAGAGTGTGCGCTGAGCTCATTCGCCAAACTATTTCTGCATTTTAATCTTACACACCGTAGGCTCTACAAAGACTGCCAGACGTGGACGCACAGTGCGCAATGATCATCGCTGAAGTCAAGAGTAGTGGGAAACCATGTCCATTGTAGACTCAGCACGGTCCACGAACTCGCGCAGTCTTAGTCCGTTTGCTCGTTCATATACCTGGTCGACTTCACGGATGACTGGAGCAAGGCAACAGGGATGTTTTCGATACTCTGGATTGCGAGGACGGCGTTCATAACGGATGTGTCAATCTGGAGCTTTAACGGACTTGATGCCATACCGAAGTTTGGCGAAACTGAGTCCGGCGTAAGGTGCAGCTGGTCGTGGTGACGATATGGCCATGTTGTTCATTTGTCTTGCGAGGGCACCAAGAAGCATGGAGCCACATTCGAAGGAGCATTTCTCGTCCTGAATACAGCAACAACCGCTGCAGAACTTGTCGAACCACTTTTAGCAGACACTTATCGCTCCTTGGATCAGTTCTGAGCGGCGAGTTTCTATTGCTTCTACCAAAGTTAGCGCTTGTCAGTATAATCTGGTGGATACCACTTACGAAGGATAGCTAGTGTGATGCTCAATTGCATGCTTCGTAGAATCGCCTCATCGCTCTCTATTAAAGCCCTAAAAGTGGATACAGTGAACTTCTTTTCTAGCTTGAACACCCAAGAGATAAGTATCATAACATCAGATTGCGGCCATAAGTTTGCGGAACTGAGCATATTGCCCGCAGGTGCGTTATCCAGACATCAGCAATCAAGTCGAAAGCCTCCCAGCATCTGTAGTAATCCACTAAGATGGCAATCTTAGCAAGGAGCTCCAAACTGAGTGACTTTCGCACCTGACGAAAACGGAGATGTAAGACGTTCAACAATATGTCGAAGGCTTCCGGATCCCAATTTGTGGTATTTACATGATAAAGGCCGTCATTCCGCTTTAGGTTCTCTCACCATGATGTCAACTCACTCTTGAATTTCGGCGAAGCGCATACCAGGTGCTGTGATGAGACCTGGTAGACAACATCCGGCAGAGCGGCTTGCCTTGGTACAGATTGGTTTAGGTCGTCTGCAGGTATATCGGGAGCCGCATCGTTCAATGGCTCGTCTTCATGCTCATCTTCTGGATCTTTGGTCTCACTGTTCTCTTCGACAGCCTGATCCCAGACAGCAAGTGGTGCACCTTGATTTCGTAACGTGAAAATGACATCACCAGTGTCAGCTATGATGATACGTTCACTTGAGGGCGACGTCATGACGTGTTGGGAGGTTAGTAACCGTCCTGCGAAAGATCTTCTCGATGCCTGAAAGGTAGTTCGAGTTCACTGTTGAGCTAAGCGACGAGGCGTAAACTGATAGCAGACGAAAGAATGTTTGATCGGACACGCTATTGCGCTTGCTAACTCGTTCTCACCAGTACTTGACCACAACGCGCCTTTCACCTGGTTTCATTATGCAACAACTTGGTTTGTGATATTACCGTCGTACTTCCTGTTACACAATAAACTAGGCATCGCGAAGTTTGTCTTATTCTGCGATGTCAGTCATGTATTGTGTGCCCATGTGAGATGTGCAAACGAGTAGGGTACCGTATCCCCACTTCCCGATCCATTCGCGCTAAGTCGCGTCTCCCCACGCGTCCAGCAACATCTATCTTTGGAAACCACCACCACCTTTGCCATCTCATCCAACCTTGACCTACAAAAGTACTTTCCAGCAGAATGCGATAGGACCGCACTCGATGCAATGGTGCAGTCCGCTACCAAACTGCACGTACATTCTGAACCCTACTTATAATCCTCCCCATAAGGATACGCTATTATCCTAGGTCTACCTCAGGTGTGTACGCCACAACGCACTGTCTGGGAACATAAGCTCTGCTGGGTGCCTCATCGGTCAGGCGGATGATGCGCACCCGGATCTGCAAAAGCAAGTGCACCTCGTAGAAGCATCGAAAGCTAAAAGCATCGTCCTCAAACCACTACACATCTATTTAACCGCTAGCTTCTCAACACCGCGCCATCCAGCAAAGTCTAACTGAGCCGGCACGCGGCTATCGTATCATTAATTGCCGAAATAAGGCAACCAACCTGCCTTCAAATTATCAATCGCGTTTCAGTACTATATCTGAAGATCTTTGGAAGATCGTTGACTCCACGTGAGAAACCAACCTGGATAGACGGCAACAGCAAGCCGAGATATCTTCAGAGGTACAAGGCTTAATGACTTCCGATTGCGTAAACAGACGAATCAGTGACACAAGAGCAGTTTGAGTGAAGAGGCTGCGACAAACAACACCATTGATAGCAAAGGCTTGACAAATACAGCGAAGACGTGGATGTAAAAAGTATGGTTGTCAGCTTACACACCATCAACCTACACACCCTTCTGCCACGTGGACACCATCTTCGCTCAGCTTTCTTACGCGTCTTTGATTGAGGCTTTTCGCCCAAGACCAGATCGTCTTCCTCAGCCAGCTTCATTATCGATATGCCTCCAATCGGACCGAATGGTCTAACCTTACCACAACCACCTAACCGCTAGACTTTCCACCTTCCTCCCTTCCCCTCCCGTCCGATTGTTCGCATGCCGAAGATTCACATGGAATCCACAGCACAAGTCCATTTCATCACCACATGCGCTCCGCTGTCGTCCTCATCACACTGCAACCCCACTAAAGGCCCGGAGAAATTTTGCCCCCACGGAGTACATGCCCACTAGAGTAGTAGCGTGAGACAAGCCGAATGGGTCCAGGGCGGTCCATGATAAGCGGTGGTTTTGCGACAATTGCAACTTGGGCCGAACAGCGAATGTGCTTTTCGGTCGTACTCTAGGTAAGGTACATTTGCATGGGAAAGAACAAGGCAGTATTGCGCATGTGTCGACAAGGATTTTCGGTGGTTTTGTGTTTCATAATTGCAGGGCGGGTCTTGTTAGAGTTGTGGTATGCATATGCAAGTGTGGGGTGTGAGACAAGAGCTTCGTCGTGGCCCAAGCTGTATCGTGAGATGACGTATCAGGTGCCTACAGTATTTTGTCAATCAGTCGCTAGCAACCCAGAGTTAGAAGGTCAAGGTGCTGAGAAGACATTACTGTTATAGACCGACACAACGAGTAACGTGGACGTAGTACGAATGTACGTAACCAAAGTGTGCGACATGTATATGCATTATCATTTAGAGCTGCCATTTTGGCTGTGCTTTCGAGTGGACATTCGTACTCAGCCCGCCAGCCTTTTGCTCCTCGTTCAGCGGATCGAAGCCCACAGTGAATACTTGTGCCCTCGGATGTGCCTCCTCGTCCTCGTTCGTCAGCTCTTGTGTGCTCGTCCCATTACTCTTGATACTGCATGGTCTGTCCTCTCCCTTCATGTGCTCGAGCTCGTATGTGAGACCGTAATCATCGACGCGCTCCTCCACGACCTGGACCTCGTAGCTAACGAAAATGGCGCTGAATGACTTCTCAATGATGGGCCAGAAGATGGGCATTGAGGCGCAGATGATGGCGAGATCAATCTCGAGACATGAGAGTATGATGAGAGTGGGTGACCACCAGGTGTAGTCGACGTAGGGGGAGGTTGCACCTTTGGTTTCGACGATGCCATGGAGTCGCCATACTGATGTTCCGACAACGCTGCATGTGAGTTAGCATGGAATGCTTGCTTCTTGAGTTATGAGCAACTTACACAGCACCAAAGGTGAACACGCCAGCCATTGCCAACACATTCTTGTAGCGCAAATTTGGCGTTCGGAATAACACCATAGGCGCAAGGAAGATAAAGATGTCGAACATCATGTTGGTGGCCGAATGCGCTTTGTAGATAGCGATAAAGCTATCCAAATCTCCAAGCCCAAAGCCATAGCACTTTGCCTCGATGATGCGATTCCAGTAGCCGCGGACTGGGAAGCAGGGGAACCAGCCAGCGAAAGAAAAGCCAATACCCCAGAGAATCACAGCGACAAGGAGGCCAATGCAAACCCATCGCATAGGCCCCGACTTGAAGATGCGGAGGTATTGAAGGAGAAGAGCAATCTTGATCACTGCGCAGTTGGTGATGTATATGGCTAGTTCGATGTAGTACAGCTAGCTTGGTCAGTGAACCATACATGTCAATCAAGGGAAATACACACCTTCAAGTATTCTACTAGACGGTTGTAGCCAATGTACAACATATGGTGACCGAGTCCAGTATTGACCGAAAGACACATGACAACAGTCGCTGCAGTGTTCAGGGACTAGAAGACGAATTAACTTTGTGTCATCGGTATCAAGCCACAACGAAACGTACCTGAGCAAGTAACACGAAGCCATCATCCCAACCCACTTCCTTCACGATCTTGATGCGGACCCAGAGACGAAAAATGACTGCACACCATGCCACGATCTAATTGCGGGGTTAGTAGTCGAAGCATTGAGTGTGATCACAGAATCATACCAAGAAGGTGAGCGTAGTACCGAACATAGTCGCCTTGCGATTTGCTAAAGGCAGCGGCTCATCTGGATCTGGGGCGTCCAGCAACATCTGCGTATACATTTCCTCCCATGTTGCCATCTTGATGAACGTCTTGATGTCAACGCCAGCGCCGGCGCTGTTCTGGAAGGTGCGGAATTGTTATAAGGGCTGTGACCCACGCCGCACGGCGGGACCGCAAGCCCTAATGACTGACAGGATACCGTCTGCCGCCTCCCACGAGGCTACTGTGGGCGATTCAGGGCCGTTGCCAAGCACGAGCTTTATGCCGTCCACACAGGGCTAACCCAGGTGGAGACACGCCGGAGGCTCCGCGCTAGGTGATAAGCGAACTTCGATTAGCGGATGGTTGCATTTGACAGGTCCTCGCCCAAACTCTATGCAGGGGTGTCGTTGAAAGACACGCGACCTGGACGACCGATTTCCGACCTTTAGGATCCGCTCCACATGCTGCTCGTGCGTGCCACGATCGTAAGTTCCACTACGGCGGTGAGGGCGTTGCGCAAGGGATTGCTTTTGTACCTTCCATGTATCCGGTAACCTTCTCGCGTGCACCATTCAGCTCCCGCTTACTGCAGTTGTTGATTCAAAAGGACTGAAAGTTGTGTTCGTCTTTGCTCCGAGGTATGCTCGGCCGCGCCGTTCCTGAGTTGGTTCGTTCTGGGATGTCACGCCGTATCCCCTGACTCCAGGTACAAGGAGTGACATTCAAACGAATGCCGTTCGTGACGAACGCTGGTCCGGGGGTCCGGTACATCCTACACAGCCAGCCGCAATATTGTATTAGAAAAAACAGGAGATTGGCTGGCGTTTGCATCCTTCGCGTTTGCCTATGCAAGGAACACTGGGCATTGATATCATCATCAGATTTATTCTGCAACAAGAACCGCCACAGATCCTCAGGCAGGGGGTGGGCGAAATTTCCGGGCCAATTGTTGGTCTTCGACGCTATATGACTCGTCGACTAATCTTGTCTTTCTTCTTTGGGATGTGCGCTAATCGTGATGGATCGGCGCAGGATTCTGCTTCATCTCTTATGCTAGGATCCCGACCATTTGACGATGGTATAAGGTACCCACGCTCGCATTCGCGATGTGATACGCTTACATTATGTTCCTTCAATGGGTACTCGGACGCAGCGTTCCATGGTCAGGGCGCAATCGTGACGACGATTGGCGGGAAAGATTGCCGAATTGTGTCTCAATATGCATCAGGACGATACGCGAGCAGATTCGGCGTAGCTTTAAAGAGAAAGAGTGGCGAAATAATATTCACGTGAAAGCTCATCACCCGAGGGTAGTTGGATCACTGAGGTTGAGCGACTGAAAAGATCAAGGCCGCCCAGGTGATGATGGCATCGGAGGTGCGGCACGGCCAGATACCGGCTTGGCCTCGATGTCCGATCTTGGACCCCTCACATCACATCTTGATATTACCAAACATGAAATGGGTGAGAAACAGTCCTCAGATGTTTGAACTACTCGGTCTTGTAGGAAGTGCCTGCCTTTTATTTACTTTTTTTTGTTTCGTTGGATATCCGTAGGATGAGATGCGAGTGGCATGCATCGGCGGCTCTCGACCGTTCCTATCTTCGTTGTCGATCCAAGTACCAGGATTGACCTAGAAAGCATCTAGACGCTGAAGCACGAGTTCACCTGACCTTCTGTCGTTGCTTCGTACAGGCAGGACGTTGTTTGAAGCCCGGAAACGTTGGGGGGACCCCCAAGCCTGGACACTACTACGGCCTGAGGAATTTTCGAGATATGGCACTGATATGTGGTCGCTGAAGAACAAAAGACTTGTTCGCCCTCCTTACTCTCTTGTTCTCCTATTTCAAATATCTTCATGATAGCACCCCGCACGAGTTTTGTTCGAGGCGTTTGAGTACGTATTGCAGTGATACCTATGTAACAGTTGCTCGGACTCTCTCGTAACCCTTATCGGCATGTTATTTCTTTGCAGACAAGATTCCTTCATCAAGCGCGTTTGCTCTAAATTCGGTGTTTCCTCCATCTGATGGCCGGGTCCCGACAGATATTCGCGCCTTCGAAATCTCTCTTGAACTATTCTTGAGGGCTATCAGAAGTCTCCTAGCACCAGACGAGGGCAACCACTTGACCAGACGCATCTTGTACTTCATGCAGAGCCCATGGTCCTCAGATGGGTTCGCTGAGAATGTCTGGCCAAGTCTGTAACAATGGGCATTCCACCTGACTAGACTTGCCATATATCGATCATCTGAGATGCTAACATCCTTCTCCCTCGAGACGTTCCCAAATGTCCCAAAAGAGAACGTCATCGAAATTCCAGATGCATGTTTTGTCTTGTAGTGTATCAAGGGTGGCATCAATACTCCTCAATATCGATCGATATGGGCAAACATCGGAGTCATATCACAACCATGACTTTCCAATCTTGACCCACCGGCTTTTGTGAGATGGCTATATTGCTACTGTTTCGATATTTGAGTAATGTATCAAGTCGGAACCCAGAGATTTAGTTCGACAATACAAGCCGCGATTAAAAATTAGCACTGCGGCTTGTTATCTTGAACCTCGCCCGCGACCTGAACGACTCTTCAACGCAACCCCAACAATTCCATACCACGGAAAATCGACTTTTGCAAAGTCCTATGACTGCATCCCTTGGACCGAAATAAAGACAAGATTGCGTGCACAGTAATCCATGCAACAAACAGGGTCAAAGTCACCCACAATGGAACGGGTACTGACCGACGAACCGGAGATGACGATGGTCACTAAGAAAGGTACACCCTTGTTATAACATTCGATTCATGATTCATGATTCATGAATCATTGGTACGGGAAGACGACCCTGAACCCTTTCTTCCACTTGTTTCTTTCGCTATCTGATGACTGTACTGCGCTGTAGGACCTCGGTATGTTTTTACAGCGGCCATTCATTCGGTACACAATCTCCCGTATCAGATTCATACACACATGCTGACGGGGACAACTCCACATATTATGTTCACAAAAAGGTAATACAGAACGCGTGTACAATGATAGTGACGCCGCGTGGCACTATTGGTAGTGCTGCTCACAGTGGTCTTTTCCCATCAAAGAATCCTAGACTGGATGTCGTCTTCAACTGACTCGGCACCAGCTTCCTGAGGACCATCATCACGGCCTCCAGCTCCTGTTCGTCGGGTTGCCACAGCGCGCGAATCTCCTCCCATGCCTTCAGTGTCCTCTCCGGAGTTGTACATCGTCCAAATGCTTTGAGCACCGCGATGACAGCGAGACTAGAGAGCCAGGTTCGCTCCAGGTTCTGGTTCAGAGATTGCAAATATTGGTGCCATATCTTCTCTAATCTAAAGGCGGTCCAGGAGGTATAGCGGACGCCGCCGAAGGAGTTGAAGCCCTGGAAGACGACGATGAATATTGTGCCGTCGAGTGGAACGGAATTCCACTTCATCTCTTGTAGCAGCTCGTTCACACGGTCGATGTTGCCGGCTACCGCTGCATGATGCCGTATCAGGATGCCGTATGTTCTTGAATTGGGACCAATGGGCGCAAAGTCTTGTAAATGCTTCAACTCTTCGTCTTTGGCCTCTCTCTTCAGTCTTCGTGTCTCGTCTCTGAAGCGCAAGCCCAGAAGGCGACCATGGCGCCATTTGCGGTTGAAGAATACGTGGCCAGGCGCGGTGGTGGTCCTCATGGCGTGCAGGCGCTTCATGCGCTCAAAGACTTGTTCTGCGGCTGAAGGCTCACCAGCGCGCATCAGCGCTGCTATGACAGCGTTCATGACAACAGTGTCTACGATATCTCCCGCCGAGACTAGGTCCAGGTATGCTCTCCTTACAGCATTCCCATTTTGTAACACGCCGTAGTAGTAGAGAAGTGCTACACGGTAATGTCTGTGCATGGGCACTTTTCGGTCCTGCATCTCTTTCATAAAGGTTTCGGCTAGAGAGTATTTGCCCGCTTTGACAGCAATGTTGAAGAGTACGTTGAATGTCACGTAGCCACCCTTGAGACCGGCTCGGCGCTCCATGTCGTGCCAGATGCGAAGGGAGGCTTGCAGGTCGTCTTCGGACACGGTGCCCATGGCGCGACCAGTCAGGTGTATGGCTGAAGTCCACTCGGAGCGGGTGATGTGTATGTGTGCGGTTTTCATATCGTCGAGGATGGAGAGGAAGCGTTGGGCTGCGGTGGGTGTGGGGCGTTCAACGACAGCGAGATGGTGCAGCAGCGCCCGGATGGTGGGAGTTTCGAGATAGACGACGCCGGGCGACTGCAGCTTCTTGTATGCATCATAGACGGGTTGGTGCGGTGCTTCCTCGTTCTTCAGCAGGGTCTGCAACTCGTCAATGTGCGCAGCGTCGGATGGGTCGCGGAGGGGCCAGGGCACATGGCTATCACCAACATTCCACACCAGATTGCCGTCGTCTGGAACCTCTGCCTCAGGCCGCGTGTCGATCTCCATGCCGTAGTAGTCTATCAACGCTTGCAGTTCCTTCTCGGCGAAGCGCTGGACCTTGTTGAGCGGGCCTTTGCGCTCTGGCCTTGTCTGATGTTTTGGCGGCGCTGCTTCTACCCCGCGCAGAGTGTGTACGAGGCGTGCATGGTTGGGGCATGATGCTGCCCGCACCAAGGCGTTGACGAAGCAAGTGCCCATGCGAGCAGTCGTCGGTCCGGATGGTCGCCGAGCATCGTCTATCGCCTTGTTGCTGAATCTTGTCTTGGACGGCGTGTCCTCGTGGCGTGGGTACAGGAAGGTGAGGAAGGGCCGTGCATGGGCGGTATTCGAGACAGCAGAGGTCCGGTCGAGGGTGCGGAGGAGGGACATGAGAAGTCGAGCATTGTGTCAGAGGGAGCCAGTTCAGACGTTGTCCATTGGTGATTTGGGCCGCAATTGATTACAAGGAGCTCATTGAAGAGCTGCCTAGGCGAAGGGGGGAGGGGGGATTGTTGGTGTTGCGGCGAGGCGCCTTTGTCGAATCCAAAGATTTCGGCGTCGCGAAGTCTTGGCGAAGTTGCGGACTTTGCGGGCAAGAACCCCAGCATCCACGACACGACGAATCGCGCCGCCCCAACCTGCTGCCATGGGCCGTTACGACTTCCGCCCTCTCCGGGTGCGCCAGACGGCGAAAGCCCTCTTCGACTCAAAACGAGACGTCAACCTGCCCCAATGGTACGATGTCGTAGGCAACATCCCGCCAGGCGAGACCCTCGCACGCCCAGTACTGCGCATACCAAAGATGAGGAAGGCGCGGAAAGCCAGCAAACTGTTCAAGCCACTACCCATTGAATACCCAGAAGACAAGCTGCGTTCGGAATTCTTCGGCGACCACCCATGGGAACTGGCACGGCCGAGGCTGGTCATCGAAAACAGCGGGAACGACTCCAAGAACTACGACTGGAGCAAGATTGTTCAGCCAGGGAAGCAGTTAGACGGCGAAAGGTACAACCTACCGCTTACACCACATCCGCCCCCGTGATACTGACAAATGCAGTGTCGTTCAACGCCAAATGTGGCTCATGAAGCACGCCTCCCTCTCCAAAGCCTCCGCCTACGACCTCGCCCGTCGCGAATTCTACCAACACCGTCACCTCTCCGAGATCCGCCAACGCATTGCCAAGGAAGAAGCCCTGCACGTCGGCGCCTACTTTGGCAAGGGTCCCCTTGAGATTGGTATGGAGCTTGAAGACCGCACATGGGAGAACTGGAAGGCTTGGGCTACCAAGCAGATTGAGGATGAGCAGTCGATGCGTGCGCAAATGTTCAGTGGGCAGCAGGAAGAGGGTCTGGGTGCGGGCGCTGATATGAGCAATGCCGAATACGATCAGGCCGTCGACGAATTGCAACCCGTTGTGCCAAATAACCCACAAGGGCAGAGGCCCATGGGTGGGGTAGCGGCGCATCCATAATAAATATGGGTAGGTGAAGGCATCTGTACTGATACTGTACATTTCGTGTAGATATACCATCACGATTGATTCAATTCAAGCATTCAGTGATCTGTTTATCGATTCCTTTGGAGATTAGGATAGAAATACATTTCATTGAGTCGTGGGTTTACGATCGGGCGGATCAAGCATCCGGAAGTGATCGCGGGTATGAGCTGTTACGAGCCGAGAGTGCTGCCTTCTGTACTTCCCACGACTTTTAACCTGTGGCATCTGTTTGTGTAGATCCTGGGAAGAGGAGATGGAGGAGTAATGCTGCATCTTTCACTTTATGGAGGTTTAGAGGAAAACGAAAAAAAAAAAATCCTGGAAGGATAGAAGGCTGGGTTCGCTCAGTGGCATGAATGAAAACACGATATCGAAGGAAAGGCAGATGATAGGTACTAAACATTTTATCATTACTTATTAGCAAATAGCTGTTTTAGACACATTTTTGCTTGCGGAGCAACCACTCAGATCTTGCCGAGACCAGCGCCGCTCTTTACAATCTTCTCGACCTGCTTCAATGGAGTAAGCTTGTACTTGTAAGGCGCCCTGGTGAAGTTGCCGACTTGAGTAATGTTGACACCAGCCTTTCCAAAGTCGTTCTTTGCGCCGAGGTTGGCGAAGCCGTCCAATTCGTAATCGCCATCGGGGCTAGTGTTGGGGCTGTCCTCCGGAATGACAAGTCCGTAAGTGCTAAGAGCCTCGCGTGTCTTACCCTTGAAGACATTACCTTCAACTAGAACCTGGTTGTCGCTGCGGGAGTGGATGGCTTGGTACAAAAAGTCGACGTAGAGGTTGTTGAAGATGTGCTGGTGACCAAAACGCCCAGCAGGGCCACGGGTACCCTCGTTTCTCCAGTAGTTGTGGTGGTAGGTGACGTGCAAGTGACCCTGGTCAACATCTCTGAGCGCATCGCTGTTGCCAACAAGGGAACTCTTCCAATGATCATGGAAGTAGTTCCATGAGACTGTGATCCAATCCGCCGCGCGAATGATATCGACTTGGCCGTCGTAAGCATCAGGGCCAAGAGCAGGGAAGTTGCCAGTAGTGAACTCGTTGTGATCGATCCACACACGGGTACTGTTACGAATAGTCATGGCGTCATCGTCAATGGCCGTGAAACCAATGTTGCGGATGATAACGTTGGTTTTGTTGAAGATGTTCAGGCCCGAACCAGTGATCTGAGCTCCCTTGCCGACTCCAATGACGGACTTGTTGGACCCAACTTGAACTCGCGATGTGAGGTTGAAGCTACCCTTGGCGTACACAACTGTTGGCTCACTGCCGTTGACAGCCTTGATGAACTCGGCCACTGTCCGAACAGTCACACTCTTGCCATTCCTGCCAGCACCGCCAGTGGTAGGTCCAATTGGATTGTCCTTGGCAAATCCGACCAGGCTAAAGTCGCAGCCGGCGGGAGCTGCAGTCGCAGAAAGAGCCAAGGAAAGGAGTGATAGGATTGAGAGCTTCATCTTGAAGTGTAGGAGGGGATGCAGATGAAATCAAGTGATCCGATGCCGATCTACCAGCGATGTCAGTTACATTTTATATTCTACCATTCTTAAGCGTCGGCAACCAAGGAGGCACAATGTAGCCATGCAGTCGGCTTCCAGGCAAGCACTTCAGCAATTCTTCCGGTAGAATGGCTGATGGCGCATTGTCACACAGGCTCGAACATCTCCCAATCGCGCAAGTGCATGCAATATCTCCTGTGGCGATGCTGTACTTCATCTTGGCCCATCTTGGCGGGCGCATGTTCCGCCTCAGAAAGGTAGAGCACAGTGTGCAACGGTAGAATGGTGGCTTGATGTTGTGGTGTTGAGTGGTGGAAGTATGCATCCCCAGATTTCCCCGTGTATGCGTGGCTGAAAGGCAAGATCGCCTACTCGGACAGCGGGGAAAATACGGGGGATTCAGCTTGGCGCCAACTTCCACCAGCACAGGCCGCGGTGCCTTGTTTTCTTATTCCACCCTGCCTTGATCACCTTGCTACTATCGTGTACTCTAACCTCTAGAAGCGAGATGAGCTTTAATCAGATACCGTGCTGCTCGTGGTGCACTGTACTTTCCCTACCAAAGCTACCGAGGCAGGCGCTATACATCACATGTCGAGGTAAACATCGCGTCAGGTTTGCGATGATAACACGCTGACATTACCAATCGCCCTTGCTGTCGATGAAAGGACATTATGCAAAGAACACTGGTAGCGTTTCGACTGTGCTGTTTGTCCCACCACCTACCAATACTGCGATCGGACGCCTTACCCAAGCTTACTGCAACGATTGTGCAACTAACTGCGCGTCGACTCAGCATCTCATTCTTTAACATTATCATGCGACAATGCAACAAATGATAATACCGCATAGGCTGAAAGGGTTACAACAAGACCTTTGTCTTGGTGTCTTCCACTCATACACAAAGCCAGAAAGTGGAAATGACTTGCACAAAGTGGTTGACTAGATGGGGTTTTGCGAACTTGGTGCACGCACTCGCCATCTCAGACGCTTTTAGACCTTTTGCTTTTGGCGATTAAGAAGCCGACCAAACTGATAATCAATACTACCAACTTGAAGTGAACGAGTTAAGGATAAGCCATGGAAGGAATCGACTGCGCATATGCGATGTTGAGCGACCCAGCCTTACTATCGCTCTGTCATGGAAGTATTGCTTACGTATCATGCAGTCCCAACGTAAAATGCGTTTTACAGAGGAAGCGGGTTCCCTGGATAGAATGGCCTGGAGGTACCTTCTTCCCAGAATGGAGGCTTCCGCCACCGGGAGCATGGCCTCCAAAGCCAGAACACGATGCGCCTCAAGAAGACCCTCCGCCGCAAGAATACCCACGTGATTGCGAGTCACGATGGAAAACACCTACCCACTTACACCAACCGAAGAGGAAACTTCGTGAGCAGGAATATGAAGTATCTGAATCAGAGGGACCGCCTTGTGTAACGCGTGAGGTGCAACTAGTGGGTCCTCATCCAAGGTTGAGAAGAGCTGAGAAGAGTGTAGTTCTCGAGGTAGACATCCTCAAGCAGTGTAGGCAAACTAACCTAACACCCTTATCCACTCAATGGCCCGAGCCACCGTGGCCTTGGCTGAAACAGCGTCCACGGAAACGAAAACTAGACGCGGAGGAGGTGTCAGAGGGCGAACGTAGAGTCAGCTGGAGAAAGCACTGGAACAATTTTTCGTGGAGCACCACATCATCTCTCTAGGTGAGGGTCGAGACAAAAGTAAGCCTTCTACAATTAAGGCTATTCCATTTTTCCGTCAACTCTGGAGACATCCGTCGCGACACGCGAGCCCCTGATTTACGAGGCAACCCATCTTGTGCTTAGTCATGATGAATCAAGAGATAGAGCCAGCCCAAACATCTAGCCGATGTGAATTGGAGAGTTATAAAACGACCCAGACGTTGCGGACGGGAAAAGGTGACTTTCGTAAATTTGGCGAAGTGTGGGCATTTCCGTTTCGAGGACGACGTCGTGGGAGTTCGTTAACATCGTCTTGCTGCTATTACTTGTCGTTAAGCTCAGAAATGAGATGGCTCAGTCGCCGCTGACTCTATTTGTTTGTCTTGCTCGTCTCTTTTGGTTACTTAGCTGGTCATTGATGGCGTTGTGAGGATGCACCTTGAACATCATACAACAATGTGTAGTTGGAAGGATTAGGATATACTTGGTGTGATGTAACCGGCACGTCTCAGCAAGTCTGTCAGCCGAACCTCGATTTAGATGCCCGATCGATCGCAATCGCCTTCATGTCGATTGAGAAGTGGGGATTGAGCATGGAGATGTGATGTGACCGCGGGAAGATCGCCACCTACGATGGTTGCATGCATAGCAGATCTTATATGCAGTGCTTTACATCAGAGTAATCCTGTGTGACGCACCTCTAAGCTGATAGACGGCATGTAGTACCACATCATGCGAGCTGAACGTGTAGTGGTTGGGGAGCTGAGTGGTACAAACGTGTAGAAGAGCCGATCCAGCGAGATCCGCGGACTAGATGCCGACAGATAGAGTAATGAAAAAGAACTAAGATTAGGACTAGAACGCTGCGAGGGGTGAGGTCGTCCGTTAGACACGAGGATTTTAGACTTCGGTGAGGCCGTGAATCCACACTCGCTAGCAACCAGCATCTTGACATAGAGCTTCCAACAAAGCCCCTGGATCCAAGTACTGCATCTTTCCCTGCATGTCGTGCAGTGCCCCACTTCTGGAACCTCTCCGCTGGGTATTCGACTCGAAGACAGTTAACAACATGAAATGAACCTCGTTTGTAACCACGACGATGAGTAATGAATCTTCATAAAGCTCTGGGACCTGGGGNGGGGGGGGGGGGGGGGCTGCTAGAGTGCTTAGCTTTGGGACTGGTAGCTTTCGATATAACGCTCGAGATGGTGTTAAGAATCGCAGCTCAGGCCCGGCGACGGAAACGCTTATAGCCCATTAAGCACAATCGCTGCGGTTTTCTCCCACGTGCGACGATGGGATTGGGCGCGAATTGCTCGGCAGTGAAACACTGATATTAGTGAAAGACCAATAGAGCCATGCGTCGGACATTGCAGCATCCCTAGACGAGGATAGCCTCGGAAGGCCTGCATCTCACCATGTCAGAATTTGCGTGTTCATACCCAGTTGGATGTTAGTGAGGAAGCTAACATGCCAGTGTGCTGGTAAGCAGAGTGCTATCGGGACCAACCGACAGTCCAGAAGACGGGTTTCGTATGGCACGCTAGCGGAGACAGTAACTCCGTGCATGAAACCCCAGCTGACGGGGTCCTGGGCTAGATGCTTCCGGCGTGGGGTGCGGTACAGTGTTTAGTTCCCACGTGTTGCATGTTCAAGGTGAAGACGGACGAAAGATGATGAGGTAGATCGGCGACAAATGCGTTTGATGTCACTGCCAATGCTGATGGAGCATCTGATGAACACGCCACAAAATCATAGCTATGCACACAAGCATACCAAGAGCGCGCCGAGCGTGAAGAAGCTTCGATCCTCCAGACGTGATTCGGGGCGATGTTGGGAGAGGTGTTCTGGCCGTGCTCATCTTAGCGTCTTGGCGGTGCACGTGGGCTACATGATTGGGTTGAACGTCTTCTCCTCGAGTTCCCCCAAGACGCACTTTCACCACACGAGATGCGCGACAGGGATAACAGTCAAGACCCGTCAAGCCCTTGTGGCGGCCTGGGCTGGCAAAGGCGCATTCCTACGCGTGTGTCTGCCTGTTATAGTGGAAAGGCCGAAGTGAATATTGCAAATCTATGGGCGTGCAAGAATGCGGTGCTCCCATTGGGTGCCGGGGCGGCCAGTTTGGCATACAAGCATGATGCTCAGCCTTGGGAGTAAGCTTGATAGCAGGTATATAGCTTGGCCCTGCACCCTTTACCACTGACCTCCAGCTCGCACAGCCGTCATTTCCGGACTCAAGCCTCGTCTAATCTCTTGACACGTCTCGGCGAAGCTTCGCAATGGCCCACAAGACAGCTGGCGGTAACGCCGCTTTCCACAACTTCAACAACGACTTTGCGGTAGGATGACACGGATTAGAATTCCAAAACCATATATACTGACTGGTCCCAGCACATTGAGGACCCTAATGAGCGACGCCGGCTTGCACTCGCTGAGATCGACAAGGCACCATTTGGCTGGTACCATGTACGCGCCATCCTTGTTGCCGGCACTGGTTTCTTCACGGACAGTTATGACATCTTCTGCGTATCTCTCTTGACGATCATGCTGGGTATTGTCTACAAGCACGACAACAAGGGTGTTTTGTACACCCAACAAGACACGGCTATCAAGCTTGCGACCTCAGCTGGTACTGTTCTTGGCCAAGTCGGTTTCGGTACACTCGCCGACATCGTTGGCCGTAAGAAGATGTATGGCCTTGAGCTGATTCTCATCATTGTCGCCACGCTCGCTCAGTCCCTCACTGGTCCTGGTCCCGGAACTTCAATCGTTGGTCTGATCATCTTCTGGCGTGTATTGATGGGAATTGGTGAGTCAATTCTCTGGGAATCCACATGAAAGCTCTACTGATGACTGTCAGGTATCGGTGGTGATTACCCACTCTCCTCCATTATCACCTCCGAGTTCGCCACCACTAAGTGGCGTGGTGCCATGATGGGTGCCGTCTTTGCTATGCAAGGTTTCGGTCAGCTCGGTGGTGCTCTTGTTATGCTTTGCCTGGTCGCTGGTTTCAAGGACACCCTTAAGGGAGTTGCTGGCTACGCGGACTGTGACGGTCAATGCGCTGTAGCTGTCGACAAGATGTGGCGCGCTCTCATCGGAATCGGCATCGTCCCAGCTTGTATCGCGCTCTACTACCGCCTCACTATTCCCGAGACGCCTCGCTATACCTTCGATGTCGCCCGTGACGTTGAGAAGGCAAACGAAGACACTAAGCAGTACCTTTCTGGTAAGCACGGTAACGGTAACCCTGATGCGATCACCCAAGCTGCTCAGCTACAAACCACTGCTCAGCTCGAAGTTCCCAAGGCATCTTTCAAGGACTTCTTCAGGTTCTACGCCAAGATTCGCAACGGCAAGATTCTCTTCGGCACTGCCATGTCGTGGCTCCTGCTCGATGTCGCGTTCTACGGATTGGGTCTGAACTCGTCAACTGTGCTCCAGGCTATTGGTTACGCTAGCGGTACAACCCTCTACGAGAAGCTGTACAACCTTGCTGCTGGTAATGCTATTCTGGTCTGCGCTGGCGCCATCCCTGGATACTGGCTGGCGGTCGCAACCATTGATACCGTCGGACGCAAGACCCTGCAGCTGGCTGGCTTCACTATCCTCACCATCCTCTTTATTGTATGGGGTTTCGCCTACACGCATCTCAGCCACCACGCCATGTTGGCCATCTATGTTCTGATTCAACTCTTCTTCAACTGGGGTCCCAACACTACCACCTTCATCGTACCCGGAGAGTGCTTCCCTACCCGCTACCGTTCGACTTCTCACGGCATTTCCGCGGGTTCAGGAAAGATTGGGTCCATCATCGCTCAAGGTGCTATCGCTCCCCTTCGAACCCGAGGCCATGTTACCAAGGAGAATGCCAACCCTTGGTTGAACCATGTCATGCAGATCTTCTCTGCTTTCATGTTCGCTGGTATCTTCACTACTCTCCTCATTCCAGAGACCAAGCGCAGAACTCTAGAAGACCTTGCGCAAGATTGGGATATGGGTGATGAGTCCATCACTGGTGCGGAGCATGCCGTACGCAAGGACAACCGCAGCAGCGACGAGGCTGGAACCACTGAGCTCAAGGCTTAGTTGAATTGTCAATACTCATGTCACTCTTTCTTTTCTGCCAGGCTTCTGCCTATATACCCGTCTTTTTTGTAGCATAAGTACCTAGACTGTAATTACATTCACTCAAGCTTCATCCAAAGGTGCTACTTTATTGTTATGCGTATGTTGACTATCTGTCTGCGTACATATTCACGTGCAAAGATTACTTGATGACGTGATTGAGCGTGGTTTGGCCACTCACCACTCCGGACACAGCTTGGCTGCTATCTTCATTTTTCTTATTAGCCTTGACACACAGATGGGTATGCGATGACATATGTTGGTTGTCCTCCACTCCATCCACCAATAGTTCGATAGCGCATGACAGACGAGCCACTCACATCAGCCACAAGTATAAGCAGCAACATGTCAACCAAGGTTTTATTTTCGGATATTTTTGATTGTAATAATCGCCCTCGTCTAAACTCTCTGCGTTCTGCCACATTCACTTCACCCATTTCAGAATTTTAAAGTCTTGTCGGAGGCTGCATTTCCACTCACCATACACGTTTACATCGTCATTCCATTAGCTATGAACTATTTGGAGCTAGAAGACTCCGCTTTGATGGCTCTCGAAGAACTAGGTGGGGGCTTTGATGTGCAACACGTCTCATCAAAAACGTCGAGCCCTACATCTACTCCTGTACGAAAATGTCCCAGCCGCCGGGTAGAGATTACTTATCTCCTCCGCCTCGAACAACCTTTGCCCACACCTCGAGACGTAGCCAAAGCTCTTGGCCTTTCTTTTGTACCACAGCTCGAACTTGGAACAACTGAAGACGGTGCAGCGAGCTTTTGTCGGCTCTCTCAATCATGCATCAACGCCCTTGATTTATGGGCCACGGAGCACGACTTACACCGAGGGTTCACCAAAGTTCGAATCGGTCTTGCGCATAAAGCTCTCAGGAACCTGCCTCTCAAATACCACCCTTGCATCCCGCGACTTTGTTCGATGGACGTATCCAAATTTGGGCAGGCAGATATCGAGCATTGATAAACGAGCCAGGGGCCACAGTATGTGGTCATACATACATTTGCGGATCGAGCGATCAGGAAGATGCATTAAGAACATATGAGGGTGATAGTTACGAAGTTGTAGCTGCAAGACTGATGATAAATGGAGAGGAGTTGATGGGTAGAACCTTTCGAATTGCAGGTTTTGACGACGAATTGACTGAGTAGAGACTAGTATACCTAATTCCATACCTTCGCCCAACATATTAGTTCTATCTTCTGAAATTTCTCATGTTTCCCGCAAAAAATTATGCCTGATCAAGCGACTGCGCCAAACATGTAGCGAAATACCTGCCTCTCAATCTTTGCAATTCCTCGTGGGTACCCATTTCAGCGATCGTGCCATCTTCCATGACGAAGATGATATCTGCGTGCCGGATCGTGCTTCTATATATGATGTCAGCGAGCCTTTATCTCAGTATCGGGTTAGGAGGTACTCACAGTCGATGCGCAACAGCAATGGTTGTCCTTGTCATCGCAGCCTCGTCCAGTGCCTTCTGAACGACTCTTTCGCTCTGAGTGTCCAGTGCTGACGTTGCTTCATCCAACAACAACAACCGTGGCTGGCGAATCAGCGCTCTAGCAATCGCGATGCGCTGCCTTTGCCCACCAGAAAATTGCAGGCCCTTGGACCCACAAGGGGTCTGGAGACCTTCAGGTAATGAAGCGACAAACTCCAGAACATTAGCTTGACGACAGGCTTCCTGAATTTCTGCATCAGAAGGTTCATGCTGGAGACCGAGGGCGATATTGTCGCGTACTGAACCCAGGTAGAGTGGTGGTTCCTGTTGAACAAGCGACATGTATCGCCGATAAAGCTGGGGAGACATGAGTGATATGTCCTGGTCGTCTAACGTGATACGTCCAGAAATTGGGTCGTAGAATCGAAGCAGCAAAGAAACAACCGTACTTTTGCCACAACCTGAGGGGCCAACGAAGGCGGCAAACGAGCCAGGCTTAATCCTCATCGAGATGCCTCTTAATACCCTGGATGCGTCGCGTTGCTTGTACCTGAACTCAACGTCTTCCATGGCAATGGCTCCGTCCGACGATGGCCCTTTGCCGTCGGTTTCGTCTGATTCGCGGATGTTAGGCTTAACAGTCCGGAGCCACAAGATGTAATTCGCGGCCCCTTCCGCCTTCGTGATGGAGGTACTGTACATGAAGAATTGCGCTACACCCTGTCCACCAAAGACAATGGCGATGAAGATCACAAAGAATTGCGAGGTGTTGTACTCGCCGCTCGCGATCAGCCGCGATCCGTACCAGAAGCCTAGAGCCATGACTAGAAAGTCGGCAGATTGAGAAAGCGCGTACGGGAGGAGCGCGAATGTCAGGCTCCTAATGACCTTTCTTGTGATAGCCTGGAGTGTTTCGCTGTATTGGCGCATGATCGAGGTCTCGAGAGTCAGCATGCTGACCGTTCGAATGGATGTGACAGCCTCCGTCGCCAGTCCGGCACTGCCCGAGAATTGTTCTTCTGTAGCAGCCTCAAGCTTTTGATCTATCCGTATGCGATAGTAGCCGGCAGCCACAATGATGGTCAGTCCGCCGAACACCAGTGTGAGCCCGAGCTTCCAGCCATAAGCTATACCGAGCGCACTGCTTGCTGTAATGTTGACCAAAATATTGAACATGAGCCCTAAATTCGCAGACATCAATTCTTGTAGTGCTGTAGGCGCAGACGACAACTTTGAGGTCAATGCGCCGGACGAGTTTTCCGGACGGTCAAAGAATTCCTGATCGAAGCTGATGACGCGCTCAATCATTTCTTTGCGATACCTGTGAGTTAAAGTCTGTCCAATACTGTTGCATGCAAGGCCAATTGCGAAATATGCGAAGAGATTGGCAAGAGCTAGCACGAAAAACATGAGCGCCCAAAAGTTGGCTTGCTCTTGTGCTTCAGACCCTTGCAGTGTGAAGACTCGAACGAGACGTGAGAAGATGATAGCTTGCGCTGGGTAGGTACCACCGCCGATGATTCCACCAAGGATCGTGGCGGCGTACCAGTAGTAGAGATCGAAATTCTCTTTCAGCATGATCCAGATGCATTTGGTAAGAGAGTAGCCTAAGGTTCCAGCAGCAAGGTGCTCGACTTCGCGCTCAAGCTCTGTCGTGTTGTAATGTGATTGTGTTCGTTGCAAGGCAGCTTTGCGGTCTAGGCTATCTTCGACCTTCTCCGTGTCTAGCAGCTTTCTTTGAATGTCCTCATCATTTGCCTTTGTACCAAGATCTTGCGCGCGTACCATTGCCGCATAGAGACCATCGCTTTCGATGAGTTCATGGTGTGTGCCCTGCTCGTAGATTTGACCATCTTTCATGACGACAATATTATCTGCCGCCATAACAGTGGCAAGCTTATGAGCAATAATCAACGTGGTCTTGTTGATCGAAACGCGATTAAGTGCGCTCTGCACAACTTTCTCAGCGCGAGGGTCCAAGGCACTGGTTGCTTCGTCAAACAAGAGGATTCTGGGATTGGAAACAATACTTCGAGCAATAGCAATTCGCTGTCGTTGACCGCCGCTGAGCATGCTTGCTCGCTCTCCAACTTGGGTGTGGTAGCCTTGCGGTAGCGCTTCGATGAAGTCATGTGCGTTACTGTTCTTACACGCTTCTTGCACGAGTTCCATCTGCTCCTCCGCTGGTAGATCTTTTTGGTCTCCTATCAGACCTTTGACAATGTTTTCAAAGATTGTGCCTTGAAACAAGGTCGGCTCCTGCTGAATGAGGCGGATGTTGGACCGCAACCACTTTGTGTTGTATTCGGAAATATCTCGACCATCAAGCAAGATCTGGCCAGAAGTAGGCTGGTACCACCGCTCGAGTAGACCGACTAGGGTCGATTTGCCGCACCCACTGGGTCCAACCAAGGCTGTTGTTTTTCCAGCTGGAATCGATAAGCTGACACCCCGCAGAACTTGGGCGCTCGGTCGGGCAGGGTACACAAAACGCAAATCGTTGACAACGATTTCTCCATTGCAGCTGGGTGGCTGCAACCCTTCGGTCGAGAGAGGATCGAGGGAAGACGGACTGTCGATGATAAGGAATAATTCGCCTGCCGCTGAGGAAGCGTTGGTAAAGGCTTGAAACTGTGGGAAGATGAGTAATGTTGCAGTAGCACCGAGCACAACACTCAGGACGACGGTGAACACTGTGCCCACATCACCAATCTCCCCACTTTGAAACATGCGAAAACCTTGCCAGAAGGCCAGCGAAGTACCTGACATGACCAGGAAGGTTTGACCGGAGAAGAGTACGCCGTAGATGACGGATTTCTTGTTACCTTCCTTGTGTGCCTTTTGCAGGTAAGTCTCATAACCGTCAATAATCTTCTGATGGGCTCCGAAGGCGTGAATAGTTCGGATTGAGCTGATCGCGTCCTGCGCCAGAGTACCAGCTTGCGAGTAGATTTTGGTCTGTGCAGCAATTGTTATTTGAAGGCATCAGATCGAAAGAGATGTAGGTACTCACCACTCTAGCTTCGATAGGCGCATCTAGGCCTATGCATACCCCAGTGATCAAGAAGATGGCAGGTATTATGCTCATCACGATCAGAGCGAGCTTCCATTGAACGGCAAGTGCCACAATGAAACCAGAGAAAAAGAGTGAGATGCCCTGGACGCAGGTAAACAGCTTTTCCGCTATGCCTTGATTGATCCTGTTGCCATCTAGGCCACGCTGTCAGCAATGATACCACGACTTTGATATTGAAATTCTTACTCGTGGTCACCTGAGTTGCGGCAGATCCACTACCTCCCTTGTCGAAATGCGCTACGTCTTGACGGAGCAACTTGTCTAGGAAGTCTTCTCGTAAAGCGCATGTCGTCCTGGCTGCGGCGATACATATGCAAAGAGTACCTAGGTAGCCAATAACGAAACGGGCGACAAATATGTATACAAAATAGAGCACCAGGGTGTTGATGTTACTAGTAAAAGTAGAGCTGTCCTGACCTGTTGCTTGTTGATTGAATTCTGCTGTCGATTGGCCAAAAACAAGAGTCATCAAAGGGAGGGCAGCACCGACAACGACGGCACCGGTGAGCCCAAGAGAATAAAGTACGCGATCCGCAGTACTGGCATATGTGAAGATGCGCTGTGAGAATAGACAAATCAGCTTGCACCCCTCAAATTCGACCTGATCTCTGACTTACAAAGTAATCTTTCAGACTTCCGTCTTTCTCTTTTTCTGCCTTTTTTTCCTCTGGGTCCCTGTATGATTCTCTGTCCTCAACAGCAGCAGCCTTTTCTGCGTCGATCTTGTCTGGTATGTCGATCGCAGCCAACGGCCTTTCTGTTGTCCCCTCCATAGTGTCAGAGCTATGGCGAGTTATTGAGGGAGCGTTCTGGTAGTCCACCATCGTTGGCGATGCATGAGCGACGTATGTGCATCGTTGTGATAGAGAGCGCGTGTTATTTGATGAATGCGATAGGCATGCACAACGCGTCTATTGCTTCGCGTGCGGCTCGCGAGACGGACGTCTAGGATCCCGGTGTGCGGTACCAAGGCGGCGCAGCCATCCGTTGGCTTAACAAACGTCATGACATTTCTGCGCTACCAATCAGAATTGTACTTAAGTTGCGAGTGACGTCCCATGCGCGCAACACTTGGATTGGATACTGACCGTTGAGGCTGACGTTCAGTTTCCTTTTCCGGTGTTGGCGAGAAGCGCATTGATGATGGAGCCAGTTTTGGAAATATATACGAATTACGTGTCGCGCACGCTGATGCCCGAAACCCCGGGAATACTTGGCGTTTGGAGAGTTATATCCCACAAAACCGGTGATTTCAAACACATTCGACCATATGACAATGAAAATTAGTTCACCCTCGCGATCGTCAAAACTCGCGGTTCTAGGTTGGATTGATGAACTAAGGTGAGTCCTTAATTACCAGTTTTAGGAATCGCGACTCAGTCTGCAGCTTTTATTAACATAGCTCTAAATAACTATTAATGGTTATCTAACATTTCTACACAAGTCCAGTAGTGCTTGCTTGTAAAGGTCATCCTTGGATAACCTAGCAGTTAGTTCTTAGGAACGAGTAAGTGCAATAGATAGAAGGGTGCATTAGCACGATTAGTAAACTAATAAGTGGCTCGTCGCACACGGGGTTACTGTACTGTAGTCGTCAAGCTTGCCACAACAGCAAGCCAGTTGAAGAATTTCGACCCAAACGTTATTTAAGTCGACGTCCCGAACGTCTGTGTAACACTCCACACCAAATCCCCGTCTTTAGTCTAAAACCTCTTTACTTACAAGCGCAACCACAGCTCCTCGCATGAAAAGGCCTTGCACACCTCCTCTTTCACAAGGCGCAATAAAGTCACCCACCTGGTCGCTAAGGGCTCTCTCATGGTTACAGGGAATGTGATACAACACTCTTGCGCATCGGCACAACCCTCAGGAAGAGTGGGATCGCAACGGCACGTCAAATCTAGACCAGAGCCACTACCTAACGTCGTACAAGTACCTCTCGTACCTCAGTACGAAGAGATAATGTTATCGTCGCTACTAAGCGTGAGTTGTTACAGCTATCCCATCAATAACGAGGGGGGGGCAGAACAATAGAGGGAAGTGTGGTGAGCCTAGGACGTTCTAATAGCGCGGTGTGATTGTTGGGTTGATGGGCGCGCGGTTTGAAAGATGATAGGATGGATTCCATTTACGTCCTGTCGTCTGGAGGAAAGGGTTAGTATCTTGATATGCTCGCACTGTTCGAAACATTCTTCGGTGTTACGAAAGACGTATTAGTATTAGTGGAAGGGGCTCTCGATGCGAACATGTACATAGCGCGCATGTGCACCACTATTGACATGCTCCTTTTGGAAGCGGACGATCGCGCAGAAGAAGCAGGCCAAAAGGCTCATACGTACGTCGTCAGCCTTGGCCTTGGGGGCTGACAGTACAATCACAACTAACCTCCCCTTTATATCGACACTTTCACCGCAGCGTTATTCTCCCTATCGCTTCCCAATGTCTTCACTCTCGAATTCGTGTGGATCGACGTCGATGCGGCGTGCTTCGCACGCGTGATTGCCGCAAGAAAGAAATGAGGCTTTAAAGTTCTCTTTAGCAAACGCAATCAAGTCGAGAAACTCGATACGGATGAACTACTTGTGATGAACTACGCGTTGGATGGAGATGCGTCCCCGGGGAATGAGGTTTAAGATGGGACGCTGGCTGCAAGTGGTGACATAGCGGCGACGTGCATGAGTACAGTTGCTCAGTTGCATAATCCGTTGGTAAATGATGTCAGAGGGAGGATCAACGTGCTTAGGGGTAGACGCTAGGTTCTTTGTGTCAAGAAGGGATTGAGCTTCATTGAGGGTCTATTACAGTTCTTTTGTACTGTCATTTGAAAATTTCTTCTTTGATGTCACTTAGTCCTTGTTGATGTGTAGATCTATTGTAATTATTCTCGCCAGAGAAGAATTTTGTTTGATCATGAATCGCATTTTCTTATTATTACCAAATTCCTTGCCTATGTCTATAACTAAGTGCCTAGTAGCTAAGACACCACTTTATAAAACAATCCTCCTAAGAAAAAAAAACCATCGGAAAACTTGAGATAAGCGAAGTAAGGCACTAAAGCCCTGCGAACATCGTATCCTGTAAGGCCAACGTCTCCGTGCGGTGACATCCCGGCGCCGGAAGGTCCACGCCGCACAAATATCGCCCAAACTATGCTTAGGCGCCACAATTGAGGAGCTGGAGATTGACGAGAGAGCCCTGTTGTGAGTGCGAATTAGCATTTATCCATAAAACTGAGCGTGGAAGGGGATAAATCACCTCTGCAGCCTCAGTGTTGCAGCACTTGACCTCGCCATTGCAGTTACTGCCAAGTGGGGTAACACGGCAGGACAAGGCACTGACCAAACCCTCGTTGTTGCAGCACACCTGCTTCTCGTTTCCACCGCTGCACTTGACACCGCCGTCGGCTGCGGCAGGCATGGCGGAGACGGCGAGAGCCAAGGAGAGGATGGTGATAAAGATAGATTGCTGCATTTTGAAGTTGAACTCGGAAATGAAAGGTGTTTCGAAGTTGCGAAGGATGATTTATATGGTAGTGATAGCGAGAAGTAAGGTGCTTGATTGTAGTAGGCTGTTGTAATGTTCTAGTGGTCAGAATTAAAGTTGAAGGATACTAGGTCTTATATACACGTCTTCAGCGTGTTGGAGTAAAGATGCCAGTGCACATCCTGACTCCTCTGCTTGAGCTCTTCTTTCTTTGTTTTCTTGCGCTGGTCTCGTACCATTTGGTCAAGACGCAGGAAATCTTCCAATAGCTCATGCAGGAACATTAGAATGACAGTTGTTGAGGCCATGCCACGTGCTAAGCATAGGCTTTCACGATGCTGTTTTGTTTTTGCATAGTGTTAGAAACATCTGAGGTAGTAAGTAAGGTCCGATACACAGTGGCGGAACGTGCTTTGATGTTTCAGATGTTTGGTATCTAATATCTCCTATGGGTGCACTGTCCACCTTAGCCTCGTCGAGAAAAGAAACTAGAGCGGACATGGTAGCGATCTGCGAGCAGAGAACGCTCGGTCTGCTTCAACTTCGAGCTACTTTTGTTAGTCGCTCCTGTAAGTAACGGAGACGCTCGGTGGCGTGGGCTGCAGCTGTTGTTGCCGACTTCCGCACGCCGCTCGGCTTTCATACTAAGCCCGACAAGGTATCGCCTCCCTACGGTAGCGTACCCAAGCCTTGCTACGACCGGCCTATATCTAGTAAGCACTGTTGCTTGAGTGGCTCGGAGGGTTTTAGCAAGACACCAGCCTCGATAATAGCGTGGCCGACCGCCTCGTCGACCGCCTGGAAGAAACAAAAGTCATCTAATATAAGCGCACATTATGACAGGTGTTAGATGATGCTTGTGTAGCTCTAAAACGATGGGCTGTTACGCTTTGTGCATCTACAGTGAGCCATCGACAAGTGTCGCAAGGAAAGATATAATGGGCAGCAGCATTGTCTACCTAAGTTACAGAATGTAGAGATGCTCCTTCTAGATTAGCCTCCATCCCTGCACGAGTGTGGCAACCAGCGAATCAACAATCGGCGATCTCTCAAAAAGTGTCTAGGCTTCACACTCTAGTTTCTCGTATCGAAATGCTGGGCGCAAGCGTGACCAGAGATGCCTGAGCCCATAGATATCCGCTCAGCCATAGGCAAGCAGTGTACCGGCGGATTAGTAGTCAGATGAGTGACCACGAGCGATTTCCCGCTGTTGTATGTTTTTTGGACCTTTTTGACCACCTTTCCGTCTTCCTCTGTGGCAGCTTGTCTATCGCTTGAGATGTCGTCATCGTATCCAGTTCTCTGCAATTTGTAGTATATGGACCATCCGTACATTTGGACACAAATTCAATACAATAGCTGTTTGAAGAAATAGCTACCTCGGAAACTGAGGCAGCACCAAGAACCGGTTTCGCAAACCGTCATTACATCCTTCTGATACAACGCATCCGGCAGTTTCGCGACAATCAGTGCTTCAATCGATAGGACATCGTGTATTCGCTTATCTCTATTGCTGACTCTAGGACATCCGTGACCCAGGTATCGTTGGTTACAATTGTACCTTTGCCGAGCTCGCCGAGCTCGCTTGAAAGCAAATTACGATCGTGGTATATGCTTTTGCCAAGCATACATTGTCAGTCACGGTCTGCTGCTGGATTGGAACTGAAGTAATCCTGAGCGTTATGATCTGAAGATCGAATTGCAAGGACTTTACGAGGGCCTTGGGATAATCGATCTACACCACCAGCTTATGTAGTGGCGGCAGTGCTTAAATCACCACCTGGGCGTCATCTTGCTCCAACCAGTAATTACCTATGTAGGCTCACCACAATATCAGATCTGCGTTTGTGTTCTGCTTATCTTGCAAGCATGAAATCAATCGTTCAGCAGACACCCATGAGCAACTCTACAATACACTATTGAGGCACCTGATTTTTATCTCCGGAAGTAGCGCAAAGTCGAAAGACACTACATGTACTGGCTCCTTTCAAGATATTGATAGCTACAGGTGTAGTTTTAATAAGCTCTATTGAAGGCAAAAGCAGCGTAGTAAAGCTACCTAGGTAGTAGTAGTGGTCGGTGGGGCGGAGCCGGCACAACGCCGTCCGACACGGTACCGGTCGGAAGCATCAGCATCAAGCTTGCGACGCTCAACCTCTCCACGCGTCTTCTCCAACACGGTTTCTCTCGGAACTTATAGCCTGGGCCCGATCGTGGACTAACATAGCTTATTAACTTCGATTAGAAGACTTTCAAATAAGAGTCAAGGGGCAGTATTCCGAATAGCGTCAACAAATAATGTTCAGTCTTAACTTGCAGTCGCGGCGCGCTTTGGGTCCGCAACAGGTAAAGGGAGTATATCATGTGCACTATCTCGTTTTGTTAGCACAGAGCGATCATTGCTTCAACGTATGCGGGTTATATATCGAGACAGGAAGGAAACGTGCTTAATTTACTTGCTCAATTTCACTCCACCCACACAATTTCTTCTTTTTTCTATCCCAAGGTGGCGAAGATTCCAGATTGTGCATACAACATAATGGGCCGTTTTCCCGTCCTCTTGTCCCTCTTTGTTAGCCTAGTGTTTGCTGCGCCGAGTGAGGACTCGAAGCAAACATGCTACTCCCAATTGGACGGCAAGTTGCCGTCTTTTACCCCGTCAAATTTCCACTTTAGTGGCAACGTAAGGAGGTACTACATTGCCGCGGAGGAGCTGGAGTGGGATTATGCGCCTACGGGGTGGGATAACTGGTTAGGTGTATGAAATGATTTCCTATGCGTGGAGACCTTTCATATTGACGCACATTACTTAGGTCCCTTTCAACCTCTCAGCAAAAGCTCAGTACTCAGGGTACACTCACTATGGCACCAAATGGCTCAAAGCGCTGTATCGCGGATACACCAACGCCTCTTTCAGCGAGAGGACGCTTCAGCCTCCATTCCAAGGCAGCCAGGGACCAACTATCCGCGCTGAAGTAGGCGATCTGATTGAGATCATGTTTATCAATAAATTGAAGTATCACTACGCGACTATGCATTCCATGGGACTCGCATACACCAAGCCGTATGAGGGCTCAGACTACCCAAATAACACAATGCCCGGTGTCGGTACCACGCTGCCGATAGCAGACTACGGGCCGCCGATGCTGGGGCCAGAAGATTGTATCGTATACAAATGGATGGTGAACGACGAAGCGGGACCAAGTAATGGGCTTCCGGCAAAGGTGAACCTAAAATCAATATTCTTGAGTCTACTTATGAGATAACTGATAAAGGATACCAGATTCACTCATACCATTCATACGTCTCTCTACAGCAAGACGCCAACGCAGGCCTTATTGGTCCCACAATTATCTACGCTAGTGGTAAGATGAACGAAACAGTCGCGTCGTACCGCGAATTCCCCATTCTGTACAACACCTACGATGAGGATCAGTCATTCCTCTCTGGCGCAAACAAAGCTCGGATTGAAGGTGGCAGCTCTGCACAGTACATCATGCCGCAATTCGACACGACGGGTCTTCCTGACGCGAACATGACAGTGTGGAAGCCCCAATTGACGAACTTCGAGAGTGGGAGACAGTTTGATGGTGCACCTATTTTCTTCGCTATTAACGGGTTCGTGTATGCGAACAATCCATTATTCGAGATGTGTGTGGGCGATAACGTATGTATCTACCTTTTCGACTTGATATCGCCGCCCTATCATACTGATTTTCCGAACAGGTAATCTGGGGTTCGAATGCGTATGGATCGGCTAGCCACGTGTAAGTTTCATCTTTGCTACACTCTCTATAACTACGTCATCTCTTCCCTCTCGATACGTGCAAACACAATCGTACGTAAGAAGGATGCTAGCTGACCGTATCTTCTTCCATGCACATAGATTCCATATGCACGGTAATGGCGTCGTTTATCAGCGCTTCCATGAATACGCTGAAAGTATCAACGACGGCGTAGGAAAGACACTGTACTCGAAGGCAGTTGGCGAGGGACTATGGCAGGTCATTTGCCATGTACAGAATCACCACACCAAAGGCATGGTGGCAAACTATCGGGTTTACTCAAAGGACAACTGCCCCTTAGCACCACTGAAACCGCTAAGGGAGTAGCGTAGTGATGGAAATAGGGATGTGCTTATAGCTTGACTTGGTATTGCCCTGGCCTTTTATCATAGTAAAGGATAACCTGAAGTGGGGTGCTTAGCGACCTGAAATTAGGCCTTTGATAAAGTCTCTTTATTTTCCAACTATTTACCTCTCCAAGCCTCGCTGACCAGGTCTCGAATCTTTCTTGTCGTTATCTCAGGGAATTGATCATTCAAAGATTTCTCTGGCTCGAAGTCGAAGAAGCCCTCCTCAAACAAGATGCCAAACACTGCGCACATACCCTGCAGCATCTGCTTCGGAAAATATGGGTACATTGGTAGATGAGCAGGCAGCTCGGTGACTTGGTATGTTCTGAGCTTCTCCAGCGAATCATATGTGGTCTCGAACTTTGTTCCCCTTGCCTCCTCAGCAATAGCGAGGAATTCGTTCAGCGTGATCTTGTCACCAATGATGTACGACTCTTTCTCCCAGGATGTTTGGCCAAGAAGAGCAGCCACGAATCTGCCGATGTCGAAGCTGTAGGTGAACACAACAGGAACATTGCCCGACCCTGGAATAGCAGCAGCCTTGTTGGCGATATCGATGGCCAGCGTCAGACCTGTGAGGTATGATTTGACATATGGCTCTACAAAATAGTCCAGGAAAAAGCCGTTGATGACACATGTGTACTGCAATGAAGTCTTTTCCAGGGCGTCAAGATAAGAAATCTTTCCTTTGGCTATCGAAAAGATTTCAGCAACCCTGTATGTTGTCAAAACGACAAGATCAGTGATAAGTGGTATACGTAGTTTACTCACTCAGGCGTGTACTTGATTCCCCATGTACTTGGAATGTAGCGTTGTGTGATGCTGGATTTGTTGGCAGCCTCGATGAGGGCCATCTCAGGATCGGTACCTGACATTGATCCAAGTGTCGAGATCACTGTATCGATACGATTCTCTTCCAAGGCTCTGGCGATGGAATCTGGTTTCGTGTAATCAACGGCGATTATCTTCGCGTCCGTCCCCTGGAGTTTCGCGTCTCCGGTCGCCCATGCAAATGTCAGTACTTATGGTGTATAGTAATGCGGTATGAACTTACGTCTCGGGAGAGCACGAATACGGTAAATCCACCCGCTTTGACGATGGATTCGACAATAGCACGCCCAAGCTTACCAGAACCTCCAGCTACTGCAACGACAGTTGAACTCATTTTGATACCTTGCAAAAAGTCGCGAAATCTTTTTGACTGCTTGGGATAAATTCTTGTAGTGAAACACTTGGGCTATATAATATCTCAGTAACAGTCCGTCATGAGTAATGATACCTGTAAGGCTTTGTGAGGGGTAGTCGATGCGTGCTAGCGGAGAATATGTAAACTAGCGGACTTTCAATTCCAGTCCATCTTTAATGCACCGACCTCGATCGTGTCATAGCTTATCAATACCTCCCGTGGTCTGCACCGTCAACGAGAGAAGGTGAGTCTCCAATCACGTACCACGAAATTACCTAGATTGCTGGAGCTGGAGCTAGAGCTGGAGTGGTTGAAAGTGTCCTCGGTACACAGCACACTCGCTCCAGTTACACCTCAACCACTGTTTTCCTTGCCAACCAAGCAGTCTGGTCTTCCGAGATAGGACCGAGTATGACTGCAAATGCGGAAACAATTACTAAGATGCAGCCAACTGCGGACCGCAGATTGTAGTGCGCGGATCCCCGGATCGTCTGGTAGCCGCATAATCTCCGAACTGTAGCCAATCGAGAAAGAGAAGGTTACACTAGCGGCTTCTCGATATGAATGAAAGCGCTCCAGTCCGCACGTTCGACGCCGCGTTGCATTGGCAGAGCGAACATAGTTATCTGGTATTCGTCCGTTGATTGTCAACCGACAGCGACGATTGCAAATACGGCACGGAAGTATTCCGTTGAACTCGTAGACTATACAGAGCATTTTTCAGCCAATTACGACGAATTAGAGTACGCTCTTCCAAAGTTCGGTCTCGTAGAGCTGGTGTATAGATAGTTGAGTACACACGGGATGTGGTTCATCGAGTTCAAGCCCTGCGAACCGACTTGTTATCATCATCAACAACAGACTGGCCATCTTCCCTCTTTCTCTTCCTAGCTTTGCTTTCTCCCCTTTCCTTCGCGTCTCTTCTTTGTCGTCTCTCAGCCTTCTTTCTCTCATCAACTTCTCTTTTGACATACTCTTCCAGAAAAAGCTTCAGTCCACCCCAGATTCTCTGCTCATACGCGGAATGCTGGAACTCGATACACAACCATTCTAAAGCTCTGAGCTCCTCTATGCCTCCATAAATGTCCAGAGCGGCGCGCTCATACACTTTCTTGTTGTTTTCGCTCGCCTCTGCATATGCCTTTTCAAAACTATCGATAATGGGCCGGACCGAAGTTGGTGGTATAAGCGTGACGTTACCTTCGTGATCTCCGGTCCCGATAGTAATGCACGTATAGTCGCCTAGTTTGATCTCATCAAAGTCACGATCCGCGCCGTATAGGAGACACTCCTTGCCTTCGATGGGGAATAGGTTATAATCCAGATCGACCATCCAGCGTCCCTCAGTGTCTACGTCCTCGGTACTAAAGAAAAGGTCTTCATCGATCCCGTTACTTGCGCGCAGGAAGTCTTTGTATTCATCTGGAAGGTTTCCACTCGGCAGCGCGACATCTGTATCATCAAGGCCGCCTTCTGCATGCGATGCCGACAGACGTTTCTCGAGAGCGGCAATCTGATCTTCTGATGCGCCACTATTCAGGACGGGAGATGTTTCGTCTTCACCATTATCGGCACGTTCGGCAAGGACATTTTCTTCGATCATCTGCACCAGCTCGGCCATCGTTTTCGAACTGTATAGGCGCATGGGTCCTTCAGTAGAGCGCTGTTTGAAGAGGGCGCCTGAAGGTACGTGTACGGAGTCAGTGTATGTCTTACATGCAGTTCGTACAGGGATATTTCTTACAGCCCTCTTTCACATAGTCTTCCACGTCAGATATGCGCACACCGAATACTTCTCCGAGATCTAATTCTCTGAGCGTTTCCCATATCGCGTCGCAATGCTGCAAGCCCTGGCGACGCTCTAGCCATTGCCTCGTCTCGTCCCCACTTATGTCTGGATTATTGAAATTGTCTAACAGGTACTGGTAGAACTCTTTCATATTCTTTTCGATCAAGCTAGTGGCTAAATCTTCCTCGCCTGCAAGGTAGGCGACCTGTGCGACAGCACCGAGCGTCATCGATTCTTCCGGAATACCATAGATAGCATCTGGCTTTGCGTTGAGGCGCTCACATGCGAACTTGACATCTTCTTTATTCAACTCATGCTCTTCGGCTTTCACTGTCAAATCCTTGGGTAAGCCCGTGGTAGATATGCAGTCCATGTCTTCGTCGCCCGCTTCGTCTGCCCATGAAGGAAAAGAATCGCTAGCTCCCCAAGCTCCCGTCAATTGCCTTGAGATAGTCGCTCCGTAATAGTCCTTGGTTTTCGTGTCGATACCATACTCATGGACTGTCTCGAGTAATATGAAGGCTTGTTCAGCAAATCCTAGTACGAAAAGGTCCAGTGCAGCGTGTTGTGCTATTCTCGAGGCATCCAGATGCATACGGGACGTGAGAATCGAAGTCTTCGACCAGGGTATAAGTGGTAAAGGGGTTGCCATGACGGTAGAAGCTGTGCTTCTGATGTGGCGCGAAGGAGAGAAGAACTGGCTCCTCGAGATCGACCGACTTATACGTGGAATCTATAAGCCCTTTTCGGATTTATATTAGCATCTATGCAGCGGTTTTGCGGTGTTGAGACTAGCTGCTAGGCTGCAAGGCTGCAAGCACCACCTACGTAGGTGCGATGACATCATGCATGAGCTAGTCGAGGCACGACTTTAGTGAGTCTCCAAAGCGACCGGGAATACATAGAAGAGATACAGGCACACCGGCTGATGTATCAATCTTGTCGCAATCACGTACAGAAGACATGTTGGTAATCTAGCAAGGCTTCGATGCGAAGTAGCTAGAACCTCCGGAAGTAGTCTGAGCTCGCACGAATTGGATAAGGTAGCGAGGGGCAGATCTGTAGGGCTGGCTTCCCTTACTGTACGCGCTGCAGAGTAGCACCAATTGGAGTGTCTTGAATGGGGCAGAATCCAACGGAACGGTCAAGAAGCGGCCATGGAAGGGTTCTCCACGGAGTTTGTACCCTGAGAAGTCTCGGGCTTTCGCGTCGCCGCGCGATTTAATTGCGTCTGCCGCCTGGGCAGCAAGTGCCAATGTCGGAGGTTCCGTTGATCTTGCAGATGAAAGATTTACCTTTTCGCAAACGCTATAGCACCTTGCCCGAAGAAGGCACTTGCCACATCACATGACCTGCTGAGAAATCAGGGACAGCCCCAACTTCGGCCCGTGAGGCGCAGCGGCTAGTGGGGTTGGGGTGCCACAACTCGGCAGCTTTGGATTCGTCCGTTAGCAAGTTGATAAATCCTGAGCTATCACGATCCTAATTGATCCTCCTGAAGGGTAGCAGCAAATATGCAGGCCCAGAAGGACAGTCGCGCGACAACATCTTGCACTGAATGTCAGCGCCGGAAGCAAAAGGTCAGCCCCCACTCCAGATCGACCCTGCGTCTGCCCCTTGACTAACGGGAAGGCTAGTGCTCGCGAGAGTGGCCCTGCAATCATTGCCAGGCACGAAAGGTACCCCATCTCTGTCAGTTCTCCGTCAAAAGAGGGCAAACGGAGTCATCCCCAGAGTCTGCTCGGTATGTCGATCACGTTGTCTACCCCGCCGTTAGCGAACCATGGTAATAACAACTATGGCGCAGAGAAAACTCGTCTGGCAGCACCACCAAGGGCACAAAAAGGAGTGCTCCCGATTCTACAGAGCCACAATTTCCATCGCAGTCGCAAGATGGCGAGCCAGAAGACCTCGAGGACGGGCTAAAAGCGTGGGGATACATGCCCGGCCATGTTCACTACAAAGTCAGCACGGTGGAAGAGGTAAGCAGAGCTAGTAAAATATCTGTCTCAACTAAGAGACCCAAGGGCGGCAAGCGAAAAGACTCACCGGCAGAGTCTCCGGGAACAACGGGCGTCGTAGAGAAAGTCCTCTCTGCGGTCCCTCCCAGATCGATAACCGGCAAGTGCAACCATCGTCAGACTTGCGTTTTTGCTAACAGCACACAGACGCGTTTGTTAATCACTTCCTGACCGTTGTCAACTACAGATACAGCGCGATATACGGGCCAACACTAGCTGAACAATACGTCAAGTGGTGGACTGATCGTGGTGCCGGCAAACAGCTCTCGCCAGAATTTACCTGCTTACTGTTGAGAATCTGCGCATACTCCGTGCAGTTTCTCACACCTGCGCTTCGCAAAATGATTGAGTTTGAGTTGGCTTGCAGCTGTCAAACCTTAACCGAACGGTTTTCTGACGCAGCGGAAGAGCTGAGCCGGAGCTTTGAAGCATCGCAAACAAGTATTGAACGCGTGCAAGAACAATTTCTTAAAGGTGCCTGGCTAAAGTCGGAGTCCAAGATAGTAGAATCATGGCATGCGCTTTCACGCACCATACGAGAAGCACAAGAGCTAGGTATCGACAAAGATGCAGGTATCGAGGACCTATGTGAGTTCGACATCGAGATCAGGAGACGTCTCTGGACGCTGCTGTACATCTGGGACTGGTAAGCACATGGCCATCATAACGAGAATGCTCACTCATTTCCGCTACAGGCAGATGTCGGCGTGGTTGGGTCGTCCAAACCTCATCGACCAGAAGGATCTCAGCTTCAAATTCCCCAATCTACGACTGGATCAGTCAACCACAGAGCCAAACCTACTTTCACCTTTTGCTCACATGGCGCTTCAAGCAAATCTGGGCCGAAGAATAGCGACTGCCATGGGGACTGCCAACTCCAAGGCTGACCTATCGGATAAGCAAGTTCTGACAATACAGTCCGAATGCGAGAAGCTTGCCGAAGAGCTACCCCCGATATTTCGATTCGAAAACACGGATACATCTTTCGACGATAAGCATCCATACTTTGTCTTCCAGCGTTGCCAATTACACTGTGTCATCCTTTTAACACAACTCGACTTCCTCAAACCCTACCTGACCCGAGAGCGTCAAGGCCAAGTGGCTGGCCAGGATGACGAGTTTCGGAAGAAAGGCATAGACATCGCGTTGCGTCTCCTGAAAGTCGCGCGTAGACTTTTCGATCATGAGTTCCCGATCAACGCAAAGTTTCACATGGTCGTCTTCTGCATCTTCGATACCGCGACTCTTCTTTGCTCCGCCATCATACACGACCGCAAGCATACTCTGCCTCACCGTGAGGAAATCGTGGACGTTATCGAAAGCTCCCTGAAGATGCTGCATCAACTCAGTGGAACAACAAAACTTGGGGCTACGTCTTTCAACTTCCTTTCTAAGCTTGTGCAGGCTACCCCAGAGCTGTCGCGATATCCTTCGATCTGTAAGCGCCAACGGCGGGCGTCTTCTTCGGCACCCAAGTCAACGCCGCCGCTACCTGCGCATGAACCTACACCAGTAGCGACCATGCCTCCGGTGGCGTCTATAGAGCCGGTCGCTGCACCAGCTCCTTCCACCGCCGGCAATCTGCATCCAATGACCATCTCGGATGATCTCTCGTTCGATATTGATCAATTCCTCGCCCAAAACCCCTTTGGTACTGTCGGGGATCCATCTGCTGTGGACATGGGCGGCATGGAGCAGATCTGGGACTGGCAAGATCTGCGCCTGAATTCCTATACACAAGAGGATTCACATGGCTGGAACACTAATGGATCGGGATGAGCGCCATGACTGACATCTTACCAACCATGGGCGCAATCGAACGCGCATAGCTACCCTTAGCCCTTGGGATAGTAGACGGGAGCAGATTATTAGATCTGTAACTCACCGCCAAGCATCTGGCATGCTTCCAAATTTATATGGCAATGCCATAAGTACACTCAGGTGGACTCACACTGCCAACAAAGCAGTATGAGTTCGATAATCTTGGACCGTAGATTTTGTTAGCCTGTGGTGGATCCGATCACACGTGCGGTGTATAATGTAGACCACATGTTTACTTTCTTGGGCCTTTCTTTCAATATCTGTATTCACATTAGCTTTCTATTAACTTCCAATAAAACAAGCATGCCCTAAGGTGTCGTACTTACCTTCGTATCCAGAGCGATTTCGCTATTGTTTCCTTCCCCTGACCATGTATTTACAGCCAAGCGAATTTTGTGTGTGAGATGATAGGAATGCTCACACAAGATTGAGCGAATTTAGGACTTTCAGAAGGGCGGAGCTGTGTATAAAGATAAGATTGTAGGTCCTGGATCGATCCCGAAAACCTTCGGAAATCGTCGGTGCTGCCCGATACATACATAGCCACAAACGCCACATAGGTCGTCATCTGCGGGGTGCACGAAGACCATGGACCGACTTGGCTTATGGAAATTTGGCTTATGTGCAAAATATCGAGGATGCTTACACGTAGGTGTCATTCTTCAATACCAATGCGAGAACTCGTCCCCGGTTGGCCGACAACCCCAGCTACCCCCATGAGCATAGAAGAAACAAAACAAGACAAAGGACATACCTGCACAACATGCGCTCGGTCATTTTTGACTCTTCTTTGCTCTCTTGTCTATTGGTTTGACGTGAGATGCAGCTGCCTTTCGCTTGTCCGCGGTTTTCCTAATCCGCCTGGAACTTGCATACTGGTCCGACACTAAGCCACTAGTAGGCTTCACACGTTCCTCTTCAGTATCCGGTCGAGGTGGCAACCTCAGCACCAATTTAGGACGTACAACATGTTTTCCAAGCGGGACTGCCGGCGTTATGAGAGGTGTCTCCAGATTCGCAACGCCAGGGTCTCGCCTGTCTACCATCGTCTTGGAAGTCGGATTTGTCGCTTCTACGTGGTCAGGCTCTAGCTGCTCAGTTGAAATCTCCACCGTAGACGCTGAATGCGGTGTGCCGTAATGCAAAAGCTTAGGATCTTGGTCTTGAACCTTTACTTCAGCGAAGCTCTTCTGAGTACGAATTTTCCACTCATTTAGAGCCGTCAAGTCTTCCGTATGGACATCCAGCTGTGCAACAAGCTTGTAGACGGTATGCCGAAGGCTATCGTGCTTTTCGGCCAGACGGTCGCAGCCCGATGACAGGATGCAGTACTGGTCGGACAAGTCGATGAAGCGTTCTGCGAGCTCAAAATATGACTCGGCGCAACTGAGATGTATGTTGTCGAGCTCTTGTCGAAGGGCGCGAGCGCGGGTGCGTATGTCGGAGTTTATGGGGGGTGTTTGAGAATTTTGGAGAACTTGACCATCGTGCGACGAAGGTGGAGTATGTTGCTCGTGGTTGAATCTATACTGTGTTAGTGAGCTAGCTACTTTGTATATTGTGTAAACTCACCGAGGACTGTCACCGGCATGTTCATTGGCTGGCCACGAACAAATTGGACTGTGGGTGTTGCTTTGAGTATTGGAGATATCGACGTCAGGCGTCTGGACATCGCTACCGCTGTCCGACGGCATATACAGAGGAGATAAGTCGAGGACAGCGTGGCGACAAACCTTTTGGTCGCAGTAGTGATCATTACGAGCTGCTGGCCATTTTGGTGAGACGTTAATTGGTCTGGATACTGAGAGATGCTCGCGCTCTCCGAGCAGCTTGTAGAATTCGTCAACGGACTCGGCGCTGTTCAGGCTGACCAGAGGTTCTGCGCCGCACATGATGATTGTTGATGATAAGGGGTGACTGGAGTAATAACTGTGAGTATCGAACGGGGACGTCTACAGCACTGTTGGTGTTTCGTGAGCATGTCACCCAAGGTAAGAGTGGTGGTTAGATCCATTGTTGATGGCTACTGCCTGGCCAGTCTGGAAGCAGAAGTTTGGTGCTGCCATTAGAACCAAGAGCGTATCTTGTCTCGAGGTAATTTCAATGCAGGTCCGGAGCGTTCGAGGGATGGAAGGCACATGTCTGGGATGTCACTGAGGGGCTCGTTTGTTCTAAGTTTCGCCCTATGTTACACACCGAGCATACACATGAGTCTATGTTAAAGGCGTATCAAGAGAGCGATGGTATATACCTTCGCGGAGAGTTCTGGTACTACAGTACACACCAGGGAAAAAAAAATCTCTTTCGTAGATGTCTTTGCAGGGCTTTGGATGCCAGGAATCTTGATCAAGTTTCCACTCAACAACGTCGTACGTAAGTTGTACTTGGCAGCACTACCGAGGCAATACGAGCTCAACACAAAGGTCCTGGATCCTAGCATCGAGTACGTCGCGTGACATTCCCTCCTGTCGATACGACTTGCTTTAGGCCGGGCCCACAATGGTACCTACTCGGCGCGTCTTGCCAGGGCAGGTATGTGGCTTCTGGAGGGTCTTGCTTCTGTGGAGCCGGTCAGGGTCCGAAAACCTGCCACAATTAACGGCAGATGCCTCGTTCGCAATCTGAACGTTTCAGTCTCGGTCAATCCGTAGATGGGCAGTCGCCGACCGCGCATCCCACAAGTGTCGATCTCGCATTGATGCTGGGGTTGGAGCGGTCCCGCCTTCTGGAGTCGTATATCTCAGGGACGTCATGCCTGATCTAGGCATGTAACGAGAACACTCGAGCCTCCCCGCTTACCGCCGGTGTGATCAACGACTGAAGATAATTTCAGGCCGGTTTTATTAGCCATTTCGCGTGCGCAAAGCCTGAGAAACGTTAACGTAATCGGCACATCCCTAGCTAGTCGCGTTTCGGCACGCGGCAAAATTTGGACCCGCGACAGGCGAATAGCGCGCAGCCTCGCCATCGGCGCGAGGAACAGACGCACTCGCCACAAAGACGAGCCACAAAGACGACGACTACCATTATCAGTCAATCGCGACCGATCTCTCCAGCACAGATTCTAACAGGTTCATCGAGGGCTCACCATGTAATCAACTGTCATGATTGCGCATGGGGCAAGGTCCTGCAGACGCACAACCGCACAAGACGTGAGACTGCGAGAAGCTTACCAGACTGATGGTTTTGACTAAGGCCAAGCCTAAAAGATCGAGCGAACCACAGCAGCGACGTTGGATGATCTTTGCAGTGAACGGCACAGCAACGTGCTGGGCTGGTGCTTGGTCCACCCAAGCACTACGTCACTGCGCGCCTTAATAGCCGCTACCTTGGCGCACTTCAGCAATTGCTCCACATCATCTGTCCGTTCCAAAAGATTTTTTGACAGGCGTTGGGGAGAACTGGAGTATATGAGGGGCCGTAGTCCTACTCCGGGACCGAGCTCATACAACTCTTGTCATCTAAATTCCCTGCGACTTTGCTGTCGCGGAAGCTTGCCATACTCCAATACACAAGCTTTTCCAAGCCTCACAAGCCTTTAGCATCCTGCTTGGGTGAAGACGCCGTGACGGTTCCAACACACGACCAAGCATCATATTACATCGACATCGACCCCGACGAATCGACGACCCTGAACAGGATCATCCCAATCGCGACTCCCTCCGTTATCAGACCCTCACTACCATAGCGCCATCCCCAAGCAACAACCACACCTAACCTCCATCGCGCTACCACCACCATCTTTTCGCCAAGATGGCTCGGACTATGTTTGTGAATCCCTTCAAGGCCCACCACGTCGACGAGTTCCCGGGTGTTCATGTGCCTCTTGATGATTCAACCCATCGCGCTTCTGTAGCTTCCACTCACCCACGCGCCTCCCTCGGAAATTCAGAGAAAGCCAAAGACGATGAGCCCAACGACCTTAGGCGACCTGAAAGTAATGCATCAAGTGGTGTTGTTAACCATGGCATGACAGTCGCAGCACTAAAGGCAGAGATTGAAGCAGATGTCGCCGCCTCAGACACCGACACGCCATATGACCGTACGTCGTGTGGCATTTCCTATCGTTTTGGGTAATCGTTATGAAATATCAGTACTAATACTCTCCAGGAAAGTCCAAGGTCATCAACAGAGCTTTGCAAGACATGGGAATGGGTCGCTACCAATGGCAGCTTTTCGCTCTTTGTGGTGGCGGTTGGATGGCCGACAACTTGTGGCTGCAGGTGCGTTTGTCAAACTCGTCGACTGTCAGCAGGACTTACCATAATGTAGGGTGTCGCTCTAACACTGCCTCAACTTAGCGCTGAGTTTGGTGTCAGCGAAACGGAAGTCCGATACACCACACTATCGCTGTTCCTCGGTCTCTGCATTGGCGCGTCTTTCTGGGGTACCGCGTCCGATATCATTGGCCGCCGTCTCGCTTTCAACTTCACTCTTTTCCTCGCCGGTGTCTTCGGTCTTGCTTCAGGCGGCGGACCCAACTGGATTGGCACGTGCGCACTGTACGCATGTATCGGTCTCGGTGTTGGTGGAAACCTTCCAGTCGATGGCGCTTTGTTCCTCGAGTTCCTGCCCCAAACATCCGGAAACCTCTTGACGCTACTTTCCGTTTTCTGGCCTGTTGGTAATTTGATCGCTTCGCTGCTGGCCTGGGCTTTCATTCCCAACTTCTCATGCCCTTCTGGTACTCCGATTGGGCAGTGCAGCAAGGCCGACAACTGGGGCTGGCGATACCTCATCTTGACTCTCGGTGCGATCACGTTCTTCATGTTCATCTGCCGCTTCTTCCTCTTCCATCTTTACGAATCGCCCAAGTTCCTGTTGTCTCGTGGTCGCCAGGCTGAGGCCGTCGCTACCGTCTACGGTATTGCGCACTACAACAAGACGCACACCTGGCTCACCGAGGACATCCTCAACCAAATCGGCGGCGACCAAGAAGTCACCCAAGAAGATGCGAAGCTCAGCGTTTTCGAGATTATCAAGCGCTCCCTTAGCCGATTCTCGATGAAGCGCTTCAAGACATTGTTCCAGGATAAGAAGATCGGTCTCACCACTGCCCTTTTGTGGTTCCAATGGACGACTATCGGTATGGCATATCCGCTTTTCAACGCTTTCCTCCCACAGTATCTTGCCAACTCTGGTGGTGATGTTCAGAACGACACCAGCACCGTGTACCGCAACTACGCCATTACTGCCATTGTCGGTGTTCCTGGATCGATCATCGCTTGCTACACCGTCGATATCAAGTACGTTGGTCGCAAGGGTACCATGGCCATCGCAACCGTCATCACCGGTGTCTTCGTGTTCCTGTTCACCATCTCGTCCGACTCCGACTTCCAGCTCGCTTTCACCTGTCTCGAAGCTTTCTTCCAGAACATCATGTATGGTGTTCTGTACGCGTACACACCTGAAGTCTTCCCTGCACCTATCCGTGGCACTGGCACTGGCATGAGCAGTTTCTTGAACCGCGTTGCTGGACTATGCGCACCGATTGTTGCTATCCAGGCTGGTGACAGCAACCCCAAGGCCCCCATCTACGCCAGCGGTGGATTATTCATTGCGGCGTTCTTCAGTATGCTGATATTGCCGATTGAGACAAGAGGCAAGCAGACTTTGTAGACGGTACACATAGAGTACCTGACGGCAGGACCGTATAGCGCAGTTACATATTAATTACTGCTAAGAATTGATGAGTCTCAATTTCATGTTCAAGCTCTGTCTCATCGTATTCCAAGATGTGGTGCAACTAACCTCCGTTCCAAATTTGACACACTACACATATGCTTCGTCCCTCAAAGCCTGACCCTTGCCTCGCCGAGTCTCAATTTCCACCCTTTGAGCCATACCTCAATCTGCTTCGCCGTAAGATTCTCAACCTTTGGTAACATCTCCAGCGCATTCTTATTATGAAAGACCATGGCCTCTTGCTCCCTCCCCTCGCCCGCTGCTGCCATGAAACCATGCATCTTAAACACTTTCGGATCAAGTAGGCCAAGCCATTGCGGGAGCGTAACACCCTTGACCGCCAAACCAAACTTCTCAGTCAAGACATTGTGCAGAAGAACCCAAGGTGCGGGGTTAGGATGCATCATGTTGTATACTTTGGTCACGTCGTTGTTACTCGGCTGCGAAAGTGTAATGTTGGTGATGCCTTCTGCAAGAGCATCGACAGGAATCCAGTCGACAGCGTTCATGTGAACAGGCCAGCAACCTAGTTGCTGGCTTGTCTTGAAAGTGACCCATAGCCAGCCTTGTATTGGCCAGCCTGGGGAACTAGCAGTCGCAGACGACAGTCCACCAATCTGGCCTGCACGTACGATGGCGATGCGTACGCCGGAATCTAGGTTCGCGCGGGCCAGAAGTTGCTCAGCGATGCATTTGCTCTGTCCGTACCCGCTATCCGCAGCGCTGGCATATTCCCAAGCAGGTTCTTCGGGTATGAGTGGTTGTTCGGGATGACGGCTTGGCCAGTTCATGATTGAGCAGTTTGATGAAATGAATGTTACACGTGCCTTTCTGGGGCTGCCGATACCTACTTTGATGACGTTGCGTACGGCGTTGAGGAGTGGCTCAAACCTTGCTAGGGGTACGGCCCAGTTTGCGTTCCAGGCGTTGAAGACGATTTCATCGACTTCGCATACGAGTTGATTGTACTGCGTATCGTCCAGTCCAAGGTTTGGTTTTGTGATTTCGGTTGTCATAAAGTGGAGACGGCTAGAACTTGCGAGGTTGTCGCTACTTATGCGCTGCAAAGATGATGTAGTACGCTGCTCTCCATCCTCACTCCTATTGAGGCACAATATCTTGGCGCAACTGTGTTTTTGGAGTAAAGAGGCTGTGATGTATGGACCCAGAAACCCGGTCGACCCAAAGAGAGCAATGGTCTTCGGCTCGGCCATTGTGGCGTCGCCAAGATGGAGGCAATTTTGTGGTATAATTATGGTATGAGCAGCTCTCAATCCGACAATCGATGAAATAGTGACTGTTGTTGTGAAGAGTGAGCTTAAGGTGCAGGACGAGTGATAGACTAGTTTACGTTTTATACCTCAATAGTGATCAAGGCTACGAGTTTGCAATTAAGCATGGGGTATTGATGTGCCGTCCAGCTACCGTTTGGGCCTCACAAAGGGACGTCCTGCGAATCCTCACAGGAGCACCAACCTACATCCCATCCAATGAAGTGGAAGCGTGCTCCATACTGACTGTTTGCCATTGGCGTCCCGCGGTAGCCATCGTCCGTTCTTTCGTGGTCTGCATATGCCAATCTTTCGAAAAGCGCCACGATGGCTGATGATCTGACAGCACATCGCATACAACGTAGCATCGTCCGTCCTCGGGCATCGACTCAATCCGCGGACTGGAAGCTGTTGCATCGGACGCGGTGACGGCGCAACTGCGATGGCGTCCAGGCTGTACAGAATTTGGTCAAGAGCTCAGCAGTTGTGGCTGTATAGCCAATGGCATCCGCAGCATCGGAACTCGGACCATTACATGCTGAGTGGGATGAAGTCCTTATCGCGCGAGTCAGAGGCCCAGATGCAGTTTTGAGAGATGAACTTGCTCTTGCCCTCCGCCGGGAATGGGAATATGGTGGAATATAGCGCTCATGCAAGGCAAAGACCGTCAGAAGATCGAATAGAGTTTTTTAGCACTGATCCCACAACGATCATGGGGCTGGCTGTCATTACCCAATAGGATACAGTTTGCAGACAGGCGTTTTTGGGAGAAGCGCAAAGGCCACCTAGGCTTAGGTAAAGGAGCGGGTGGCTGACCATGTTTCTTTGTTCTGTTGGTGTAGCGACGGGAGAGGAGGTGGAAAGTCGAGATGGTCTAAGAGGTGATCGGGGTGAACTCCAAAATTGCAACGCCGCACGCCCTGACTTATCACATGTCCGTTCCACAGGCGTTGATACGCGCCCTTCACAACCTACGTCGCTTTGTCCGATTGTTGTTCTGGTAGATTGATGTCTACAGCGAGTCAGCATAGAGATGGCACTACCGCGCGACTCTGGCCAGGGTCCTTCCCCGCATCTCGTTGCCGAGGCTTCAGCACCATGATAGTTGACATGTTTGAGCCCGCAAAGCAGGATGAATCTTGTCGATATCGCTGCAGCTGACGGGACAGAATCTCCCAATTGCCTTGTCACCTTGGGGAGCCTCGCATTGACATCGACGTCGTAACCGCAACACGTGAACCCGCAGTCGCCATGGCCCTAGGAGAATACACAAACCTACATGTCGACCGGCACGACCAAGTCTTTGTCATCACCCTCGCCAAAGCACCTGAGAATCGCATAAACGTCAAGTTTGCACAGGAGATAATACGTGCGCTACGCGACATTGAGCAAGAGCTAGGCCCCGATGCAGAAGGATGTGTGATAACAAAGGGAAACGACGAGAAGTTCTGGTGCACAGGTCTCGAGCTAGACGAGAGCGATACGAACCCATTTGCGAATAGCGATGGCTTCTTCCCGCTACTAGCGACCTTGCTCGACTACCCGTTCCCTACTATCGCTCTGCTGACGGGCCATACCTTCGGTGGGGCTTGTCCTTTTGCTCTCGCGCACGACTATCGCATTATGAACGCGTCGCGTGGCTTCTTCTCTATGCCGCCTGTCAACCTCGGCCTGCACTTCCCTGGCATCGGCTTTCTCCCTCGACTCAAGCTTCGACCGCAGATTGCGCGAAAGATGCTGCTCGAAGCGCATCGCTGGACGGGCAAAGAGGCATACGAGGATGGTATTGTCGATGAGGTTGCAGAGCCCAAAGAGATGTTCAGGGCCGCGTTGAAGAAAGCAAACGCAGTCCAGGGTAGGGCCAAGATGGGCGTATACAGCGTGCTCAGAAATGAGCTTTGGGGTGAGGCGGCTGAGAAGATCAGAGGCATCTGCTATGTGCATGGTAAAAGGGTAACCGCACCCGCAAAGGCGAAGATCTAAAACCGTCTCTTCGGCGGCCGGACCGACGAAGATGCGCCTATCAGTTTATCAGCAACATCCGAATATACATGTATACAAGTTCACTCATGTGTCATTTGATTCCATCTACTTGGCGCTGACGATCGAAGGCTAAATTCGTCGCTTCATCTATTAGCCCTGTCAAAACACCCTTCTCATTTACTTATCGTCGACATGTTCAATACTGCACCGCGCTATCATGAGATCATCGCGTCATTCAATACATCGAACTGTTCTATATCCAACGGCGGTAATATATCGCACACGGTGATCTGTCGTGTTAGAAAGGGAAACAACTCGTGGTTCCTGGCTTGACTTGAGGCTCAAAACACTGAGAACCAGGGCTTGATCGACACCTCGTCCACGCGACTTCAAGTCCCCTCTATGAATCAATAGAAATATCATTAACCAAGCACGGAGATATGACTGTGAAAGACAGTTTCCTGTAAGCGTAACGTAGTAACAATATATTGCTAATGTGGAAGCGTATGCCACGCTCAACAGAAAGTACTGCAGTCCGAAGTACCGACCGCTCTGATATAATCCCACGATTCCATCGCATGAGCGGATCTAGGCATCACGCCCAGTCAAAGTACGATCATCGTATGATATGTAGTGGGGCTCATGGCATTGGGCGAAGGAACCCACGTTACAAGTCGATCAAGCGCATCGCGGCTATCCGGCCTACATTCGAGATTCATTTACAGATGCACAGACACATGTCATATCCCATTATAGTGGCTCGTATCCTTGATAAGACAGCGAGATCCGCTACGGCAGATCGTAAAGACAACACAGTCTTTACATCTCGCCTGCCATGAGGATAGCCAAATTAGCTTTCGGATTTGCTACTGTTGCCAACAGAGGTATGTGCTGTCATGCTATCATGAACATTGCGTTAGTGACATTACAGCAGCACATAGCCAAGTGACCAAGCGTTACTGTGATCCGGAAACGTCGATATGCTACTCTGGATGGACTGGTACTAATGGCATCACGTTTGGTCTCGCTTTGCCTGAGTCAAAAATTGCACCTTTCGATACCGTCCTGCAAATTGTTTCACCTATCAAGAATGGGTGGGTAGGGTTTAGCTGGGGTGGAACGATGCCATATGTTCCACTTACGGTCGGATGGATGAACAGTGCATCCAACACATCCATTTATAGCTCGCGAATGGCTTTCGGTTTGAGTCTACCACAGCCCTATGCTGATATAGAGTACTCGTACATCAAAGGAACCGGGTACAACACAACTCACTGGACTTTGACCGTGCGGTGCAAGGGCTGCTCGCAATGGCACGACGTGGATGGTAATCTGGTTTCAATCGATGCAAATGCATCTGCGCAAAAGTTCGCTTATGGCTTGTCGAGCAAACTGCCCGCTCAGCCAGCGAACAACAGGTCTACTTTCAACGTGCATAGTTCCTTCGGAAACTACAGAATCGATCTCACGCAAGGCCAGAATGCAGACTTTGACGAGCTAGTCGCTGCAAATCTTGTCGATGATGCTCCGACAGTATCAAGTAGTGTCTCCATACCGAGCTCGACTATCAGCTTACGACCAACGACCATGAGTACCAGTACTACATCTTCGAGCTTGTCCGAACCAACATCAACAGGAGTACCCTTAGTCTGCCCTGATGTTGGTAAACTTGCATTCCCCATTAGCACTGCGAAAGGATGGAAAGCTACAAAGGTAGCAGGAGACCTGATCCAACCAAGAGGGCTGATCTTTGACACTCTAGGTAATCTCCTCGTTGTACAAAACGGTTTGGGTATTACGGCTCACAGTGTCACGCCAAACGGCTGCCTTGCCTCGTCAAAGACTCTCATCCCTCAGCGGAATCTCAACCATGGCATTGCGCTTAGCCATGATGGGAAGACCCTGTACGCTAGCTCTGCGACCTCGGTGTTTTCATGGACATACGACGCAAATACCATGAGTGTATCAAAGAACTCTACAACAATTCTGACTGGAATGGACAGTAGAGGACATGTTACAAGGACGCTCTCATTCCCACCACAACATCCAAATCTTCTAATTGTGTCTCACGGGTCTAACGACAACTTCGACTATGGCTCGGCCGATATACAAACCGGTCGATCATGCGTCAAAGTCTTCGATACCACCACTATTCCTGAAAATGGTTACGACTATCCAACCGGCGGCTATCAGATGGGTTACGGACTCCGCAATGAAGTCGGGCTAGCATTTGATGCTGAAGGTATGCTTTGGGGCGTTGAGAATTCTTCTGACGAGCTGCATCGTACCATTGACGGGGTATCTGTGGACATCCACACTGATAGTAAGTGTCCGTGTATGAACTGCATATGTAACATATACTGATCTCATACACCGCGGTTTAGATCCAGCTGATGAGATCAACTACCTGGGTGACCCCTCGAAAGAAAACACAAACTGGTATGGGTACCCGACTTGCTACACCGTCTTCAACTCAGAATCCATCACCGACAAAAAGTTTGCAATGGGTGATCAATTTGTCTTGGAGCCCAACGCCACTTTCACAGATGATACGTGTATGACACGGAGTATGCCGCCTCGCCTTGCTCTTCCAGCTCACTCTGCACCCCTTGACGCGGCTTTCGATGGGAATTTCACTAGCATGTACATTACCATTCACGGGTCCTGGAACCGCAGTCCTTCAGTTGGATACAAGATCATCCAAGTCCCTTTCGCGAACAGTGCCCATGGATTCGGACCAAAAGCGGCCTTGAACAGCACGCATTCTTGGACTGATATCTTCTGGAATCCGGACGTGGATCACTGTTCAACTACACAGTGCTTCAGACCCGTGAGTATTGCGCAGGACAAGTACGGCCGGATGTATGTTACTAGTGACAGTGGAGCGGAAGGAGAGATGATAGTTTTGGGAAAGGAGTAGACGATGAGTTATGTGTGGATAGCTTGTATAGCTCAGCATCAGGCTCAAACTTGGCAATTATAGTCGTTCCCCGTGCATTGTTAAGATCGTCTAGTCTGAGAATGCCAGGCAGTCAAGCGAGACTCCTGACACATTCTACGTTCCACCGCCTACTCTACGGCTACTTTCTCCCATTTGAGCCCATCCTCCAAGCTCCCCCTTGTTACACCCCAGTTATCCGAGAACCAGTTATCGCGCGGCTTCCACGGTCCAGTATTCGCACAGTTCGGCATCTTCTTCATCGCGTTCTTAACATAGGTACTGTTGAGCGGACTAGCAGACACCGTCTTCTCCTTGTCTTTCTCGTCGATGATGGGCACAACGCTTGTGTAGCCATGTTGCTCCTGATGCTTGATAAGGCGGACGAAAAGACGGGATGCCGTATCAGAGCCTAGTGTCCATGACGCGTTCCAGTACCCGATAATGTTGCCAAGGTTGGGGAGGGAAGTGAGCATAGAGTTGCGCCACATGTATTGCGATGCCACGTCGACTTTCTTACCGTCGACGCTGACGTCTATGCCGCCGAGGAAACGCATGTTGAGGCCTGTGGCTGTGACGATGATGTCTGCGTCTAGCTTCTGCCCGCTGGAGAGTTCGATGCCGTCTGAGACAACGCTCTTGATAGTATCCGTAACGATATGTGCTTTGCCTGAGTTGAAAGCCTTGAAGTAATCACCGTCGGGACAGAGACACATGCGTTGTTGCCAGGGGTTGTAGCCAGGCTTGAAGTGAGGATCGACGGGGAAGTCGGGGGGAAGCTGTGCTGCGGCCTTGTTGACGAGGAAGGATTGTGCAAGTTTAGGGAACCAGATGCAGAACTTGTAGAGGAGAATAGGGACGAGAGTGAACATGAAGCCTGATCAAACTTGTCAGTAATCGGTTTCGAGGTCGAAGAGAGGGGACGTACGTTTGTATCGTAGAGTGAACCACTCTGGTGCCCACTTCTCGAACCATGCTTGGTCTTTCTGAGGGAGGCTCATGATATACGATGGGCTCCTCTGCAACTGCGTCACACTGCCCACACCGCCATCCACCAGCGCAGGAAGCAGCGTTATTGTTGTCGCTCCACTACCTACGACTATCATCTTCTTGCCCTTGTAGTTGAGATGCTCGGGCCAGAACTGCGGATGCACGATCTTGCCCTGGAACTTGTCGATGCCTGGGATGTTTGCTTGCAGAGGTTGATCGTAGTTGTAGTATCCTGTGCCTGTGATGAGCCATTTGGTCCAGTACACCACTGTTCGCGGCTCTCTTCCAACCTCATTGCCGACTTCCACTTCCAATCTCCAACGCTGTTCCTCACTCCTCCAGTCCGCCTTGATGACCTTGTGTCTATAGCGAATCTTCTTGTCCAGATCAAACGTGCGCGCCGTTTCTTGCAGGTATTCCATGATAGCCTCTCCTCTTGCAATCGGGTTCTCCGCCCTCCATGGGTAGAAGTTGAATCCCAGGGTATGCAGATCCGAGTCGGATCGCACGCCGGGGTATCTGAACTGCGACCATGTTCCACCGAGTTCGTGGCGCGCTTCGAGAACGGCAAATTTGGCCTTGGGGAGCGATTCTTGGATGCGGTAGGCCGAGTTGATACCACTGAGGCCGCTGCCGATTATCAAGACGTCAAAGTACGAGTCGATCATGATGGGCCGGCTGTGCTGACGGTGCTTACTGTGGGGACAGGGTGCCGACGCAGGTACGCGGCGTGGTAACAAGGTCGGGGTGGCAGATACGATTGAGTGTTTGTGGAGTGTTTCGCTGAGTTGAGACGAGCAAAACAAAACAAGTGGTGCAAGGTAAAGTCCGACAAAAGGTAGGGACTCTGGTATGCAGTCAGTGGTGAGGCTGATGGGCAATCGCAAAGGGGAGCCGGTGCATATCGACGCTTTGTACCAAACTTGTTCAACGTCCGAGGTGTCTCCACCCCCATCGTGCGACGCCACAGCTTGCGCGCTCTACCCCACCGCTGACATCTTCGTCCATCATCTAGTTCATTCACGGCCGTCTTTCACCGCCATGCGATTGGAGTGTCGTTGGCACTCGTTGGTGTTGGCGGAGCGGTTAGTACGTCACCGACTTTTTTTGCCGAGGCAGATCCTTAGTTGCTTTTGCTGTGTGATGCGCACACCTTACCGGAAACGGTAATGTCACTTGCGGCACGAGGTAGGGCTCGCTCGGTTGACTCCTTTCGGACCACTATCGTTGAGAAAGGCTACTTCTCTCTGTGTCTATGTAGGCTTGATTCCGAAAGGCCTAGTCACATGTACCCTGTAGATCATGATCAACAGTCAATTCCCACGTTGTCGGACGCATTCATACCACAAATTCCTAATCATTCAGAATCTCAAGACTTCCGAAAGCGAATGCCTCGGCACAACAAACAACTGAAGCAATAGGGCCAAAGCATATCTCAAGCGCATCATAAGACACCAGATGACACCACGCGCAGATCAGAGAGCGAACCGAGGCAGGCAAACATGGTGGGTAGCAGAGGTTCCGATAGGCTGACAGTCATCGCAGCCGGTGTAATCCATATCCTGTCTTTGGCCCACACACTTTGTAATCTGTCATTGTTGTCAGTTTTTCCTTTACATGGTCGCTATGGAGGTTCTTTGGATAATCTCAACGTCCTGGCAGGTGACGTTGGATAGTAAACCAGGGTAGGAGCCGTCATCATATTCGTCCTTCACTTCTGGTTTACGAGCATCGTGTTTCTACTGATTTGCCTTTCTGGTCCCCCTTTCCTCGTCTATTCCTCTCAGTTCATTTTTAGCGAGTAATGGGTTCGTGATATCAAAAGCTTCGAGCGTACTTCTTTCATATTCAGGATTGATATCAAAGAAAGATTGAGAGGCCGGACGGTGAAGCCCTGGACAAAATGTAGGTTGATTTGCTACCTGGATAGTAACAACGATATTAGCCCCAGATGTTGGATGACTCAACGGAAAAGTATATTGTAACATGTATATACAATTGAAACTGAATAGACTCGCGGATGCGTTGTGGGCAAAAGTTCAAGATTGGGTAGCGTCAGTGGAATCTCGAAGTTGAAAGCTTGGAAATAGAATTTGAGACTCGATAATGTAATGTTACTTGACTGTTACTCTCATTGCTGAGACATCAATATTAGTTCTTAGTTTCCAGGGCGACGCGCAGAAGTGCGCATAGCATTGCAGGAAGTTTGAGTGCCTAGGAGGAGGACTGTTGAAAGAAGCGCAAGCTTGCGTGAAGGCATGGCCGAAAGAAAGTATTAGGTTGACACGAGCTTTGAAGCGAAATAGAGTCGGTCAAAGAACAGAGAAATTTGAATGTGAAGGAGATCTTGATTCGCTTGGCCACGTCTGTTGAAGTTCGCCAGCTTCGCCTCGATGGTTTCCCCAGCTGCCAATGAAAGCTTTGCCCTCGTAATCCTCTACTCCATTCCACCTCTTCTCTCCAAGTCTATCCATCAGCACTGCAGCCTTCTCGTCCATCGTTATGCATAAGAACAATCTCGACACATCGTCTGGAGCGACATCGTCCATACGTCCACCAGGATACGTCATTGTCGGCCACTCAGCTACGACAAGTCCGCCTGAGCTAGGCCATGCGGCACCAACCCACGCGTTTTCCCTCGCCGTCGGCTCAGGCTGAGCAGCCATTACCTCCTCATCTTGCAAGTGGTCGGATTCGATGAAGAGGGCGTGTCTAGCGGGAGAGTCCCACCACTTCCCTCCGAGCAATAGTAAGCGCTGAGCAAAGTCGTCTTCCTCTTGTCGAGTGGCGTGACGCTTCTTCGGTGGATCGAGACGGTCGAGGCCGAGAAAGTCGAAATCTGCAGGACAGGGCCTCTCGAGTACGATCACACCTCCGCGTGACGGCCAAGCGAATATGGTGATTTCTTCGTAGAAATCGACACGTTTACTGGCATCTTTGACGCTATCGTAAACGGTTCGCGGACCGCACAAGTGCGTCGGACGTTGCACCGGATTTGTGAAACGTGCGCTATTCGATGGGGGCGGTGGTGTGGGACGGATTAGACTGAGCAGGCTGTCCATGATGGGGTCGAAATGTGTATTGAGTGCAATGGTAGAGGCGGGAAGTTTGAGAGCTTTTGTAGCTTAGCAGAGTCACCACAAGCACGTGTCATTCGCTGATCAGACATGCTGTAGGCCGTTGTACACAAGCGAGAAAGGAAATGCCGTCGTATACATCACACAAGTGATAGAAGGTGGGAATAAGTTGGAGACGTACTTAGATGCAAGCAAGAGAAGCTGCAGTCGATGACGACATCCCCAAGCGTTTGACTCTTTCTTTGTGAGTCTTCACCCCGCACGCTCTTGGTCCGTGCTATAATTGTATTTCTTCCAGAACTCCAGGAATCCCTTCTCTCACAAGCGACCTTCCTCGACAAGAATACGCAGCCAGAATAACTCCCGCGAGTGGCCCGAGCGGCAAGCATGCCGCATGCAATCAGTAAAGCTAGCGGAACATTAAGCCTGTTAGCAGTTTAGGTCGTGTGCCAAACCGCTCGAACTTGACCCTAACCGCATCGCCCCACCAGTTTCAGCAACAAATCTTCCACTCCACAACCTGCAAGGTAAAGCATCTCTTCGACACCCGTGAGCCTTGCTTGCTGCGACGCGGAATATAGTGCTACCGTTTTCATTTCTCTTCATCAGAAAATCGGGCTTGTGGTTTAGTGGTATAATACTCCCTTAGCATCAGTTCCTGAGCAGTAAAACGCACAGGATCAGCTTGGGAGTGGTCCAGGGTTCGATTCCCTGCAAGTCCATGTTTTTGCGCTCGTACACGTCGTCACTTATGTGTGGTTGAGATGCCTTTTTTTGTGCGGCGCTGGTCGATGTTCGACGTCTGGAACTTTTGCCCCCTCATCAAAGGTTTTCGCCGAGAAACTACAATACTCAACACTTTCTTGATCCATGAAAGTTCGACAATACAATGCCAATCAGCCTCCTCCTACTGTCTTGGCTCTGAGCAAGTACCTGTACGCTTACCCGTAATCTGTTCACCAACTTTCACAATATTAGTGAATACCATCAGCCTTCATCTGCACGTATGTCTTGTATACAGCAACGCTTAGCATCTCATTCTCTAACCAGGGAAAACTGGTATTCATACTCACGCTCTCGCCCATACTCTCTCATCCGCAAACGCTATATGCCTCCTCCCGCTTTAATGTAAAAGCCAAAACAAGAAGAAAACGCCATGCTATGCAATGTACCCCTAACAATGCTTTCCCATGTTCAAAAGCCAGAGAGCCAAAGCCAGGTAGGCGAGTCATAACGCCTTGTATGAACGCCTCTTTCGACCCAATGCCACCCATAACCACAGCCATGCCGAAAGAAAAAGAGAAGAAATATACAAAGGAAACAATTATCCCACACCATGAAGTGCAAGGAAAGTCAAAGGCCAGTCCATCCTCTCCGTCTCCGCACCTGCGTCACATACCCATTTCCACCCCGCCTTTCTGGCGAAGCATTACTCACACCGAATTCCTAATCCGGCGCGACACCCTTCCTCGCTGCTGTACTCATCTCACCTCCGCTAGTCTCTCTTCTCCTTCTCACAATTTGTAGCCGTGGAAGCGGCGGCGCATTGGTCGTCGTGGGGGTGGGAGTTGGAGTGGGAGTAGCACTTCCCGGTGCATCATTTTCGCCACCAACAGTACTTTGGCGTCGTCGCATGACCGCCTCACCAAGACGGCCTGCCCGGGCTTTGGGAAGACGTGAAGACGACTTTGAGTTGGCGTTATTCGCTTCTATGCGCGCGAGGCTTGTTGCTGCATCGCGAGATGGTGGACGTGAAGATGTGCGGGGGCCAGTTGGTGTGTTGTTGTTGGATTGCAAGGCTGCAAAAGAGGTTGAGCTGCGTGCTAGAGCTGGTGGTTTTGAGCGGCCGGATGAAGGAGGAACAGCGGAGGGATCTTCAGCGAGATCCCACATTGCTGTTGACGACTGCGACCTCGTGATGCCACCGCGTCCCGTTGGCGTGCTGGCCATGGGTGGAAGCATAAACGTAGATTTAAGAGAGTTAGGTGTAGGCGGTGTCAGCCCCATGCCACTGCCTACCAGTGTAGAGCCGGTGCTAGAGCCGGAACCGTCTCGACGACCAGCGGATGAAGCTGGACGGCGTAGATTCATGCCAATAGCTGAAGCACGACTAAGGCTTCGCTTGCCATTCGATCCTTTGTTGATACCTGAGTGTTCGACTTCGTCGCATGCACGGACGAGCTCTTCGGCCATCTGCCGCACCAATACAGCAGAATCGTGTTCCATAAGCCAACTGATACGATCATAGCAGCCAAAAGCGCGTACGAGCCAGCAGCCTTCGTCCCTCGCATCACAAATTGTCCGTAGGATACGGAGGAAGTTGAGACGCGTCACAGCATCTTTGTGCCCCAGCTTCTGTTCTGTGCGACTGAAGATCTCAGGTACGGCGAGAGATGCAGCAATCGGTGGAGATAGACGAACAAGTTTCTGCAATGGTTCGAGCATGTTCTCAAACGTGGAGTGTGGTAGGTCGGCGGAGGTATACGCAGAGATGATAGCAACTGTAAAGCTCGATTGCGAAGAAAGGAGGTATTGTTCAACGCGCGCGGTCTCTTCCTGAAGCCTGCATTGGTTAGCATATTGTACCTGGATGTTAAAGATGAACGAATACCTACCATACGAATATGGCATCTAGGGCCGTCACAGCCCAATTGCGATCACCAAGTAGCGATACGTAGAATGCGAGGCCCTTCGCATCCCATAGCATCTTCCGTGCGACCTTGCCCGAGTTGACCATCTCAAGCAACACCGGCAACGCAAACTCCTTGAGCGGGCCGCCCTCGCGCACAACTTCCTTCAGTAAAGGTATGATGTCTGACAGCGCAGCCTCTTCCTGCCTGCTCTTGTTGTGCCGACACAAATTGTACATAGTGTTGAGGATCTGGTTTGAGATCTCGCGGTGGAACGGAGGTAGTCGAGCTGGGTCAGAAGCGGATCGGTGCAGGCTGCGGCTCATGGCGTCTTTTTGCCGAGTTGACTTGAGTAGTTCAATAAGGATGTCGATTGCATTGGAGTTCTGGAGGGCTTCGTGGGTCGAGGAAAGGGAACTGAGGTTCTTGATAAACTTAAGCATAGTGATTTGATGTGGTGGTGACATCTTGCGAAGGTCTTTCAATACACCTGTGCACTGTTAGCTATGTCCGAGACTCCTCCTACTGCGTCAAGCTCGTATGACGGAGGTGTGAAACTTACGCTTCAAGATCATTCGATCCGCCACGAGATCCTTGACATGGCTCTCTGCTTGTGAGAAGATAAGGAAGATTTGTACGATCCTGCCCACAATTAGGCGTGCAACCTCTCCATCCTCCTCCACCATGCGATTCAGCACCAGACTGAGAGGATATAGTACGCTTGATCTCGAAAAGATACGACAAAAGTCGTTCTTGGGCGTCGGTCCTTGCAATTCGAAGACGCCAAAGACACCATTGACACCGATCAGTACCAGATCGCGCTCAGCGTCGATGTCCTCCTCCAAGAACTCAACTAGCACATTGATACCACCACATCCGATAAACATCTGCAGAGTCAGGGTGCTTGTTTGGTACATTTGCCGTACGAAAGCTGCAGCTTCTTTCCGGATATCACTGGGAAACTTCTTGGAAGCAAAGTAGCAGATGGTCGGAATGCCGCCCAGGAACGATAGGCTCTCCTGCGATTCGGAGTCTTCCAAGATAATCAGATTGATGATCTTGAGAAGAGGTAGTACCACTTCGTTGTGCGGCCGGGTTCCAAGGATCTCCAGGATGGGCAACATGCCATGGCTTCGCAGTATGATCGATCGTTTGTCTGGCGACTCGTGTAGCACCTGTAGCAGTTGATCTGCAATGTCGAGCAGTTCATCGTCGGGCTGACTTGTCTTCAAACAGCCAACTAGACTTTCCGTCATCTTCGTTAGCCGATCGTCCCGATCTCGAGCGACGTTGTTCTCTAGATTGATGTTGTCGAGACCTTCATCGAGGTTCGCGAATGGATCGAGGTCATCTTCGTCCGCTATGATGAAAGAGTTGGCCATCTTGGATGTGATCATAGCGAGACTACTGTGCTCACTACCACTATCACTCTCGGCTCGACTAGGATTAGCAAGTTGACTCTTGATATCACCAAAGACATCAGAAAAATCGTCGCTTTCGTTCTCGGCATACTTTTGAATCTCAATCTGCGACTGCGTTCGTTGTAGCTTTCCTCGCGTGGATGTTGAGCTTGCCGATCTTTGATGTATGTTGCCATTTGACTTGAGATCGCGTGTTGACTTGGGTCCTGCTTTCAAGTCGCTGGGATGGAATAAGCGTGGAGAGAAAGTGTCAGAGGGTGGGCTGGAATTGGTGACTGCTACTTGTCTTGATGCTGTGGCTGGTGGGTGCGCGTATTGCATAGACGCCAGTTTACGTTCAAAAGCACCCTCGTCAGCCGGCATGAGATCTGAGTAGTCTTCGACAGTATCCTCACGAAAGAGCTGACTTGGCCGCGCTGGCGCTTTAGGCTTTGGCTTTGGGGACTGCGCAGCCTTTGGTGTGCCTCGTAGGAATGCCGTTCTTGGCTGTTCATATCTATCCTCATACTCTGACGTAGAAGCGTTGGAATTCGATCTTGAAGACGTGTTTGAGGAGGAAGCAGACGTCTTGGGTCTACCATTGGCGCCTCTCGATCTCTCGGCTGCTCTGTGACCTGACGCTTTTGGAAAGCTTTGGAATTGTGCCATGTTCATCGGGCTCTTCACCGTGGCTTCTCCGTCCCCGAACTCAGGCATCTCCGTGACTGACTCGAAGCTGGCGAAAGCCTTGAGCCTGTCGCTCGAGAAGAGCCCGCCAAAGTTGTCCTGTGGCTTAAGGTGTGGCATCTGCAGGGCACGAGGCGATATGCTTTCGGCAAAGTCATTATCCCAGTTATCGTCATGCTCTAGTTCCGGCGAGCGGAATGACTCTGCGGTAGGTCTGTGCTTCGGGATGTTGAGATTAACGTTGGCCGGAATCTTACGAGATGAAGCACCAGCACCGTTGGCGGCAGCAGGGGACGCCTTCTGCAATCCCGACACAAGACGAGAACTCCGGCGAAGGGAGCTGGGCGACTTTAATGCCTCGTTCCATTCCTGCACGGACTTGACTGCTTCCTGGTATTCGGTAGGTTTTGTGGGTACTGCAGGGACAGTACGCTTGGCACTGAGGATCCATGGGTGCTTGAGGAGGCGCTTTGCGGAGATGCGGAGCGTGGGATTCTTCTGGAAACACTCCATGAGGAACTCGCGCAGCAGCTGCAAGGGTCAGTATCTGGAGTCATATGGTCTGGCGTCTGTACATACCGGAGAGGCACTGCCGGGTATCGGTGGATGCTCATCGTTGACAATTCTAAACAGGGCCTGCATGGGCTGCAGCTTGTGGTAGGGCGGCTTTCCTTCAATCAGCTCGATGACCGTGCATCCCAAACTCCAGATGTCTGACGACGTAGTAGCTCCCGACAGTTCGATGACCTCTGGAGCCATCCAGTAGGGTGTGCCCACGACGCTCGACTGGTCCAAGCCCGACTGCTTGGTGGCTACACCGAAATCGGCGAGCTTGACCAGGCCCTCCTTGGTTGTAAGGATGTTGGCACCCTTGATATCCCTGTGTATGACACCTTGTTCGTGGAGGTAGAGCAGACCATGGAGGACCTGCGACATGTACAGCGCGACGAGGTTTTCGGGGAACTTTCCGAAGTTCTTGCAGATGCTGTGGAGCGATCCGTTTTCGCAGTACCTAACAGGACATTAGTTCTGGCTCTTGTATATGTGTGTGTGTGTGTATGGTTCCACGGCCACTCACTCCAGGATGATGTAGAGACTCTCGGAGCTCCTCACGAAGCCGTGGTATTTGACGATATTCGGATGGTTCAGGTTCTTGAGCAGGTCAATCTCCATCTCCATGTTCTTGAGGTCTGCGGCGCCCAGGTTCTCGAGGCGGACCTGCTTGATGGCGACCGTCTCGCCCGTGCCCCAGTTGAGTGCCCTGTAGACGCTGCCGAATGCGCCTTTGCCCAGGCAGTCGCCCAGCTGGAAGTCCTTGAGGCCCGCCACATCTTGGGCTGCCTTTTGCGCTGTCCCTTCTCTGCTCGGCCGTTGTTCGCGCTCGCGGGGCTGGCCGTTGTGGTTGGACGAGGATGACGACTTCTTGGAGTGGCCGCCGGGTGTGTTGGACGAGGTCGAGGCCTGCGACGAGCGCGAGTTGGAGGGCGCATGCGATGGGCGGGAGGGGTGTGAGACCATGTCGGCTGTCCTCGTCTGGCCCCCGGAGCCAGCTGCTGCTGTCACGTCCTACGCTGTGCTCGAGTCGGCGCCTAGGCGTCTCGGCGTGTCTGGTCGCAGGGCGGGCGTGAGTGGTGGAAGATGGGCGGCGGTGAAGGACGTCGTGCGGTGTGCATGTCCCCAACAACAAGCACCCAGAAATGCAGAGAGACGGCAATGTCGACGGGCAAGGTCGCAATTGTTGTTGTTGCCCATGCGCGACTCGTATTATGCGTTGGAGGGGCCCGTTACCAGCGCAAAGCAATTATCAGTTGGGGATCCTGGCCGCGAAACACGCTCTAAACCAGCCCGGCGAATCTCAGAGTCGCTGCCGCCTGCCAGAGGCTGCCGTTATGTCAAGACTCGTCGCCCGATGCTGCCGGGTGGATTGGGCCAAACGGGGAGTGGCTAGGCACCGCTGTTGTCGAGATGAGGGAATGTCTCGTCGCCGTGTACTCGACCTGCACCCAGTAGCGGCCGCGCCGTTGGGCGCTCGCTTCATGCGCCCTGCCTCAGACCGTCCACTCACCATCCTGCCCATCCTGCCCATCCTGCACCCGACGAGTACAATTCCCGGTCCCGAATTGTGAACATGTACATGCAGCCCACGCGACGCGTCGTCGAGGTTTTGTTTTTCTCAACGGCAAATCTCGTCACAAAGACGCAACAGTCTCAAAGACTTGCGCGTCTTCACGTGCGCTAGCCCCTTGCATACACTATCTCCTCTCCCGTCTACACACGGGTCGTCAGCATCAGAGGCACCATGCGTCACAGCTGGCTATCGCTACCACTATCGCAATCAAGAACCATGCCTATCGCGGGGAATGTGGGGAAACGGCTTCCGTCAGCTTGTGGAAACTCTACCGAAAAGGAAATGCCGGTGCGCGAGTCAAGATGAGACTTTCTGGTATAGTGGTATCATTGTTCTTGTCATCAAACTACTTTTAATCACACTTCTTATATCTCATCCCACCATTCTCTTCCTAAGAGCTCACAACGTTGAGCACACCACCGTCCACGGTCAAAATCTGGCCGTTGACGTATGAGTTCTTGGTGAGGAAGATGACGGCCTGCGCCATCTCCGCATCGCTTCCCGCCCGCCCATGTGGGACATGGCCCTTCTCCTGGATCTTCTCGTCTGGCAGGTCGCTCTTCTGCTTCTCATCGCTCTCCTTTGCCGTCATCTCAGACGGAAAGTAGCCAGGGGCAATGCTGTTCACCCGAATGCGAAGCTGTTGGAACTCAGCCGACATGAGCTTGCTCAAGTGAACGGTTCCGCCCTACAAAAATTACGTATCAGCATCTTCTTTCAATCATCGACCCTTGCAGAACTGACCTTGGCAGCGTTGTAGCTGAAGTGGCCCTGTGCATTCTTCATGATTCCTGACATGGAAGAGATAACGATGACAGAGGCGGAGAGGTGGCCGTGGCTCTCAGTTCCAGCTTGAAGGAGCGGCAGAAGGGCGACAGTGGTGAAGTATACGGCTGTGACATCGGTGTTGTAAGTCTCAGCCCAACCCTCGAATGTCTCGTTGTCGAACAGCTTCTTCTTCATATCAGTAGCATCGTCGGCGTCTGGGATACCCTTCTCGCCTGAGATACCGGCTGCTGCAATAAGAAGGTTGATGTATTTCTCCTTGGACGCCAACTCCTGATACATGCGCTCCAAATCGTCTTTCTTAGTCACATCGCAAGGTGCAAGTGGTATGATCTGGCCGCCTTGATCCGGGCTGTGTGACTTTGCTGCGGTATCAAGGGCTAGCAAAAATCAGCATAATCATCCTTTTGGTTGAAGGGGTCAAGAATCGGCTTTACCCTCTTGGCGTCGACTGGTAATGTATACCTGCTAGATGTTAGAGGCGTCCAGTCACAAGAACAAGAAACGTACTTTTGCACCATTTGCAGCGAGTGCTTGAGCAGCCATAAGGCCGATACCAGAGCCGCCTCCAGTCACTACGCACACATAGTCCTTGACCGAGAAGAGCTTCGCAACATGAAGATCTGAAGTGTCTGCTTTAGGAGGCATTGCGATTCGAAGTCAGATTTTCGGTATGAGTAAAGGAGGAAACTTTGTTGCAATTCAAAGACACGAATAGCTTTGACGATGGAGAGTAAAGACGAAGAGTGAGACGTTCGTAAAAAACGCGTAGCACTTCTGTTGGTGTAGTTTAGCCTATGACGTACAGCCATAAACAGCCCACCTATCCCAATGAGGCTTAGACTGTTCGCGCTCTTGCCCGCGGACCACAAGTTCTCTTGCCTCATATGGGCTCGTGCAAAGCGTCTGCCGTTCAGCCTCAGCTCCAACCTCGGAATGTCCGCGCCATCGATTTGGGGACTGCGCCGCTGCTAGTGTGGCCAAATCCTTCGGCGCATTCCATCGTTCCTGCTCTATCAGTCTTTTTTCGTCCGCATGTCATGTCAACGATCGTGATTTAGCACTGCCACCATTAAGCGCTTCATACGCGTGCTAGAGCCCTCAAGAGCTGGAGGTTATTATTTTGTTCATATCCTGGATAAATCTTCACGCATGCAGCTGCCATTGTTAAACTTCGCTACATCCACGACCTGGAAAGCATCCAAAGCCTCGAATGGCAGCCTCCATGTCGGAACCATCAACCGACCTCACGTTTTCACCAGGGAAGACTAGTCAGCTCTGGCCCGAGCCTTTGGATACCCCCGGATTGATACCGCGCCATCTCAAACGTTCTGCGACGGGTCAGTTTCCTATCTTGGAAGTCATTCAGCGTTTACTATATCGACTTAAGCCAAGCGGCGTTGGCGATCTCGAAAGAATACTCGCTCTTGTCGGCCTCTACCAAGCTGCTCAACCTGTGTACAAGCATTTGAAAGGCCTCTTCATATGGGCCTTCACTGTTCAAGTCACCATACCCGAAACGGATCCAGTAGCTAGAGAAGTTCTGGCCTGGATGGGCGCGGAGGTAATACTGAACAGCCATACAAGGAGTGCTATGCTAGTTACAGGAGGGTTTCAGGACCCAAACGATGATTTTCATCGACGTATGATGGTTGCTCGCAACCCTGGGGCTGCAGCGGACAAAGTTGACGAAGAAGTCCTATGTCTTCCACCGATTGGTACACGACTATTCTGGGTCGGCTTTATGTTGGGTTGGATACCTCGCCCGTACATATTCTCTCGTCGAGGTGGATTTGGTTACCGAAACAACAGTGGTATTACGGGTAACATACTCGACGACAGCGGTCAGCTCCAGAACTCACTCACCGTCATGACCCTTGGATGGAGCCTCAAGCCGCTCCGGGATTTTACTAGGCTTTGCCATGATTTCAGAATCAAGAACCTTACGGGTACCACGACAGTGTATTTTGCGGGTGATCGCTTAGACCCTTACGGTAACGGCTGGCAGTCAGTCTCCAAGGCCATTCGAAGGCTCGACACCATTGACATGGATGAGAAGGTCAAATCGGATCTAGTAAGAGACGCAGAATACTACTACAGCGATGAGTCGCGTTCATTCTTCGCCGACTGTGGCATCCCATACCGGCGAGGTTACCTCTTTCATGGCCCACCAGGCACCGGCAAGAGCTCGTTCAGTGCTGCATTGGCAGGCCATCTCAGCTGCGACATCTACCACATCAACTTGTCAACCGGTAGCATTAGCGATGGAACACTCCACCGCCTTTTTCTAGGTCTTCCACGTAAGTGTGTAGTCGTGTTGGAAGACATCGACTCTGCTGGTATCGGTCGCGAACAAGGACCTTCAGATGATCGAACTGAAGCGCTTCAACATGCACAGGCAGCCATCGATGAGGTTCATAGTTCTTCAGGTGCCATGGGGCCTCAACCGCCAGCTTCCAAACGTAGTCGTGTTGTCCGCCAAAGCAATACAGTTACGCTGAGCGGTTTGCTGAACGCCATTGATGGAAATGCTTCTCAAGAAGGTAGACTCTTGATAATGACCTCTAACGCCCCTGATACTTTGGATGAGGCTTTGACACGTCCCGGTCGCATCGACAAGAAAGTCTACTTCGGAAACATGGACGCCAGTGCCGGGAAAAGCATTTTCAAACGCTTGATTGGACGATCTGCTCTCGCTCGTGACTCGGGTTTTACCTTGGAACAGATCGAGCAGTGGGCAACAGAGTTTTCGGATAGGATGCCGAATGATACCTTCTCCCCAGCGCAGGTGCAGAACTACCTCCAAGGCTGTCGAGGCGACCCTATCAAAGCCCTGGATGGTATTGACGCCTGGATTGCGGAGCACAAACGCGATGCACAAGGATTGGATGATCCCAATACTACTACTCGGAATGGCGTAGCCTCCAACGTTCTTGTCGAAGATATGCCGGATCTAATTATGTAGAACAATCTTGTCCTGTGTGGGGCTATTGGTCGATGATCCTGCACAGACTTAGTTGGCATTCCTAAAAGATATGACATCTTCAGCAGTTCTACTATACAGTGTCTCCCCAAGACGCATATATTGTACTCAGAGGCGCAACGTAGGAGAGGGATTCCATAGGGTCTGGGCTAAGAGGCGCGTAGATCGCTGTTCAGAGCGCCATATGGACTCAAAAGCAATGTGCGTAGGTTTTTGAGGACTGTCATACACCACGGAAGATATCTGTGTTCCTCTGTCATGCTATTTGCTATCTGGGCTGGAAGAGGGATTATGCTGCCTCTAGTGAACGTTGGCTACCTAATGTTTCCATAGTTACATACGGCAAAATTCATGCATATCGTAGTGAATGCATCGGCGTATGTCCACCCAGTAAAATGTGAAGCAAATCATCGTGAAAATTCCATCTAACTCCTTCTGCGCTTGATTTAACCGGCCTCGTGACCATTCTCTTCTCTCATATCTGCCCTTCCAACCGCAACGAAAGTCAACCAATCAGCGCTACAGCAGCCACCATGCCCATCGAATCCCACTACTCGATACTCGGGATCTGCCGTGCAGCCCCCACTGATGATATAGAATCTGCATACCGTGCCGTTTTACTGGCGAACCACCCAGACAAGATCAAGCATTTGAACCCTTTTCAACGTACTTTAGCCGAAGCCCGTCTTCGAGCAGGCAAGACTGCTTACGAAGTACTTATCGACCCAAAGAAAGCCAAGAAGTACGATGACGAAATGGGGATCTGGGGCTCTTTTGGTTACGCCCAAACTTGGAGGAGGCCGTGGGAGCCTCGTGTTGCGCCTGTCGATGCGTCTGAGTCTTTACCTCCTCGTCGGCCCGCCGGCCAAGGGACTACTAATGGTGCTGAAGAACACGAATTTGCGGACGCAAAAGAAGAAGAGACTAGGCCTTATGCTGGAGGGTCTACCTCCTTCCCCAAATCGTCTGCCAAAGGAACATCAGATGGCGTGCTACAAGCAGAGTACCGCTACGGTCTCACATGCACAGCCACAGATGTAGATGTCAAGATCAAAGGATGGAGTCTTCACCTCCTTATCTCTACAAGGTTTCATTTTCTCAACTCCATTACTGCACTCCCTACTGGTAGCGATACGCGAACCATTGCTTTTCAACTCCACATCCAACGCAACAAAACCTATCTTTCAACTGATTCAAAGATTCCAGAACTCATCGTTAGCGTAGAATATATTCCAAGTGGAGGGAGAGCTGTCGGTAACATTCAGACTGTCCTGAAGGAAGTAGTGAAGGATTCCTTGACCCTCACTCTCTACATGACATCCGTTCCGTCTGGAAAAAGCCCCAACACCATGCCGCCTTGGAATTTTGGCTTCGATTTCGATATGACTGGTCATCCTGCGGCTTGGGGTCGCAAATGCGGTACGTGTATGATTTTCACGATGAATAAGCAAAGTATCGAGGAGACGCCGGAGGATGTGCTCAAGAATGAAGAGGGGTTGGTGGCGAATGCTCTTTGTGGATTGGGCGACGAGAAGCTTATGGGTGTAACATATAAGACGGTTAGGATGTGGAAAGTGGTTGCTGTAGGGTATAGGAAGAATGATTTTCTGGAGGGGTAGTGTATACCTTCACAGGGGTTTGCATGGGGCAGGAGGATTACTATGAGGTGGCTAGATCAACGGAACTGTTACGGATGATGTACAGTATATGCCTAACGTCGGCTGATTTGACATAGTAACAGAATCATAGTTTTCCCACTGTAGTGACTGTGTACCTTTCATAAATTGTAGGAACGATAGACATCTACAAAAAAGAACTAAAATCAAATGTTCAACACTTCCTGGTTGACTTCTCGTCTGCGATGGTTCTTCACTCCCTTATGCAAAGCTACGGCCCTTGACAACGAGCCGTCATTCAGCTCAATATCCTTCATGCTGTAGCGTTTGGTTACATAACCCAACTAAGTGCTCATAAGCTACTATAGATGATGACAGCCGCAAAGCTAGTTGACAGAGGAGTCAGATCTGGTGAGCTGGTTGCTGCCGCAGATTTGGCGTCCAGTCGCTCGAGGCAGTATTCAAGAAGCCGCAGTTGCTAGCAACTGTGGGATGCACATATGCGGAGGTATTGACACAGTGAGCATTTGAGAAAAACAATGTGTACCATGACGCTACAAGCAGTAAACAGGAATCTAGATGGAAGGTGGCGTTTCGGACATGGGATGAGAAGATCGTGTGCATCGATCGTGACAGTTTTAAAAATGGTTGGCTTTTCGGAATAATGCTGCTGTGGAGTTGCGTGTAATAATGATTTATTTTCTGGCGACCTTGTCCAAAGGGACACAGACTGGAAGATGACGATCTTCGTTAGAATTCGCATCAGTGCCACTCGCTCTATGCTGACATATACCCCTCCAGTTGAGCCCGTGCAACAACGTCGGACATACCTTGAGAAAAGCGAACTGCCCTTATACAACGAGGATGAGCAGAGATATCGAAGCAGGTCAATCGTATCGCCCACTCCCCGAGCCACATCACTTTATCCGCCTGATTCGTACTAGGAGAAAGGCAGATTGTCCGAATGTGTCGTATAGCATTCGAAGTACGCTGAAGACTTAGTCGTCATCGTCCTTATCAGTCGACTGTGAATAGGCATCAATAGTTTGTAGGCCATTGGCGTCTTCGCTCCTTATTGGGCAGCTAGCGCCAGCTACAACAAAACAGCACTAGATAAAACGACTGTAAGCTTGGCACGGAAGAGCGGTGGAATCAAAAGGCTGGAGGATGGGTCGGACGGGTGATGTTCGTGTCCTGGCGCGTCCCCCTCCGGCGGCTGGAAGCGCCGCGACTCGCGTCCAGGGGCTCTTGCGCTAGGCTTGCTCGGTGCTAACGTGCTTGGCAAAGCATCTTTCCGCACGAGCGTCATGTCTTGCTGCGTCACCACAAAGCTCGACATTCGCCCTTAAAAACTGAGACACCGGATTCTTGAATCCAGTTCATTGAAGTGATCATTACAGCCGGAAACTACTGTCATTATGAGACGATCACCATGGCGAGACGAAGTCGCTCTGTCTAGCGCAGAGTGGGTTGGCGAAATAACGAGCAGCAAATTATCCCTGTATATCATCAGAGCTCTGAACGTGATTATCTCGTGATGGGAAACACATATACCCGACCCCACTCTACCTCTTTTATGTGGACCGGAAAACGATCCCCGTACCTGCGCAGGTACCCCGCGACATTCATTCTAGTGTCCGCTACCCCGCCACGCTATTTGGGAGTAGTTAGAAGAGAAGTGTGATCGTAGGAAAACGATATATGTGAAATACCAAGAACAGCCTGGTGGTGGTTCTCCGCGTGACGTATCAGTGTTGTTGGGAGCATGGGTATTTGACGATCCCCACCGAGCAGTGGATACTTGGCCAACATACTTCCTGCTGGCACTGGCATCTCTCACGGAACACAGATAGTCTTTTCACATGCTCCCAATTCTTTCATCATGTCTACACAGGACTATAGTTCGAGACTCTTTTCGTATGTTACACTCCTCAATATCGCGCTAGCACTCGTAGCATATATAACTGTGCAAATCCTTTACCAGATAACTTACTACCGGTTCTTCCATCCGCTACGACACTTTCCTGGTCCTTTCTGGGCCAGCGTAACGCGTCTATGGATCGCTTACCACAATATCAAAGCCGACGAATGCGAGCTCGAACTTGCTCTACACCGCAAATATGGTCCAGTGCTTCGAATTACGCCCACCCTCCTCTTGGTTTCCGACGCCACTAAGTTACCTGAGGTATACAATCGTCAATCGAACAAGTCAAACCACTATATTACCGGCAGTTTCGGCAAGACTGAGAGCCTATTTAACATGCGCGAGCATAAGCATCATGCGCATTTTCGCAAGATTGCTGCTGGCCCTTATAGCTTCAGCAACGTCAAGAAAATGGAAGGCCTGGTAGATGATCGCATTCAGCAGTGGATCGACAGACTGGAAGAACTATTCAGTAATGGCAAGAAATTTGACTTTGCGCCTTGGGTATGCTTCATCCTGATTACGTGACGAGAATAGGGAGCACTGATACTTTGATGTATAGGCAGTGTACATGGCATACGACATTATATCGGAAATTGGCTTTGGCGCACCTATCGGCTTCATAGAAAGCGGCTCGGACATTGATGGTCTGATTAAAGGCTTCCACGATGGCTTACTTCCCTTCGGTCTCATGGCTCGACTTTGGCCCTTCACACAGTGGGCAAAAGGTACATGGCTTGGTGAGAGATACCTCGTCGCGAAACCGGAGGATGACTCTGGCATCGGCACGCTCATGCGCTTTCGCGATAAGCTTATTGCACAGCGACTTGAAGATATTGAGGCCGGTAAGATCGAGCGAGTCGATCTGCTACAGACGTTCCTCGATGCAAGGACGGAAGATGGTGCGCCACTGAATTTGGATTACATCAAAGCTGAGATCCTTCTGGTGCTGCTTGCAGGTGCTGATACCACAGGCACTGCGTTCCAAGCGATGATTGCATACATTACCTCTGACGCTCAAGTGTACACCAAGTTGATGAGGGAGGTTGATCGCGTCACTCGTGAGGGAAACTTGAGTTCTACACCACAGTACGACGAAGTGCTAGAACATTGCCCATACTATGTCGCCTGTGTCAAGGAAAGCATGCGGTAGGCTATTGTCTCTTTTCTATAGTCATTCCCATACTCACATCTACAGTTTGTGCCCCTCTGCCCCCAACATCTTCCCTCGTCTTGTTGGGCCATCGGGCATGCATCTGCACGGTCGATATGCTCCACCAGGGACAGAAATAACTTGCAACCCGTGGCTCGTGCACCGTGACGAGAAGATCTACGGTGCCGATGCCTGCGAGTTTCGGCCAGAACGCTGGCTCGAGAGCGACGAGAAAGCAAAAGACTACAACAAGTACAACATGGCCTTTGGGTACGGCGCAAGAGTTTGCCTCGGAAAAGATATTGCACTTATGGAGTTGTACAAGGCGCCATTGCAATTTCTTAGGACGTTCAAGATTGACATGGATAAAAGTCGGAGAGGCAGGTTTGTCGTCAAAGGTGGAGTAGGCTTTTGGGAGGATATGTTGATTAGTATACAGCGACGGGCAACGTAAGATCAAGGTGGCACTTCAATGTATGCTGACCTACGCAAAGCACTATAGATGAGATGATGTACGATTGAGTCGCGTGAATTCGCACAATGATTAGATGGCGTTCTAGATTATCCCGTACCCGATGTCGTCACGTGTTGGCGCGATGATTTTCCACTAGCGCGGTCTTGGACGAAACAATCCGAAACGTCCGCAATTACGCTACGAAGCTTACGGTCCGCGCCTCAACTATCCCACCACTCGCAGTACACAGCTGGTCTTGGTATAGGCTCATTGTCCCCGCACTGGGGCGCACTGAAAATGTCTCCGAGATGATTCTCCGTCGGTGCCATATCCTTGGTCCAGGCCTCAGGCCCAGGCGGAAATAGCTTGTTTCGTAGCGCGCTTGGTATATAGGAGAGCGACTCCAACATGACGATGACCCCTACCGCTTCTACGATTTTTTGAATCGATTTCTTTCGTTTTTCTGTCACTCACTGACACTGACCTTGTTCGCTGGTCGTTCATTCATTTCGTCACTCGCTTATCTACTCGTCCGTTCGCATCATGATGCGTTCAACTTTCTTTTTCTCCCTGCTTGCGGGCACGGCCTTTGCTCAGCTTGCCGAAAACAACTTGAAGACCCACGTCGGAAGTTTGAAGCTTTCTGCACCCTTCAATCCGATTAAAGAAGCGTACTGGACTGGACTCCCTCACCATCGCCGCACTCCTTTTGCTGTCTCGCCAGATGGCAAGTCAGCATACCTTGCGTACCTAGACGCTTCTGAGACGGACGTACATATCCAGAAAGTCGACCCTGCTACCTTTGCGGCCGTAGGCGATGCAGTGACCGTCACTGGTGGAAAGGAAGCCGGCGGTCTAGTTGCTCACAATGACGGTTTCGCTTTACTCACTAACGAGGCCATGCCGTCAGGCACCACCAACGCGCCGCCTGATAGTACCCCGGTAGCTGTCTTGTACCGCTACACTGCTGGCAAGCAGACCTTCAAGACGTTTTTGGGCGGCCCTGACAACGTTGGCGGTATGGGCGCACTGGCGTCCCCGGACATGAACGGAGACCTTGCTTTCTCTGAGGCCACTGGCATGTACGGTGCTTACTTCGTCGTCACTGCGTACTCTGGCGATGCCAAGGGTCATTTTGGTGACGCCATCCAATACGTTAGCGAGAACGGCACGCTCGAGCAGATCCAGGGTGCTAGTTCAAGCTGGGGATGCTCACACAACACTGGTATCGCATTCGAGGCCGCTGATTCTGTTCCGTTTCCTAGCATCTGTTCCGAGGACCAGGGTGCCATTTGGCTTAACACCGGAGGTACTGGAATGGACAAGAGCGGTGTCAAGGTCTCCAACGAAAACGTCCAGAATGGTGCTGGAAATGAGGCTATGGGTGGCATGTCCGGGTCCTACAGTGGTCTTGCACGCTTCATCGACAGCGACTCCTACATCTTCTCCTGGGTTTCACGTGGCGCCAAGGATCTGACCGAGAACGAGTGGATGGGTGCAGGCTACACTCACTCCGAGAACCGCACTGTCAACCGCAACGTTGCCATCGCTACCTTCTCAGACAAGAAGACCATTGTTGGCGAGCAAGCTACCTCTGAACTCGGCCCCGATGGTGACTCACAAGTCAACTGGATCACCACAGGCTCTGCTGACTGCCAGAACGCTCACGTTGCCGCCTTTGATGGCACCAGCGCTCTCGTGACCTGGGAGGAGATCGCTGAGCCTACGTGCGAGTTCATTGCCATGGGCTGCAAGGGTGCCTTTACTGGGTCTTACTTCCAGCTCGTCAAGGACGGCAAGAAGGTTGGCGAGCCGGTCAAGTCCATGGACGTCTACGTTGCCGGAGACATGGTTACCATGGCTGATGGTCGGGTATGCTGGCCTTACGTTGACATGGACTGGACACTTGACGCACCAGTGCGTAGCCCCGCAAATGTAGAGGCTATCAGCTTCGCATGCATGGGCCTGAGTGGCAACGAGTCTGCACCTGCTTCCTCTGCCCCAGCTGCCTCAAAGACACCAGCTCCCTCATCCAAGGCTCCCGTCGCTACTTCTGCGGCTGTCAAAGAATCAGCTCCTGTAAACGAGGTTGCCAAGTCTACCGAACAAACCCCAGCCGTTGAAACACCTGCCGAGTATGCTCCAACGCCCGCCCCAAACCCGATCGAGTCCCTGCTCCCCATAGCTCCCATCGTCTCTGTCGTCACGTCTGCGCTTGAAGCCATTCCATCAGGCTTCCTTCCCGACAATGACCTCCCCGCGCCCTTCCTCTCAATCTTCATTCCAGCTTCTGAGTCTTTCATTGCCTCTCTTGCGCCTGCTTTCACCGAAAGTGCTAAGATACCTCTTCTGTCCCTTGAGCCAGTATACTCCAGCACCCCCAGCTCTTTAGTCGCCGAGCCTACTGCCGAGCCTACAGCTTATCCTGAATACCCAGAGGCTACTCCTATCGTTGAACCATCTCAGCCGGCAGCTACTCCTATCGTTGAACCTTCCCAACCCGCGGTGACTCCCACCGCCGAACCGACTCAACCCGCAGCTTCAACAACATGCACCGAAGGCAACACCCAGAGCACTCGCATACCCCTTGACGCCACTCTTTCGGCAGATGCTCCCCCCTACCCTATCGGTACAGGCTCAGCCGTCTACCCCACTGGCAGTGGCATGCGCCCCTCCGGTATCGCGCGCCCCACTGGTGCTGGCCGTCCAGACTGGTTCCATGGTAGCCGTCCAGATGGTAGCTTTGGCTGGGGGCGCCCTAGGCCTTCCGGTATGTGGCCTGCTCACGGTTACCCCCATCCTACCGCCGGCTTTCACTACCCTTCCAAGCCCTCTCAAGCTTTTGGCCATGGAGGTGCTACGGGCGTCAAGGCTAGCAGCAAGCCTTGCACCCTGGAGACCAGGGTCAGGCCCACGCCTACTGCTCTTGTGCGTTAGAAACATCATGGATTATGAGATGTCGTAACATCATCCACATCGTTCTCACCCAATTCATGTATATATATATTTATCTTCCACAAACCTCCAGGCGGGGTGAGACTAGCTGCCGCAATTCACAGTCGGTACATCACGTACAACTGTTACTCTATTTCTTCCTTTGCCTCACATGCATTCAACTGGTTTCTCGTCCTTGGTTTGCGTTGCTAGTTGTAGGTCAAAACGATTCTTTCAGAAAACTAATCTATCAAGAACCTTGCCTCCAAACGTATCCGTCGGTCCATCCGTGTCTATGCAACTGCCCATGTCGTTTTGTCGCTTCGATTGCTTCATGCTAACCGCAAAGAGTGCGCAATCAGTCTCTAGGAGGTTCGACTTGCAGCTAGCGAGCTTGACAAACAAACGCGCCCCTCTCACCATTGCTCAGTTGTCTTTTCGCTCTCCTACTGATCCTGCTTCTGTGTTTCCCGCAACCACTGCCCTTGATCGCGACTGACTTCGCACACGTTCAGCCAGGATGACTGAGGAATCAGAGCTCGTAACGATCGATCCGAACGGCGACATGCTCATCATATTGAAAGACCCGAACACGGCACTATTGGAGTGGAAAGAAGACAAGGACTTATTGGAGGAAACGATCGCTCAGGCAGCAGGTGAAGCGACTGAGGCAGCCAACAACAGCGAAGCTGCACTGCTAGAGCGAGGATTACCCAAAACTCGGTATCTGGTGTCATCGCGGCAAATGCGTATCGTATCACCTTACTTTGAAAACATGTTCAAATTCAACTATGGCGAGACAGTTCCGGTTTTCGAGGGTGATCTGTATCATGTCCAAGCACAAGGGTGGAACCCAGAAGCATTTGCCGTGGTGCTCAATGTCGCCCATGTCCAACTTCAAGCCATACCGAGAAAGGTCAGCCTCGCTTCGTTCGCTTGGGTCTACGTTATCGCAGACTATTACCAGATGGAGGGTGTCTTGGCACTATTCACAACGGAGTGGTTTGACCAACTGAAGCAGCAACCGATGCCGATAACCTACAGTAAGGAGCTTGTACTCTGGATGTTCTTGAGTGCGAAACGCCAAGACATGGAGACTTGTAATCACTTGGCATTAATTGCGACAAGGAAAGCTTGCTATCCCATACAGTTTCTCGATCTACCCTTTCCTCTAGGAGCGCAAGGTAAGCTATCTATCTGCTTCGTGAGAGCCTGCTGACTCACATAGTACATAAGCTTGATGGCATACGATGTGCCGCTATTGAAAAACTTCTGGGTGGTGTACTTGAACTTATTGAAGAGCTGTACCAAGGCAAAGAGGGGTGTTCGGAGGCATGTTCGGGCATGCTATTAGGGTTCTTGCAGCGGGGCTTGCGGAAAGAAGATCTGCGGGATGTCGTTTCAGAACATCGCCAACGTCCCTTCGAAGGAATTGGATTCGATTCGCTTCTTTGCGAGATTGAGGAGATAGGAACTCCCTCTGATAGTGTGTGGGATTTGCCCGACTGCTGTCTACTTGAAGACCTTCTTTTTCCGATTCGTTGCGATGCTGCGGCTTGCCTAGAGCTGGATGTAAGCGTTGCAAAATGCCAGGGGCAATAGGATTGATTTGGGACGGATCTTGGGATGGATTTTCGTAATAATGACCCACACGAGTGTAAGAGAAAGATAAATACCTATTCGGGCTTGGCACTAATATTACAAGCGAATGACATAAGCGATCGTGAACTTAACATGTATATCGTGTACTTCAATGTTGGATGGGCTGGCCAACATTGTAGCGGCTGCTGGAGCCGCGGAAGGTCTCGAGTCGTATAACGTTTGCATGATATCAAAATCGCAACCATCTTCCGCATTCGGTGGAGCTAGGGTGAAGTTTGGAATCAATACAAAAGGAGATGAGAAGGATGCGACTGCTCGCGGAGAGATGACCTCCGCCAATGACGTCTTCCTAGCCCCGTCCAACGCTAGCCGCCAGCATCGCATTCCTTCACATACTATCCTGGATATTCGAACCACTGTACAGTGCCTTTCATCGCGGTAAACACTCGCATTTTGATGATTACTCGTCTTGGTACACTATCTGTTTCATCGCATGGGGATCCGCATGCACTTCATAGACCATGATTGTTAGCGACGCAGCTCAGCGGCGTTGTGTAACGCAAGCGACCAATAATGGGTTCTTCCTGTCGTGTTGGCGCTGACAGCGAATGAGTTCCTGCACAACTCCGCACTGATAGCTTACCGGCCACCCATCATTGGTGACTTTACCGCAGGTGAAAGTAGAGGATGTTTAACATTGCGCCGCAGTGATGCGTACTCTCCTCATCCTGCTTCAGTCTTTGCCTAAGAATCTCGACACCTTTAAGACAAACAATCGACACATCTTCCTCCATATCTGCCATGGCACTCGTTGTGTACGTAATCGACCCAGATCCAGATACAGTGTTAATTCTCAGAAATCCTTGCACGACCTTCGCGCCTTGGGATCCTGAAGAGAAGCCACAAAATCCAGTAGTACGTGTCTCAAAGGAGAGGAAGAAGAAAAAGAGCAAAAAGAGAGTCGATAGGCAAGCGAAATACTAATCTGATATGAACCTTGTTCTGACTCAGCACAGTTTAAACCCCCCAGAACACTATCCTCCTTTGGCACCTGGTGAACTCGCTGTTCACAGCAGTGAAACTTTACCTGAGAACAACTTTGGTGGGTCCAACGGATTTGCAGGGGCTTCATCTGCCAGCGAAGTTGCGCCTTTACTGACTACACATAAAGAGCCTGTTGAGCCTGAAGAAGAGTCAATCCATTACCATGTTTCCTCACGCCACCTAATGCTCGCGTCGCCTGTGTTCAAGCGAGCGCTAAACAAGGATGGATTCGCCGAATCCGTTCGCAACGAAATCGATGGTTTCTTCCATATAGTCGCCAGTGACTGGGATCCAGGAGCGTTTCTCATCGTTCTCCGAATTTTGCACGGTCGCAATAAGCAGGTGCCACGAAAAGTGAGTTTGGATATGCTTGCCAAGATCGCCATCCTCGAGGACTATTACACTTTTGGAGAGTCCCTGGACGTGTTCACAGAGATGTGGATCCAAGAACTCATCAAGGTGTCTATACCTACAGTATACTGCAGAGATCTGGTATTGTGGATCTGGGTAGCATGGTTGTTCGATAAAGATGAGCAGTTCAAGGAGGCTACCACCGTAGCTATCAAGCAAAGCACTGAGGCTCTCCGAACTTTGGATCTTCCCATTCCTGCAATATTATCAGGTATGTTTGTTCCTCGTTCTTATGAGATACGTGACCGTTTACATACTGCAGATGAAATCGACAACACGCGATACCAGGCCATCGAGTTCGTTGTCGAAGCCCTTCACGATCGTCTCGAGAGATACCGTTCCACCGATTATGTGTGCCCGTCCGATGCGAATCAATCGTTCATGTGCGGATCATTTCTTCTCGGTAGTTTGACGAAAGAGTTGAGCCGGCTGGATCTGATGTCGCCTCGACCAGAGGTTCCATTTCCTGGTTTGAGTTTCAATAGAATCTGTGAACTAGTGGGAGCCATGCAGTCTCGACGGTGGTTTCCTCAACCTGGAGGTTACTCTTTCGTCCATTCATGTACATTGCATGCAGCAATGACAACTCTGATAGAGGATGTATCGACTGCAGTTGGAGGGCTGAACCTGGGCGATCTCAAGAAGAGACGCGATGCCTGAACAATCTAGCATGTACGTAGTTTGAGCGGGAGATTTAATGCTCAAGTGTATGACACTGTTCTGCTTGACCGTATTCGCCCCACAAATCGCAGCCGGATGCGCAGGAGTGAGCCAGGCCAGAAGCGGACTAGTGTCGAAACAGGGGTCCAATGTCCGATGTCAGAAGTTGGGAATGACACCTTAACCAGCGCTCGAGTTGCAAGCCTCCCTTGATTTCGACAATGCCACGATGAGCGAAAGCAAAGGGCTCCTGCATGAGCATCCTTCAGACAGCGACTCGGAACCCGAACACGAGCGCAAAGCGAGTCCGCGACACCTGTCTCCATCGCCCTCATCGTCACGAACCACATCCGCGTCGCCAGCACCGCCAGGGTCACGACCAAATGGCAACTTCAAACGGCAATCGTCTTTCGCACAGCCCCGGCCCGATGGCACGCCGAGAACGCCAAACCGGGTGCGCTTCGAGGAACCCAGGAGGAGCATGAACGGAGACACCAATGGCGACTGGCTGGAGATGGACGGCGATGACTACATGGACGGCGATGATGGGCGGGAAAGAGTACAGCGACTTCCTCTGCTCACCGGGATAGAGGCGCCTAGCGTCACTGTTGCAGAACAATCCTTCAACCCGGAAGACCACCTCGAGAGTGCACAGCCACGGAGCGGGATGCGGAGCGCCTTTATGAACATGGCAAACAGCATAATGTATGCCCGTCAATGCGGAATCTAAGCATGGAAGCTAATCCAAAGCAGAGGCGCTGGAATCATCGGCCAGCCCTACGCTATTCGCAATGCAGGCCTCTTGACAGGCACCGCCCTCCTGATCGGCCTTACCGTCGTGGTAGACTGGACCATACGACTCATCGTCATAAACTCCAAGCTCAGCGGTACCGACTCGTTCCAAGCCACGGTCCAGCACTGTTTTGGGAAATCAGGATTGATAGCCATATCTCTCGCGCAATGGGTCTTGTAGGTTCACTCCACGGCATACCGAATGCACGTTATTGACAGCATGCAGTGCTTTTGGAGGCATGGTCGCCTTCTGCGTAGTAGTCGGAGACACAATACCAAGGGTCTTGGATTCAATGTTCCCTTCTTTGGCCGACATGTCCTTCCTCTGGCTACTGACCAACAGAAGAGCCATCATGATCCTGCTTATTCTCGGCATATCCTTTCCGCTGTCGCTTTACCGGGATATATCCAAGGTATGCACCATGACACAGTAAACCGATTGGGCTAACAATGTGTAGCTTGCAAAAGCTAGCGGTCTGGCACTAGTTAGCATGACCATCATCATTGTGACCGTAGTCACACAAGCCTTCCGCGTACCCGCCGAGTCCAAGGGTCAACTTCGTGGCTCACTCATCATCCGATCCGGTATCTTCGAGGCGATCGGTGTGATAGCCTTCGCCTTCGTCTGCCACCACAACAGCCTCCTTATATACGGCTCGTTGCGGAAGCCCACCATCGATCGATTCACACGCGTTACACACTACAGCACCAGCATATCCCTGGTCGCATGTCTTGTCATGGCTTTGTCAGGCTACTTGACGTTCGGTGACAAGACCCTCGGCAACGTGCTCAACAACTTTCCCAACGATAATCTCATGGTCAACATTGCGCGGTTATGTTTCGGCCTCAACATGCTTACGACCCTTCCACTCGAAGCCTTCGTGTGCCGAGAAGTCATGAACAACTATTGGTTCCCCGAGGAGCCCTACCATCCGAACCGTCATCTTATCTTCACTACTTCACTCGTCGTCTCAGCCCTCACCCTCTCACTCCTCACCTGCGATCTGGGCATTGTATTTGAATTATTCGGCGCAACATCTGCATGTGCACTGGCGTTCATTTTGCCGCCTCTATGCTACATGAAGCTTAGTCAGAGAAGCTCCAAGACGTACTTGGCGGGGGCCGTTGCTGCATTTGGATGTACCGTAATGGTCATTAGCATTATAAAGACCACGAGCAAAACAATGACGGGCAACAGCGAAGGTGCTAAATGCGGTTGAACCATGTTGTATTATATACATAGCGAGCATTGGGTGGCGTTTTGGTATACACGTTGCATATGCATGGCGGACCAGTGTCTGGAGTTTGCAAGATCGACCTTGTCAAGCAGAATAAATGTCATCACCAATTGTACTATCTTGCGCGTCGTACCTGCTTCGCGGGAATGCTGCCCTTGGCCCTGATGTCGTGGTCAGGTGTAGATAAGTAATGCGACCATGTTGTCCCTTCTCGATGTCGCATGCATAAAACACATGGTATGCATGCCAGTCGTTCATGGGGCATTATACGCAGGGCGCGTCTTTGCTTTTCTTTTGGCGTTACATCTTCAACAATCGCTTGCGCGACATGACATTCCGCGCATGAGCAGCAGGACATGACACAACTTCAGGTCATCTACAAGTCAAGTGTTGCCTTCGCGAGAATGGAGGTCAAGAAATGTTTCCAGCAAGCCGCTCGGATGCAACGGCAGCAAGTTCTTGAAGTTGGAGTTTAGTTAAGCTCACTAGCTCTGCTCAAGTCCGGTACACCAGAGGTATCCGGCACTGTATCCGCCGCTGAACGCGTACTTGCAGACCCACATATCCCTGAACACCACGCTAAGCTTCGATTCACAATATCGCAATCAATGTTTCACGACAATCGTTTTTCCGGCTATCAATTCATCTCGTAGCTGAGCGATGACGATGGGGCTGCTTTCTGTGATGTTGGAGGCGCCGATCACCCCTTGCTTTGGGGCATTGACGTCACTCGATGCGGGTTTCCGAACCCTGCTTTCACGACCTTGAAAGACACCTGGGAGATACGACGAAAGAGCGCGCTATGTCAGGGAGACTTCACATATAAGGCACGGCATCTGTTTCCCGAACCCTCTGTCCTATACTCCAGAATCTGTCATCTCCAACTTCAGCTTTTGCGTACCAATACACCAAACCATCAACATGCCTCTCTTCGGATCCAAGCGCGAGCCCAGTCCTCCACCTGCTCCTCCGCAAAAACACTCCATGTTCTCCAGGCGCCGCTCTTCGTCCCCTTCATACCGGGACACGCGCCACAGCAGCTCCACCAGTCGCACTACTACCACACATACTTCCTCGCCCAAGCGCACATCCGGCATGTTCAGCCGTGGCTCCGGAGACCCTAGCATTGCTACTGCCAAGCAGAGCTTGATGAACGCCGAGGCAGCGGAGAGGGATGCTGACCGCGCGCTTTTCGTTGCGAAGAACGCTGTAAGGGAAGCAAGAGAACATGTCCACCGTCTAGAGAGGGAAGCAGCTGAGGAGTAAGTTGATATGTGATTTGCATCAAGGGAATATGGTGCTAACAATGTTGTAGGGCGAGACTTGCGAAGATCAAGCAGGGTGAGGCCAAGGCTCTCGGCAAGAAGGGCAAGTTGCTTGGACGACACGACCATGTCTAAGTTGGCCTCAGCCGCCATGTTCACTAGCAGCCGTGGAGCGGTTGTTTAGGCGATGCCCATACGGACGTTGTTTCCTTTTGTCATGATACTGAATGATGTGAAGCGTGGAGTTGTCGGTTTTCTCACGTTACCATGAGCTCTTGTACAATACCCACTATGTTTACTTCAGCGTTGAATGTTCATCGCATTTCTGCCTGATATCATTCGCTCTTCCGTTATTTCATTGTTTTGCACAGTTATGATATCACCAAATTCGATAGCTCATGCAAAAGCAGATCTACCCGTCCTACTGTATACGGTCATCATATGTGGTTATAGGAACAAGATCAGACGAACAGCAGTACTATGGGACGCTCTAGTCGCGAAAACGAAAGACTCTCACGACAAACGCAAGAACACATTTCTCATTCTCCGACCCCACCAACACAAGGTCAACTCTACAGTTCATTAATCTCTGTAAACAAACTCATTTTGGTAAAATGGCCCGCGAGAAGCGCATTGCCTATAAATCACCAAACTCCCTCAGCGACGCAAACCGTGATATTACTTCCGCCCAGGCGAAGCTCATTCGCAACCAGAACACACATGAGCACCGTCAAGCTCTCGTGAACTCATCAGTGCCAGAAGAAACACCCGTATCAGTCGGCTTCGTAAGTCACCACGTCCTCGAGAGTCCCAGTAATGGCTACTGACATTACTCGCCCTCAGGCCGCCCAGATCGTCGACGAAGCACAGAAACCAAAGCGCCAGGCTGACCTGGAAAAGGCTCGTAGTATTCTTGACAGGCGCCAAAAAGGCCAATCAGTCTCGTGGGTTGAACTTGGATGGATGAAGACACTGTGCGCCAGGGAAGCGAAGCTAGAAGGAGCAGAGATGAAGGATGTTACAGCGATCGACATGGAGAAGCAACAGTGGCCACAAGATCAAGAACGGAAGATACAAGGGATCAGCGCTGCGAACAAAGATCCCATCTCGACTACTCGTATGCTCCTCAGAGCTCGTTTGAGCGAGGGCGACAAGATGGGCTCAGGGTCTGATAGCGGCTTGAGTAATGCAAGTGAAGTCTCTAGAGGCCCTGCGCTTGAGCCTGCTCGTGTCTCACAGAAGAAGAGTCCGGCTCGCGAGCCTGAACATGGCAATAGTGGTAGCGAGAAGGAAGAAGAGAACGCTGCTGTTTCTCAAACACAAGTAAGCTTAGTGATCTGCGAGGAAGATACCCATACTAACAATGACAGCCTCAAAATCCACACCCCTCTCCGCTGATCGATGCCAACAACAACATGACAGCTAAACACAACGTGGCTGAAGATTCGGATGTGGACATCTGGGATGACGATGTCTGGGCTCTGATGATAAAGGCCGACTAGGAGTAAAGACAGCTCTCTCTTCTCTTGTAGTTTAATTATGATATGAAAATTGTTACTCGTGGGAAGATGCATCGAGAACAAGACCCCGGATGTAGCTGACCAAATGCGTCCAGCAACCATGTAGAATCGGGCCTCATCATCCATAGCACACTGCATCTTCTTCAGCTACTTGCCACGTACTATATGAAGCGTATCATTGTACACGTTTCATACACCTTCTGCATGGATCATGAGTTGTGACCAAAGGATTGAAGCTTTTCGTTTGTCTGATCAGGTAACAGTCACCTTAAGATGCTTGCTCTCAATGCTGAGATGATGGACCTCGTTGTTACATTCGATATATATTCTAAAGCGTGCCACAAGAGATTTTGTCTACAACGCTACCGCTACATCTTATGACCCTAGCGATGACAGCGTCCGTCTGTTTGTTTCTCAAACTTGTGCTTGTCGAAGGTCCTACTGCTAGAGGTTTCTTTGTTGCTGTCGCCTCGGTCAGCGTCTTCTTCCGGCTCTGATCAATCCTGCTGATATGCTGGAGGTTGTAATGTGGTTGGACACAGAGATTGTTGGCAAGAGCGGCGTTGATAGAAAGGTTTTTCGCATTTGATGGGCGGAAGTAAAATCATTCAATCGCGGTCAGCCCTTTACGCAAGGGATCGGGGTGGTGGTGGGATTCATTCGAATGTTGGTGACCTTGTAAGAGGAAAGTCGGTGGTCACGGCAAGGCTCGAGGGTGCGGAAGGTCATGATCATAGACGCGATCAACAATATCCCTCTCAAAGCGGTTTCCAGGTTAGGCCGTCGATCTTGATACAGTTGTATATAGTGTCTGGAGCATCTTCAATGAGCGTTGTGTTTTCGCTCATACTGGCCGTGATTTGATGCATACCTGTAAACCCTTTTATCCGTTGCTACCATACCAGCTGGAGAGCTCGCGAGCTGCCTTGCCGCCCTGAGCTTGCAAAATTCGCACCGTGTGTCGACGTTCTCTGGTATCTTGCCGTATCCATTTGTGATCTTGATGAAAGACACAGGACCACTGAGAGTCTTCAACCGTGCGAGAAACTAAAATCTCGACAACTGGCAGTCCGCCTATAGTGTCGCTCACACGCTGAAGGGCTCTCTTGTACGATTGAGTGTGTCTCCACTTCATAGCTTCGCAAACATTCGTGTGTTTGTGCTCTACAATAAGCTGGGTCTTTGGTGTATTGTCGTGGCTCGTTCGTTGGCTCGAGGCGATAGCTGTACCTCGAAGGTATCGATTGTATCGAGAAAGCGCGAGTTCGTAGATTCGAGTCTGATAAGGATGGAATTATTGGACTTTCGGTAGCTGTTCGTGGTTGTGGCGCGATGGGGGACCATCGCCGTGGCTTTAGTGGTAAATTATTTGCCTCTTCCGCGGCGACCTCAAAGCACCCCAGGCATTCGAGCAGTTATTTTCACCCAAGACTCCGTACTTCTACCAATTTGGGCTGTTGCTACACAACCACACTATCGACTCGGACCAGAAAAGATTGGAGGATAAAGGTAGGGATTAGGGATTTGCTCCCATGCTCTCCCTATCTTTGCGAACATCTGTTGGCATGACGTATGAAGCTGTTCGAATCAACCTCGTCAGCTTGCCAGAGCAGAGTTTGGTGTTCCTTCACTGCTCCAGCTGGCTTTAGCAGTTTGATCTCGAGCGATCTACACCCTTCGCGTCGTATCTCCACCATCACCGGACCAAAAACTCTCGGAGCGGTACGAAAAGCAGCGCAGATCTCATGATATCTTCCTGCGACTGTTGCAGTGCTCCGGTCACGATTTGGTGGTGTTGCACTTCCACATTTACACCCCTTCGGTGAGCCCCAAGCACGCCGCACGGTCACACCTCTTTTCTACCTCACCCCTAGCTTGATATAAACAGTCAGGGTCCAGGTCACTGAATCTTTACTCAACCCTGCGCATAACTCAATAGCCACCATTCGCAGGGTTCGTGAAGCGGTACAAAGAGCTCCGTAAAGACCGTAGCAGCCTTGTCCAACTCTCCTGGTGTTGATACGATCTCGGGGGCATACTGCACCACCAGTAATTTCAACCTTTGGTGAGCGCGAGGTCGCGAGCCTTAGCGACAAGGCTGGCAGCCTAGACAGTGGCGCCATATAAGCTTGCCCACCGACCCCCAACTCCATCTCTTCTACATCCCACTACCCACACTTGGATTACAAGATCCTCGAGCTCAGGCTCATCTTTCCCAGGTTCGTCTGTTGGGCCCATCGATGATGGATACCTATCTCTTGTAAGTCACATGCTCCCCTCCTTTCCTCGAGCGCACCGAGTCTCTGCGAGCACCATCGGCGACCCCGCCTTTGACAACAACACAAGCCTTGCTCAAAGGTTCTCTCATGCCCTTTATGAAAGTGTAGTACATTTCTGTAATACTAACACGCTTTTCAGCGCCGGCCTCAGCATATTCAGGTTGGTGTCGACCTCAGTCACCTTATCTTTGAAGGCCGACACCAACACTGGCATGTCTGGTACCAGCTCTTCTCTCAAGCGCAAGTCGAGCGTCTACGATCTCAAGATCCACAGCAGCTTTGATTCAACGCCGACTTTGCTAAGGAGGGGGGCTGGACCAGAAAGAGCTGTCGTAGTGGGTGGAGCGCGTAAGCACCGTCACCACCTTCCAATACATGTCACGCTAATCACGTTTAGTATGGTACACACGACGTTTTAGAATCGATTTCAATTCCGGCTGATGTCGTGTGTTGCTCATAGCGTTTCCATTCGCTACGACAGCGCGTTGCCGCCGAAGGCAAAGATATCTTCCTGCAGACCGGAACCCCGGTCGACTACAAACATGTCCGGTTTGCTGTTGCATCCAACAAGATAAAGATGTCCGCTACCCTTCGGCGGCAAACGCAACTTCCAACAGATCGGCGTGGAGTATGTTTACAACTCACCGGTCCCATTATATCATAGCACTTGCTAACTCGCTGGGTAGTCATGCAATTGATCCACACCGAGCATGAACGGCCGTGCTTCGGTGGCTACTCTCGACAAGCAGTCACCTTGGCCATAGGGTTTGCACAACTTAGGTAGCCTCGGCACGGCCGTCATGGTGTGGAAGGGAGAACGACCTGGTATGTGCTTCTTCCCAGACATCCTTGGACTCTTTCGTCGAACTAACTCAGCACCAGCACTCGAGTTTCTCGACAATCTTGGGGTCGGGGCGCTGTTGATCGATCCACAAACTTCAAACCCGAAAATATCGCCCCACCCCAAGAACCTCGAATTTGCACTTGCGGCCTTGTCGTTGGGCTTCTATGTCCAGCTACCATGCGAAGCCCGCGACAAGGCAGTCGTTCTCCCTCCTTACCTGCAATACTCGCGCACATTTGATCTCCGCACTGAATACCAGAGATGGCAAGCACACCGCATTTGCCGAATCTTCACATCACGGGCACTTGCCCGTACCAAGCGTTCCGATCAAGGTTCCGAGCCTTCATCGAGCTGGGTTGGACCCTGCTCGATGCAAAGTCGTGCGAAGAGGTATGCCTATTGACAACCATGCCAAGCTCCACCGCTAACCCCCACAGCAGCTGCATCGTGAGTCTGTCCTAGAAGGAGACCTGCCACCGCAGGATACGCTGCTTCGCGCAACTACACATCCAATACTGGTCAGCCTTTCGGTGTCCAGCAGCCCTTTTCGTATAACGGCAGCTCTCCGTATACCTCTGGCGCGGGCTACGCCAACGCCTACAGTAACGCTTCACACATTTCGTGTCATCGACTTAAACATCGCCGTATCTTCATTCCAGGAATCCGATCGAAAATCCGTTAGTGTCAAGATTCTTATCTGCAGTGGATGTTGTTGACATCGTCTAGTTTGCGGGCGTTTATTAGAGCATCGGGACGCCCCAAGGTACTTGGAGGGGGCGACTGAATAGGGCGAGGCAGGGGCCCTATCCATCAATGATGTTGGGCATTTGCGCAGAATTGTACTTTTAGGACGCTTTCTGTTGCGGATCTCAATCGCCGCGACCACCAAAGTCAGGGATTTGGTGGCTGCTGTTCCCAGCAGCTCACCTGCTATGATCTCGGATCACAAGAGAATGCGAGTGCTTTGGTTGATCACGGCGATGGAGATCCAACGAAGTGATCGATCGGTCATGTAAGCAGTTTCCACGTACAAACCACTCCTGAGGCATACGCTGACGTCTTAAGGGACCGATAAAGAGATATTTTCCGTCTGCGACTTGAAGCCGAGTACTATCGTAGAGCCCAAGAAGAGAACGAATTGCTACTGGCGGAACTGAACGGCGTCTGGGACGTTCAGGCACGTCAGTACTCGGCTTCAGGTCGTATATCTCAAGGAGAGAAGGCATCAAATCGCAGTGAGTCTATTGTAGACCGCTCGAGCGCTCCTTCGCGTGAAGGTAGCTTTGCGACATCGATCAACAGTAGCATCTACACCACAGACTCTGAGCTATCACCTAGGCGATCATGACTGGATGATGATCGGGCAATGATAGTCTTTGAAGACGAAGAATCGTGCTGTGTAGCGAATTCCGGTACTTTTCAGAGGGCCGAAAATTGTCGAAGAGCTGGATGGCGGACATAGTTATAAGACGTCGGAGACCCCGGTAATGTGGTCGTTTGAGGGTTGCGAGCAGCTACTGAAGATGGAGAAAGCGGGCGGTTATCCTAGAGTCTTGCTTGAGTGCGCACCAGAAAGTTCAATGGTCAATATCATCAGACTGTCATCCAGCCTGCGGGTCTCGTGCATCGCGGTCGTGAACGTATGTATGCCGCGTAGCTCGCAGTGGTAAGCATCTCTTCTTTATCGCCGGATGTTTGCTGACGTTCGCATGCTCTGTCGCATACGAGAACATACCTCTGGTCCATAAGTAGTGGTCTGAAGCGTTTCGGAGATGCCAGATTCGCTGTGACGATAAGAACTGATGTTCACGGCTGCACAACATCCGGGTGGCTGGGCGGAAGACCCACACTTGCTTCCACGCGTCATCCTTCCCGGACTTCGGCCGGCATGCCTACAGTCCAACCTCACCTCTTTATCGAGAAGGCTGCCCATCCATTGGTTCTCAGCCTGAGGCATCTGTTAGCCACTATTCGTTTTGTGGTTATGAAAGAGCTGGGGAAATTCTGCTGCGACACGCGGCGTAGAAGCTACGCGGGAATGTCCTTGGAACCCCCAACCTGAAGACGTCAGATGCCGCAGAAAACAAGCCATGGATCGCGCAATACTGCGCGGCATATGCATATTCCATTGCGACGTGTTCATCCTCGTCGCCGATGCAATCATGCGTATCTCCGTTGCTCTACGCATCAGCGCCCTATCCTCGAGAAGTCATCTGTCGGCAACTCTTGACGGCAATCGAGCTCAGAATTGTCACTTCTAAACATCCTGTACGTTTTCAAGGCGAAGGCAAGGTCGCCTCGTCAAATGCGTTGTCGAATTGGCGATCCTTGCTTCTCACGGCGGAGAGTCAAGACAGCCGCTGGGCATCCAAACACTGGGCGTGCTTAGAGGCGACGTCTCTGCTCCATTGCACGAGCCTTACGATATACGAGGGATACGCAGCTCTACCTTGATCCTCTGACTGCATCGTTCAGAGGGTTTTCGACCTTTTTGTGTGTGTCGCTACACTTGTCGTGAGCCGTGAATTGGCGATCGTAGGCATCATGGTGGGCGCTGTCCAAACAAGCATCTCGCGCTCCACGGAATCTGTCTACGAGTTGCTTTTGTAAGCTAGACGATGTAGGTAGATCGCGCAAACTTGTTCATGGCTTTTTTTTCTGTGTTATACGCTTCACGAAGCGCCATCACAGCCGTTTCACCGACCTGTCCAAATCCAAAGCGGTATCTCAACAGTCTGGTCAAGACTGGTGTGTTGATGCGCTTGCTATGACTACGAGTCTCATCAGCTTCTGGTCCTTCGTATATCATCGAGGCATGTCTGTGGTATCGGTGGGTCGGGAAGCACTTCGTGGCTTTGCTGAGAGCGTCCGTAAGCAGGGTATTGAACCGAAACGGCACCAAACGATTTCCGACGTCCGTTTTGGATCACTGGCATATCTGTTAGCCATCCATAGGTCTTGCGATGTCTTCTAGTCGCTGTCTTGGGTTGCCGCCTCAGGGTGGGAGGGTTCTTGGAGCTCAGTCTGGCCGCCGCGGAGGAGCCACGCCTTGACTGGAACGAGCATTTTGACCACGGGTGTATCGCATCGCTACTATCTGTCAATCCGGACGCAGTATCTTCATCTGAATTCAGCAAAAGGCTGTATGAGAGGTCACATGCCCTTGACTGTCTGCGCCCTGGGCAAGTTAGCTCTGCGTCCAAGAAGAAGCCACCCACTACACCCTCACCGAGTGATACTGTCATCCTGCTTAGTGTCTCCTACACGATGATACAGCTGAAATTTTCTATGTCTTACCTTGCGTGCGTCCACGACGTTGCAGATTTGTGGTTCGGACTCATTGGGTGGTTGAGCGCGGTCCTAATCAAATCCGCCGTTGTGAAATACGATGCCGTCAAGATCGGTGTTGGTACTAATGTGGATGAATACTCGCAGGTCTTCGACGAGCGTCTTGTTGATCACAAAAGAAGCGTTCTGATTTTGTGGAAGTCGTGGGTGTCGAGGCTGAGGCGACCGCCAGCGGAGTGAGACGAAGCACTTCACCTAGCCCCACCACGATGCAATCCGCCCGTCGTAGACCATGAGCAAGAATTTTATTACCCAAGCCAGTACAAGATTCCTGCACATGATAAAATCCAGTTCATACATCTTCTCAACACAGTCAAGCGCTGCGCCATGTACGCTGAATCAGGCATTCGTCGCAAAGGGCATAGACATCTTGTGGAGCGGGCAAATGAAGAATTATACGACGCTTGCGGCACTTGAGCCGTTCCTTTATGCTTGCGACTAGTTCCCTGCTACTGCGTATGCGTATGGAAACATGCTTACGCGTGGCGTCTGCTATGTGTTTTGGGAATTGTTTCATACAACATCGAGCATGGACGATACGCAATAAATGCCTCCAAATTCGATTGTGGTCGTTCTGCCCACCGTTAACAACCGTATGCTGGATACATACTGCTACTATCCTCCATGTCCCCCTACACGGCGTCGTCGTATCATCTCAGCAGTCCATCCTGTCATCCTCCTCCTTACTCCGCCGTAGCACACATTCGTCCTCGTCTCGTACTGCCTTTTTTACCTTCTCACTGTAACGACTACGTATTCTCCTGCCTTGGTCCCTGTCTTTCCGACCCCTTTTTTATACCCGTAGTCGCTTTCGTATCCTGGCTTCGTCTGAACATGGACAGTACCTTGGAAAGCTGGGGACCGGACACTGCAGGAGAAGGCGGCTTGGGGGCTAGAAGCTTGCTAAGTCTGATGTCAGTGAAGGATATCATGAGGACTGATCAGTATATGTACCTAATATACTACGCCATGGAGACCAACGACGTTCGTTAATCACTCTAACTACACTGTGTTTGCCCACATGATCATAAAAGTCGCAAATTGCCGGCAGAACCCCGGAGAAAGCTGCTTACCCATATCGTCACCACAGCGACTCGCGAAGTCAATCGGGGTGCTGCATACTCCAGAGAAGTTTGTGGATACATGAGCTGAGTATTTGAAGGGCACTGAGCACTGATACCATCTCTTTGGATTTTATCAAGCGGTGATCGTTCAGTACAGGTCACCGTCACTCACGTCTTGGCATGGACTTCGCAAGGCGCTGGGACCACGAGTCTGTGGACCATATAAACAACCGACTTTTGTATACGTCTTCTACTCTTTGGCAACCTCACTCTCATTGCCCCTGACAAGAAGATTTGACACGTTGTTACAAATCTTTCCTCATCCTTTTCTCCTCCTGCTGCAAAGCAGCAAAACAACCACAACAACCACAAAAGACCGGCACCACCACCGGCACCAAGACTGTTCGCCATGGAGCGACCTTTCTCTACCGTCAACGCACACGGACCTATCGAGCCGCCTCCTCACCCTCCTCTACCACCATCAGGGGGGCTTCGTTCCCTGCTGCCGCCGCCACCACCGCCACCACCCGGTCCTGGTCCTCCTGGTCCGCCAGCAGACCCCGTGTTCACGTACGAGCAGTTGTACGTCCTGTCTGGCGCCGAGCTGGCGAGATTTCTCAATGGCCTATCCCAGGCCCGCTTGGAGTTCTGGCTGGACCACCACGGACGGTGAGGATGACGATACGTCAGGCGGTGGGCCTTTTCGTTGGTGTATTGGCTTAGTATTCTCTCCGGTTCAGTCTCAGGTTGGATTGTGACGGGTTTTGGGTTTAGGTATGGGCTTAGGGACTGGAATCGGCGCTTCGGCGCATAGATAACGACAATTGAACTCTTCTCGGTTGTCTGCGCTACTGCGCCCTCATCTCCCGTGCTATGCTGTATACCTCATTGATGTTTTGTGATGTTTGTAAAACTTTGCTGCGACTTGACGCAATCTCCTGGAGGCATCAAGAGCGTGGTGATCATTTGTTCCAGACAAATTGAGTATATCCTGGACAGTGGGCGCCGCTGCGAGGTTAGCTGGCAGTAACCATGTAGCTAACAACACTGCGGTACGAAATGGTATCAATGGCTTGGTCGATGCTGGTTCGGGCTCGATGTAGTCATGTGCATTCCACTTGTATGAAAGCTGCACCATGTTCGTGCAGAGATAGAAAATAGAAGGGGAAGGGTTCTAATCGGTAGATTTGTATAGCTATGACAGCTTGCCATTGAGTGAGAATCACAAGGATAACGATATCTCTTTGAGCAAACAAATAAGTCCTCTAAAGCTGGGATTTGTTCGTATTTGCAAGTGGTAAGAGGTGTTCTGGATTAGCTTGAGGTTGACAATACCATCATAATGCCGTGTCTTCTTACAGACAACTGACATTACACGTCACTCAAGCACCACCCTCCCTCTTAGCATACTCGTCCTCCATCCTCTCCTCATACTGCCTCCCTTTTGTCTTGGCATCCTCCTCCTCTGTCACATCCTGTATCCGCTTCGCATCCGCCTGTCTAGGGTCCTCTAGCTGTCTGCCTGCAGCATCTGTTTCAAATCGCTCGACACGAGGCGCTTCACCTGGTGCCTGATGTGTGCGCTGGGTGCGGGTACCACTAGGGTCTGTGTAGGTTTGTTCGGATTTGGAGGTTGTTTGGCCGTTGATGGTTGTGCTGGACGAGGATGTGGAAAATGATTGGAAGGTTGAGCTGGACATGACGGCGGTTGTTCGGATGGTAGATGATCTGGCTGTGGTGATACGGGGGGGTTTTTTTTTGTGACTGTAGTACAAGTTGGTAGGTTTGAGAGTCAAGGGTTCGAGGGCGAGGTTGTTAAAGTCTGGCGCATGTCACGCGTTGTGATCTCATAGTATGACATCATAGGGTCCAGTGCTCCGTAGAAACCTCAAACGCGAAAGCATTCCAACGATCTCAGGAGGTAGAACGCTGAACAGCGGACAAGATACATGAACTTGGGAACTAGAATGCTGATAACTTTGGAATGCATCAAATCTGGTGTTGGAGACAATGCGCGCCCCTGACTCTGCCATGCCATCAAGCGTCAGACTCACATTGAGTTTCTACTACTTCTCTATTGGCAAGCTTTAGAGTCAATCAGATCCCCTGAGGTTGTGCAACCAGATTAATAACACCAAGTCTCATTGCAAATGTTGAGACGAGAGATGTAGATGTAAGTGCATGAGGTTTGCCTGAGAGAGGAATTCTGCAAATGTTGGCTGAACCTGGGTATTGCATGTCGATGGACTTTGTTGAGGGGCAAGCAGAAGAGTTGCTGCAACCTCTGATATTGCTTTTGTACGCATCGTGCAGGGTCTTTATCAACGTCGGGCTCGAAATAGATCAGAAGCTTGGTGGGGGAACCGTCGTTCTTGCTTCTTGATCGCCGGCTAGTCGCGCCATATCCCTGTCGCTGTGGCACGCTACGCCCCTGACAGCGGCGAGGAGCGGATCGTCAGGCAGGTGCCTTCGGTCATTCTACCACGAGCCAGCCCACCATGCTGCTGTCCGGCGTCTCGCTGCTTGCCGGCCTCGTTGCATCGGCCTGCGCTGCAGACATCCCCAAGGTGCTCGACTGCAGTCGCGACAGATACTGGGAAGCGCCCGAAGAGTGTGAGGCGCCCATCGCACCCGTTGCAGCAGTGGTCCCCGGATCGTCCTACATTGCAAAGATAGAGTGCAACGACTGCCCTTATACCGACAAAGACGACGAAGTGGTACACCGTGATCATGTACTCGTATGTATAAGCAAGAGGCCTAACCGCAAATGTGCCTAAGGCCATGCTAACCACCGCGCGCTACAGCTCCTCAACGTAACCCTCACCCACGATAACCGCACAGTCCTCCTCAACAATCGCCCGCTACATCCCTTGCCGACCATACCCACACCCCCTGCCTTTGACGTCACACGATACCGCTCCAACCTTTCCCATGCAGAACTGTACGCTGGCCTGACATCGGAAGACCCATACTGTCTGAAGAACGGGAATGGCGGATCTGGACAATGGTGCCGCACAGTACCCTTGACATCCTCCTGGCGCATGGCATTCGATTACCTCTACATTGCGAACCCGAGCGATAGCCATGGAGGCGACGACACAGACGCCGAGTACTGGGAGGTTGCGTTGGATGTGATTGGAAAATCACGATACTCTGGGGACAGCGACCCGCTTTGGAAGTTTGACAGTGCGGATCAGAAAATGCTATGGATGCTCATCAAGGGAACCCTACTGAAGACAGGTGGGAAAGGAGGACCAACCAAGGTCGCAGACCCTTTCGGGCAGGCCATTACCGACGACAACATCTATGAGTATCAAATCCTTGACATGCGCTTGGTCGCCCGAGCCTACACCTTTCCCGCCAAGAAGCCCTTGACCATCTGGGGTAGCATAGGGCACTTCCTTGGAACCGATGTCTGGGACATAGAGGGTAGTCGCTTTCTCTATCGCAAAGAAGAATGGGGCTACTACGGCAAGAAAGGAACTCTTCGCGACATGTTCGGCGAGTTTGTCCACTGGAGGGACTGGCCTTTGTTCTGGATCATCTCCAGCAGTCTTGTTGGCGGCTTGCTTGCCCTGTTCCTTTTCTGGAAGCTTTATTGGTGGATCGTCGCGCAGCGTGAGCTCATGAAGTGGGACGGCATGGAGGATGTTTGGGAAAACATGAGGAGGGAGAGGGTGGCTGAAGAAGAGGGCGCTCTTCTGGATGCACATGGCGCATACAGAGACGACCCGGACGAAGGCAGCTCCTCAAGACCACCGGCGTATACGGATGCGTTGAAGCCGCTGCCAAGCAAACCGCTACCCGAGAAACCCTTACCCGAGGTTCCATTGATCGATGCTTGAGGGCTTGATATTCGGTTGGCATTTCTTAGCTCCTTCCTAACGGATATCTTTTCGTCACGCCGTTTGCCATGTTCGTCTTACAAAGATGTTTCAGGAACTCTTGCTAAGCGCACCATGGAAATTTCTTGATTGACAATCATCAGCCAAACATCAAGCCTTGCAATATTCCGCCCTGTCTGCAATTGGTGCAAACTGCTTATCCCCGCCAAACTCCGTACAACTCCGCTATACTAAGGGGCAGCTTATCACACATCCACCTTGGATTGAGGCAGTCGCTGACTAAACAAGCATTGAACGTGTCAACAATCGTCGTTATGGCTTCGAAAGTTGAAGGTTTGTGGCACGAGTCATGACCGATGCCGTCATCTGCCGAAGACACGCCTAAAACTGCGGACCGAAAGCGGAACCATGGATGCGACGATACAAAGAAAGAAGCTCAACGCCTGAACTCTCTACAGCTAACTCATTCGCGTCAAAGTCAATAGTACACAACTTGGCAAGATTGAGCCATCATGGTCAAAATCGCGGTAGCAGGTGGCACTGGAAGTATGTTTCCCTCTTCTTTCCATTCATACCTACCCCACCTTGATATCAGTACCATATGAAAACTGTCCTTAGCTCCAAATCAAACTCTCCTATTCTCTACTGACACATCTCATAGACGTCGCAACTAATTTCCTCAAAAATGCAATCGCGTCCGGCAATCACGACGTCACCATCTTCACTCGCTCCGCCCCAACAAAACCTCACCCATCTTCCAAGGTCACCTACAAGCAAGTAGACTACGCGGATCGCGATGCCCTCACTCGTGCTCTTGCGGGCTGCCATACGGTCCTATCTTTCTTCGTTGTCCACTTAGACGTAGACAACGTAGCCCAGAAGAATCTAATCCATGCATCAATTGCGGCAGGCGTCTCACGCTTTGCACCTAGTGAGTGGGGTATCTCAAACTACAGCGGTGTCGCAAGTTACGAGAACAAAGACATCATCAGAAAGTATCTCGAAGACCTTGATAGCAAAGGTGAGCTGGGATCCATGCAATACTGTCTCTTCCAGCCATCCATCTTCATGGACTACTTTGCGCACCCATACCCGCTCGAACGCGATCTCATCACCTGGCCCTTCTTCCTCGACTTCGAGAACCGACGTGCTATGGTTCTTGATGACGGAAACCAACCCCTTGTCATTACTGCCGTTCAAGACGATGCTGAGATCCTCGCTCGCGCCCTCGATGACACGCGTCCGTGGCCCAAGGTCGGTGGTATCACAGGCTATCGCACTACCATCAACGAACTGCTCGCTCTGGGTAAGAAGATTAGGGGAGGAGACTGGAAGGTCGAGTACGTGAAGAGTGAGGATATTGCCAAAGGAGAGTTGAAGGCAAGCTGGCTACCGCTCATTAGTCATCCTACGGTTGGAGATGATGTGAGAGAGGCATTTAGCAAGCAATTTGTCCTCATGTTCTTTGAAGCGATTAGAAGTGGTGGCTGGGTTGTTAGTGACGAGTTCAATCAGCGGTTCCCAGACTACAAGTTCATGGGCGCGGAGGAGTATCTGACCAAAGCTTGGGAGGGTAAGCCGTAGGTTGAGCATCTACAAGAGTGGAGGTTGAGGAATGTTTTTGTACAAGAATATTTACAAGAAACGAAGCTCTAGTACATACAGCACTTCAAGGTTCAACCTCTTCAGTCATCTCATCTACAAGAAGTAGCTCTTGATCTTCGGCAAGATCCCCGTCCAAGCCACACCAGCGGTGGGCTCCATGTTGTAAATGTAATCACCCCACCATGGACCAGCAGCCCACCAAATACCTCCAAGCCAAACATCACTGTTAGCACCCATGTACTTCAGTCCATCCTGCAGCGCAGAGATACACTGCGCATTGTTGCCACCCGCAAACTCGCCGATAAGACCTTGCTTCTTGTTATCCTTGAGCCACTTGGTCGCCGCCTGAAGCCTCTCCTTGAAAATCGTAGTGCTGACGCAGTTGGCAGAGGTACCAGACCCATCGGTATCGAGGTACTGGTGCATTTGGTAAACAAGCTTGTTCTGCGGGTCCTTCAAGTTGACCAGACTAGCACCGTTGCCAGAGCTAATCCATGTCCATGCACCAGTCCAGCTGTTTCCCTCAGGGGTAATGTATTGTTTGGTTGCACCGGCTGCACGTACACCATCGATGGCAGCTTGGTTGAGATCGAAGACGAGCTGTTGGTCCATGTCGTGGTACTGCAGATTTGAAAATACGAAGTCAGTGTATGTCTCACATGCATTTCGTGTAGGCACAACTTACTTCGTTGTTTGTGTCGAAGACGACGAGTTCGTTGTCTTTGTATTCTGCGGCGACGTTTGTCCACCACGTCTTGAAGGCGGCTGTATCGGTGATAATATTGCCGAGAAAGCGACCGTAGTTGTGCGGTTGGATCATGGCGTAGGAGCCTTTCGAGGTGATGTGGTTTACTTGTTGGGTCAGGTTGCCTAGGTAAAGAGGGTCAAACTCGGCCGTGAGGGAGTTGGGAGTTAGGCGCTCCATTACTGGATGTTGTTAGTCTCACATTTTGGAGCGATTGTGATATTGGATATCAAGATAGGATAGCTTACGGAAGTTCAAACGGAACATGTTCATCCCTTCTGCCATGAACTTGTCGATTGTGTTCAGATCGTACCATGTGTACTCCTTTCCGTAGACACCTGTGAAGTTCTTCTCACCAAACTCCGCACCAGACTCATTGATACCAAACCACTTCATCTTGCGCGCGGACGTTTGACGTTCCTCAGCTGGGGCCGCGAAAGCGGTGCTGGCCAAAGCGGCAGCCGCCAAAAGACTGTTGAAAAGCATGGTGTGGAGAGTTGGAGTATGCTTGTATGATCCTACAATTCACCTACTGGGCAAGCATCGTTCTTATACCGTACATAGTTCGCATTGCAATAACTAAACGCCCCACAGCTGGACGGGCCATCCCCTCCGTTCCTCCCACGGCAATGAGCGGGTCTTCATCTGATGCCAATATGAAAAGGCCGAATGTGGCATCATGGTTCTGAAGCCTGAGAGCCGTGGTGCGGGATAAATTGCTTAGGTATATTAAAGGAAGCTTGAATGACCAGGAACGTGGGTCATGCGCAGTGGCTTTTGCGGGGATGCAGGGGTCACCATTCGTGGGGAGACCGGAAACAAAGAAAAACCGTCGAATTGAAACATCGCGCCAGCTGTTTAGATCTTCAACGTCGACAAGGAGATTTCAGGTGTGTGTGTGAAACGTCGAATTGCGCATGATAGTCCGCCAATGAAGACGTCATGGGCGGCCGGTAACGGCCCTTGCATGCCGAGGAAGCTTCGTTGCATATTCGTCGCATATTAATTCTCCTTGGTCCTTACCATATTCGCGCTAGTTTCTCATCTCCTTGTAGTCTACCTACATGTGATGTGAGCACACAAGCTCCGTGTCGAGAAGGGCAACGCTCGAGCATGCTAAGCATCACAGGGCAAACTCTTGACTGAACGTGATGCGAATTAACAAATCCGTTCACGTTAAGAGGTTTCCCATCATCGCACGGGACAATCTGTGGAATGTGGTGCGAATCTCCATGTCGCATGCTGCGGTCGTGGTGTTCAAAAGCCGTCAGCACGGGAATCTAGATACAAGCTTGAGGTAAATCGAACTCGGAACATCTATCGCGACGCTAGTACACAGATAGGCATATTATGATTTGCAATATTGAAGACCCTATGGGTTGGTTTCCTGATGATGCATACATTGGATCCCGATATGGGAAGAGTTTCCTTCAAGGCTATGAATCGCGTAATTCAACGTAGACGCTGAGGCACAATAAAGTTCTGTACTTCCCCTCAACGTCTAACCCTTCGCCGACTAGCGCTAGGGAAGACATCCCTCGATGGCACCGCATGATTACCTCTGGTAGCACTGTTCAAAGCGTTGCGGCTACTCCTCACACCTGCTCGTTGCAGGTTCTCCCATTGAGGTTGCGTACGAGCGAATGGGCGGCTTGCAATGATCGAAGGCATAGCAGAGGGCACTTTACCGATGCGGGAATGTGAGAGACGGTTTGCAGACGCTACATTGATCGCAGCTTGCGTATGTATAGGCGCTTTTATATTGTAAAATGTCCGATCATTGGAAAAGTCATAGGCGGTGTCGTTGGTGTATGATAAACGTCTCGATTTCTGTGGCGTAATGGAGCCACGCGAATCAAGACGGCATCTCTGATACTGCTGTGCTGAAGGCGTCGGTACTGATCCTACCAACCTGCGCCGGTGGTCCACTTCGATGGGCTCATTTCTGGAATCAACCGGTGAATCGAAGAATGAAAGAGCGTTGAGACTGCGAGGCTCAACCCAGCCGGTCTTGTGATGGTTCGTCCTTGGCTTTTGTGACTGAAAGCCGCCGGAACGATTTGAACTATCCTGAGGTTCAGCGCGGCTGGGTGACGAGATAATTTGGGCCTCATCAAGACCGTTCCGGAAATAGGGACTTACTACACTCTCGATTTTGGGACCACGATGTTGTTGCCATCTAGGTGCCGGTGTGGCGGAACTGATATCCGAGACGTTGTGCACTCTGTTCGTAAACCCGTTAGTCTGGTGGTGGCTAGGGAGATAACCGTGGACATCGGTAGAGGTGGAAGATCTGAATGGCGATTGGTGCATGAACGGATGTCCAAGATCCCAACGCTTTTCGTAATCAACACCTTGTAGATTGTCCTCGTTCAGAAAACCATGCAACACTTGCCTATTCTCACCATTCGCACGGTCAACTGTGTTCGGTTGCTTGCGAGGATCTTTCAAGCCTAGCTCTACTCCGCTGTCGCTTGACAACCCATCCATCAGCCGAATGTATGAACGCTCGGTAGGTAAATGGACAGGACGATCGCTATTGCCTTGCTTGTCGAATTTGACCGGAGAAGAGGCCCGGAACGTAAAGTCTGATCGGTTGTCATAGAAGCCCATACTAGGAAGGAGTTGTGACTCTCGGGGATCAGAGACATGGAATGACTGTTCTACAGGAAGTGCTCCTGACATATAGGGCGTCTCGCTGCGGAAGTCGTCGTGTCCAGGGCGTTGGTCAACTCCAGTGTCTCGCCAATATCCGTTGTCGTACATCTGAACGTCGTTATTTCCTTCGAAAACATCGCCCGCGATGACATTTGAGCGATCGATCGAAGACTTTTTTCGGAAACCTGGGAGCATTTTGCGCATGGACTGCATCCTGGACATCGGCTTTGGTGGAGGTGGCATGGCATCACGACTTGGAGGAGGATCGACTTGCATGTTGTTGGGAAGGGGCGAATCGAGGCGTTGTCGCTTCGTAGGCCGCTGGATAAATGAGCCTGAAGATGCTGTTCCCATTCTTCCTGTTGTATGCACCGACCTGCCCACAGTATGGCTTGACGCTGTCGTTCGCAGCTTGGCACCAGGGTGCCCGATGTCTTCAGGCAGAGCCTCGTCGCTATCAAATGCGTGAGGATCGATTCCTTCAAAATTAGGTATAGGTTCTAGTGCCATTGCAAAGCCGAGCTGGCGAAGACGCTCCTGCATCCTTCCGTTTTGACTAGACCAGTTAGCAATCATCTCTTATGCACGGCATGATCAGCCTACTCGACTAGCATAGGAACAAGCTTCAAGTAGTGGCGGATTGCTGACTTGTTGGCCAGAAAGGTCTCGAGGTCTTTTGGATTAACATCGCGGAGATGCGCGATCTCTTTGTCAAGGCCTTGTAGTCGTCGGACTTCAGCTTTCATGGCTTCGAACTGATCCTTCTGCAACCGTAGTCGCTCGTTCTCCTGCTGGAGACTGAGGACTTTTTCACGCTCCTTCAAAAAGAGTTCCTGCGTATCAGCCAGTTTCTTCTCCGTTTCTGTATAGGCCTGCTGGAGGGGCTTGCGGGTAGCATGTGCGTTCTGGCAGTACCGTATAAGCGCGATATATTGAAACTAGTCATTCTTAGCTAGAAGCAGAGACTATACAGGCAGGGCGATATACGCGCAGTGCTTCCATTTCTTTACCGCTACCATCGAGCCGGATGGGAGGCGCAGTAAACCATGCGGGCGGGATCTGAGAATCGTACTCGTCCTTATTGAAGCCGCGGATCGAGAAGAGATCCTGAGGCTCGCTTTCGCCTTTTTCCTTGACACAAACAGGGCATTTTGCTTTAGGTCGCTGTCCAGCAGCATGGAAGGGTGGTCCTATCGCGAGCGTCAGCAGCTTCCTCATATTGAGTTGCGCGCGACTTACCGCCACCCTCGAGGTGACTGCTGCAGAAGACATGGCAGCAACTGGCGAGATAGAGCCGTGTCACAAGGCGTTCTTTAGGGTTGATTCCATCTGACAGACCATGAACGGTCTCCTTGTGACCTTCGTATACATCGGCGAAGGAAGCGCAACATACGGAGCAGGCGTAGATGAAGTTGAGGGGAGCAGCACCCAGCTCCGATGATACCTTCTCAGAGACGGTGCTCATGGTTTTGGTTGCGATGATATGTGCAGCAGCGAAAGAAGTGGCACGGGATGCGACAGCGAGGTGCAGTTAAGATGCAGGAGTGAGGGCGAGGAAGTCACTATCAACAACGCCAAGACAAACACATCAGATCGTGCTTGCCGCTCTCGGCGAAGTGAAAGACTCAAGAGAACGGTAAAGTGCACGTGTCGAAGGAACTGACAAGGCGTACAAATGACAGGAGGAGAGGGACAAGAATCAGACATTCACACGCATTTGTGATGGAAACCAAAACAAAGATCACGGGTGACTACACAAACCATATGCAAGTGAAGTCTTCATATGTACAGAAATTGGACTGTCTTTTACTACCTACACAGTTCCTCTGGTAATCTAAGCGAACGTCCGGCATGGGTATCTGTTCCAAGTCAGCACTACTCGTGGACAACCCATTTCCGGAAAACTTACGCTGTACCGTACGACTGCTCGCTCTCCAGCTCATATCGCTTCTGTCCAGCAACACCGTGGACGTGCAGCCCACTTGGTAGTGGAGGCATGCCACCAGGACCTAGTACATCCTTTGCGAGTCCAGTGTTCTTCTCAAATGCAACGGCCAGTCCCTTGGCACCTTCTTCTTGCGCAGCTACCAGCGACTTTGTGCCTGCCTCGCCAATCAGCTCCTGCTTGGGTGCTGCCGCGCTTCCAACTTCCAGCAGCGCAACTGCGTCAGACTGCGTGACAGTCGAGAGCCTGGGGTATCGTCGTCGCACGTCGCGCTTCCAGTATGGGTTCTCGGCGATGTCGGCAGCAGGAACAGTGACAGGGTCGTCGTACGCGTTGGGGTCGAGACCGCCTGGGGGTGGGTTGCGGAATTGCGGGTTCATGGGGATACCCGTGGACCGCTTGGGATCGAGCGCGAAGAGCCTATTGATGGCGGCATAGATTCCAGTGGGCTGAACGGTGTATTTCTGTGTACATACGATTAGTACTTCCTCCCGAAGCGGTGGATGGCGGGAGAGGGGCGGCAGGGCAAAGGCACGTCGAGATCGGGTCATGGGCGCCGTACCGAAAAGACCGTAGTCTTCACATTCTTGGCCACCGACATCTCGAGAACGCGTCCTTCCAGGCAGGCTGCAAGGATTGAAATAGGTCAATGGGCAGGTGTCGTGCTGTTGCGCGTTTGGACAAACTATCGTGACGCCCAGTGATGTTCGTGAAGCTCGATGTCTGCCAAGACGGCGCTATCCGCTTTGATACTCGTGCCTTCTCATTCGTCGACCGTTCACCACTCGAAAGTCGTCTATGCGGCACCGCAGTATGCTCATACTCTTGCGCTACAACTCTCGAACATGAGCAGATTTCCAGTCATCGCTTGTGATGTGCCCGTATGTTGGTGCATGTGGATTCCTCGTTCAGCTTGCCACACGATCAAAATGCGTCGTAACCATGAGAATAGACCAAATCTCACAGCGCTTGACGTTGGCAGGATGTACCAAATCCTCAGACACATGACGTTTACGATGGCCAGTCTGCACCCGTGGGAATCTAGTTTTCCCGAACAATGGTTCAAAGATTCCTCCTTAGCCTTCCAATCCTTGATTCAGGATTCGCTAGATTGGTGGTACGAAGACCTTCCGCTTCATATCTTCTCTGACCGCCTGGCTAGGTATGGTTTTGAATACGTATCTATGCGCAAACTTCAACCTCGTATGCATGGTTGAGAGTGATTTCGCATCCTTGGAAAATCATGACAGTTTCTGGGTAAAGACTACCGGCTCCTGGACCACATTCACCTCCCCAGCATACTACGTCAAATAATCATGGTTCCTTCTCTAGTTTACATCGGCGATCGTCCTCACCATTTGCGCTGCGGTCAACATTCTGCTGCGTTGGTTGATGCACATACCTGATTTCTTAGGCATCATCTAGGTGCTGACTATAGACTCGCCGTACATCGGTGTACAAACACCTGCCAGGAGTATCGACAGCGCTGAACGTTCGAGGCTCTTGAGGGACAAATCGGTCAGGATCCAAGATATAGGACCTGAGGGTGCAGTGGGGAGGATCTCCTTCAGTGTTACGATAAATACAGCGCCGTTGCGAAGAAGTCGGTTGTGCTTGTAATGAGCATGATCTTAGCATATCTAGGTGACATGTTTAATGCTTGATTCCGCAACTCATCAACTATGGTCACTCTTTGTAAACCTTGCACCTGTATATACACCTATAGCTACGCCTAATGCGAAATGAATCTTGACCGCACACTCTAGCTCGATCTCTATACCTCCCATGCTTACGCGCAGGATATCCGCGCCCTTCCTGGCCGCGAAAAGTAGGGACAGCACCAGTATCCGCGTTAGCGTCCTCGCTTGCTGAGGTATCCGTCCCACGTGATTGGAGTGGTGTAATTTGCACGACTATCCGACGTTAGCCGTGACACACCGGAACATATACCCAAGACACCCGCTCGCCGATTATGCGATGAAAAGGGCACGAGACTACTCCACAATGCTGATGCACTTTGTCATCGCGATGGATTGGGAACAGGGAGGGTATTGGGGGAGCTGCGGATGGTGGTGGAAGGCAAATGAGTACTTAGGGAGCTTGTCTGCACAAATTTGTAGCGGATAGTCAAGCGTTGTACACAAGTTCTTCAATCAAGGGAATATTTGTGGCAATGAGCATTGGTCCATATCAATAACATCGCATACTCAGCTTGCTCAAAGTCATCGCCAATATGGCAGTTTTATCCCTGCTGGCTTCCATTTTTGGAGTGCTGCTTCTCTACGTACGTTGTTCCGCGTATCCGCTTCACTCTCAACTAACATTACACCCAGATATTCGGGGTCATCGTCTACCGTCTGACCTTCCATCCCCTCGCCTCCTACCCAGGACCCTTTCTTGCAAAGATCACCGACATTTATCTAGCATACTATGCCTACAAAGGTTCCCGGCACCTTGCTTTCCACCGCGCACACGAGCAATACGGACCTTACGTGCGCCTTGGACCTAATCTACTTTCCGTCAACACCGCCACTGGTCTCAAGACTATCTATGGATTCCGATCAAATGTCAAGAAGGCATCTTTCTATCATGCATTTCCCAGCACACCAAAGGCCGTTAGCGTACATAGCGCAGTCGACAAAATGCAGCATGCGCGCAAGAGGCGAGTCATGAGCCATGCATTCAGTGACTCCGCGATCAAGAGCTTAGAGAAATACATCCTGGCCAACGTACGTGTCGGTTGCGAACTGCTTGGATGCAAGAGCAACAACTGGTCCGCTGAGAAGGGCTTAGCCGACGAGAAAGATGGTGGCTGGAACGACGCGTGGAATGCTGCACATTGGTGCGAGTGGTTAGTTTTTGACATCATGGGTGATTTGGTATTTGGCAAAGCTTTCGGCATGTTGGAAAGCCCTGTCAATCGGTTCGCGACACAGCTGGTTGGAAACGCGGCACACAGGCATCTCATCTGTGGAACGCACCTTACCATCCACAACTGGCATTTGGACAAGCTCTTCTTCCACAAAATTGCAGGCCAACGAGCGCAGTACATGCAGTACAGCAAGGGCCAAGCCATGGAGCGCACGAAGTTGGGCGTAGATGTCGACCGTAAAGACTTCTTCTACTACCTTCTTAACGCGAAGGATCCGGAAACCGGCAAGGGCTTCAGCATGGATGAGCTTTGGGGCGAGTCAAATCTGCTGATCATTGCGGGTTCCGATACGACCTCGACAGCAATGTCTGGTGCCTTCTTCTACCTCGCACACAACCCTTCAGCGATGCAAAAGGTCTGCAAAGAGATTCGGGAAGCTTTTGCTGATGTTGAAGAAATCGTGACTGGACCCAAGCTCAGCGGTTGCTCATTTCTGCGCGCCTGCATTGACGAGACCATGCGTATGACACCCCCTGTCGCTGGTGCTCTCCCACGAGAAGTGCTCTCGGGTGGTATGGACATTGATGGTCATCATATCCCCGCCGGCGTCGACGTGGGCGTTCCCATCTACACGATCCATCACAACGCCGATTACTTCCCTCAACCTTTCGATTTCATCCCAGAGCGGTGGCTTTCTGATCCTTCTGCAAACCCGCTTCATAGCAGCCTTCAGGCAGCGCAGTCAGCATACAACCCCTTCAGCATCGGTCCCCGTGGATGTATTGGCAAGGGTCTAGCGTATGTTGAGCTGACGGTGACGATCGCAAGAGTGCTTTTCTTGTATGATTTAAGGCTAGCACCGGGCACAACGTTGGGTGCTGGAAGCAAAGATTTGGAAATTGGAAGGACCAGGGCATCTGAATATCAGATCATGGACGTATTCGCAAGCAAGAAGGACGGACCAATCCTACAGTTTAGGGCTAGAGCATAGTTTCATAGCAATAACACTTGTTCGCAGTACTCACTGACATTGGTATTAGAGTCAAGAGCACTTGTTGAGCTGGGTAACTTGATATTCGGTGTGGGAACCTGCGCTCAACGCCAGTGATGTTGTTCATCAACATTGCTCCATAAACTTAAGCACATTTCTCAATTTTTGGACATTATGGGTGCTTGCTCGTATCTGAAGAGTGGAGTATCTTTTCGAAATGGTATACCTCCGGTGCAAATCAACCCTCTGGACGTACCCGCTCGAGCTCCTCGAGATAACCGTCTCGATCTAGACTATCGGGCCAGCCATGCTTCCGTAATGTTTGACTCACAACCTGATTTGTAAACATCAGTAGAGCATCATCAATCTCAACAAGACAAAACATACACTTCCGATCTCCCATGTGTACGGCTGTACTGTCCTGTTCCACGAGTTGTTCCCCTTTGGACAAGGAACCATTGTCAATCCTTCAATTTCGTTGTAGATTACGTCAAAATATTCTCGGATATCATGTGGAACAGACCCCAAAAGCCAAGGCTCATCCTTTGGTGGCTCTACATAACCTGTACCCACTGCATGTAAGATGCCTGGCATGAATGTTAGTACTCTGGTGGTCTACGTGCATAGGTCATATTGCCAAACCTTTCGTAGTATCCATTATCCACCATGTTGCATATATGTCTTGCGTCAAGGCAATGAAACCAGCTGGCCAGTCTCCAGGACTCGGCATCAACAGTTTGTCGAACAGCTGTTTCCCTTGGCACTTTTCTACAGTCAAGGATTTGAACGGCCAGGTATCGCGTAGATAGCTAAGATGTTGGGTTTGGAAGTATACTTCGTCTTTGCTGTCACCGTCGAGCTGTTTGATGTAAGGTAGATGCCGGAGGAGATCGATGACTTTCTCTGAGCGGCCAAAAGCACGCATGATGTCAACAGCAAGCTGCTCATCGCTCCAGCCTTCATCTGGAGGGTAACGGATCTCTGCGGAATCGAAGTAGGCTGATTTCACTAAGAGCTCGTAATGTCGCTTGAAACAAAAAACTACCACATCCCGATCATAGGCCATTGCTGACGTTGCGGGCCGGGAGGATTGTGATAGACCGTGAGAAAGAAAGTTAAAGCCATAAAGCAATCCAGGTATTCTCAATGTACAAGCCAGTGGCCGTTGCTACACAAATCAGGCTTCGTCGGGGAGATCTAGAGGCAAATCTACGCACTCGTGGACAGTGGCGTTCCTGAGCTAGTGGCCCGTTGCTGTCTTATCGATAGGAATGGGACACGCCAAGGATCTTTTTCTGTTTAGTGCGATCGTTACGAGCGGCGACCTCGAATCAACACTACTTACTGTCATCAACTCCGGATATACAAACTGTCATACTAGGATTTGTTGCGTTGCACGATGGCTGTACCAAGGTTGTTATCGCGCGGGCGCTGTTCCTTTCCCCTGGCGACACCGTCAATACGCGTCGCTCCATCGCTTATCCCATCGATCAGAACATCAATTTCAAAGCGAGGTTTCACTGCCAGTCAATGCAGCCGGGAAGACATTGTTCAGACTCCATCCAGAGGGCCAGAGGTCGCACTTACTGATGCACGCGCCCGGTCAACGTCCGCGGGCTCTTCATCAGAAGCTGTCATGATGATGGTGCCAAAACGATGGGCAAAAACGGACATTGAACAGATACTACGTTCTAAGGGATGCACTATGTATGTGTCACGAAGCATCTACGGTATACATCTCGTCGTATGAACCTTGAGCTAACGGCCAATTAGCAAGAGATTATTGATGCGTGTTGATCGCTTCACTTTTATGAACGCTATCATGTGTTTCGTCGAGCTTGGTAGTGAAGCAGAAGCTACCAAGGCCATTAAGGAGCTTAACGGCTTCGAGGCACAGGGCAAATCACTGGTTGTTAAGCCCTTGAAGGCTGACTTCAGCTGGGAGAAAAGTGAGCAGCGGAAGGACGGGGCTTTTGGCTCTCGCTACTTCATTGACGAAGGCACCGCTGCATATGATGCTATGCGTCCGTTACTTGAACATCGCCGCATTGTACTTTCGGTCGAGACACCCGGATGGTCCACAAACAAACGCTTTGCCGTGGCGGTACAGAACGCAGAGACAATTATCGAGCGACAATTCGGCAAATACGGTATCGAGTCAGTTAGTGGAATGTCGAGGTTTGACAGAGGAAAGACACATGAGCCGAATTTGCTATGCCTCGTCGATTTCAGGACCAAAGAGGGCGCGGAAAAAGCAGTCAACAATCACCACGACACGCAAATCGAGGGCCGCTTGACATGGCTGAGACCTGCCCAACCTTCGTCGTGGAGAATTCATCAAATCCAGAAGGTAGTGGGGCCAGAGGCGTTGAAAGCACTACAGGAAAGCGGTGTGGTGCCCGAGGGCAAAGAGGTTTACGAGGACAAGTTTGCCAACCCACGGCCGAAGAGACAGAAGAGACAGGAGAGACAATAGCGAGACATATCTGGTACACGAAAGAGGTTCGCTACGTGCGTGCATATAGTCTTGTGAGAAGACCAGCGTTCATCACACATTCGAGAAATGGTTATAGAATAGCTATGGTTTTGCTCGACCTACAACAGCTTTGATCAAGATCATGTACTGCTACTGCCGACATGTTTTGTATGGAGGCATCTGTTGTTAAATCCGTACATTAGCCAAAAATTTGGCGCTATATTTTGAGATCGGTCCGGCTGGTCGAAAAACAGGTAGGTAGTACATACTACAAAGCTTATGATGGCTAGCAAATTCTCTATATACATTGCGAACGTCCTAGCTTATGCACCAGAGACGCTCTGATGTCCTGGCACACCTGATTGTTATCCCATGCATCACGCCGGTGACATTGGAGTAGTACACGAAGGACTAGGAAGTCCATTGTGTTCGTCAAGAACTACCAAAAGGCGTCTGTCTTTTTACTACCACTTAATGCTCTCGAGCTCTTTGGAATTGCTCTCTTCCCATGGATATAGTTGCTCCGAAGCCTTGATCAACTGCTCGTGTGCATCCGATCGCGGCTTGATTGAACAGCAGAACGGCACCGGATGACTGATCGCACCCGGCTCGAACTTGATCTCTGGCTCCAAGATTCGACCGTTCTCGTCAACAGACTTTGTGACACTGAAAACAGCGAGAGTCTGCGCGATAGTGATGAAGAGGGCGTTATCTGCAACATATCGACCCGGGCATATACGTCGGCCGTAACCGAAAATGAAGTTTCTTGGATCAGGCTCACTTTTGTGGGTTGGTGTTCTGAGAAAGCGTTCCGGTCTGAAGACCATTGGGTCGGGGTAGACCTCAGGATCGTGGGTGAAAAGCCAGTTGTTAGCCAGAAGGATGGAACCCTTCGGAATACGATATCCGCGGCAAGTGTCCTCTTCCGTGCTACAATGCGGAAGACACATAGGTAAGACAAGGTGCCAGCGATGCGTCTCTTTCATCAAGGCGTAGATGTAAGGAAGGCTCTCCCGATCTTTGCTGCCTGGAAGTCGGTCTCCGCCAATGACGCGATCTAACTCTTCTTGAGCCTTCTTCTGAACTTCTGGGAAGATGCTCATGGCAAGGAAAAACGTCATTATTGCGGAAACGGTCTGGCAAAGAATGAGCAAAGTTAATTCAGCGAGTTCGCTCGTGTGTGACACTTACGGTGTCAGCACCACCTGTGTACAGCGTCAGTGCCGTCCATTTATGGATGAACTCCATCTCGGCATCCAAGGGTGTGCCTTCGATTGCTTGCGATAAGAATGATGGCGAGTGTCTCTTCTCGCTCATTTGCTTTTTGACGAATTCGTAAGGCTGGTTAGTACACTGTCGGAGCTGCGTCGCCATCTCTCTGGCCGTGCGCTTGAACTCCATTCCTGGTAGCCACTCTGGTAGGTATCGCACTTTTCAGGGTCAGAAATGGCTCCACCGCCGAGGGGTTATACTCACGGAACGGGAACATATCCACAGACCATCTTCCGGGAACTGTAGCATCGGCGAACTGCTCCATCGTCTTGCCAGCTAGATCGACGAAGGGGTCGTTGCCTTTCGGTATGGTAGTATAGCCGTACGTGATCTTCAGGATTACACTGCCAGCCTCTTTTTTTATATGGTCGAAAAGCTTGTCGGGTGAGTCAAGAAGGTTGAGCAAGAAACGCGCGGCTTCCATCTCTTGAACGCGATCAACTACTGATACCGACGTATTTGTGCTCACTATCTTCGTAATATTCTTACGCTGAAGTTTCCATTCCGCGTCGTTCGGAGCCATAGCGGTCGCATGTCGCCAACCAACCCTGATCGCTCGATCAGCAAACGCTGAGTCATTTACCTAGACACCCTAATACGGGCTTATCACTTACATCTCACAACTGAATGTCTGCATTGGTCTTGAGGAGTAGATTGCTGAACGGTCGCGCAGCAGCTCGACAGCAATTTCCGCGTCGTTGATGATGATGAACGTTTGTCCTAGCACGGTAATGGAACTAATAGGGCCATATGTCTTCTTGAGCTGCGACCAATGATGACACTCAAGCATACCGGGCTTAGGCATATCGCTTATATTCCCGATGAATGGAAGGCCTTTCGGTCCCGGGGGCAGGGGTCGTACGTCTCTTGTTCTCAAGTACAAACGGAACGCAGATAGTATGCTGAACATGACCAAAGTCACCAAAACACTTGGGAAAGACATGAGTGCCATGATGGCGATTATGAGTGTTGGAAGATGATATGGTTGTTGGGTAATCTGCGAGCTGTTACGCGGGGTTTAAATGGAGGATCAAATGTGCCAGGATCGGTCGCCTCGATGCAAGGTGGCAGGTCGCTTAGCTTACCCACGTTATCTCATGCGGGATGCAGATGCATAGTGTTTGGTTTGCTGTATGGATACTCCGAAAAAGGAGCCATTCACCGAACAGACTGCGAGGGCTGTCCAGTAGGATATGGAATGCTTGCACCGTTGATCCCGCTCCCAGAAACTGACAAGGCCAACATACAATTGACAAGAACCTTGATTACTAATGCCAAAGGCAGCTTACGTTTCAGAGTCATAAATTGCTCAAAGGCGAATCGCGCAAGTCCCGGATTCAACATTGGTGGAGTGGCATTCTGAGAAGCTGGTGGTGAAAGGGTCACATCACAACGACGTGCAACCAGTAATGACTGTTCAAAACTTTTCTACGCGATTCTCACTGCACCTCGCGTCCCTAGTTGTAGTGATCGTGTTGATGCATACGGCTGGTCGCAGTCCTTACAACTGGAGGTTCTGCGCTCTATGGGTCGTCATGTGGAGCTAGCCTTTCTTAGCAAATCAACAGCGTTTTAAGCAAAGCACCTCATATTTCAGTTATATTCTGCTCTCCACAGCTTGATACTCCCCTTGGTCAAACAACCCCGAGTGTATTGCTGCAGTGGCCAATCCACCATGGAACATGATCTCGGTCCGACCTGCCTTTCGACCGGAGAGAGCGAATAGACGTAAGGCTGCAATTTGTCTCGCTTCTTCTCTGGGTACTGCACTGTATTCTGTTCGAGAGACAACTGATCGACATGACATTAGCACGCAGATGAATGAACTGGCCTTGCCTCTTCTCCGGCTCCCAGCGACTTGTGCAACAGCATATCCGAATACGTCTGTCTTATTACCATAGTTAAGTTGGCCTAAGCCGTGAATCAGGGTACAGTAGTCTTCGATTGCAAGCCTTCTGCCCTCCTCGTCACCCACAGATAAGTGCGTCCTGGAGGGACTCCTCTCTTCTACTACCTGTCCACGTTCAACCTCTGAGTCGTGGGAAGGCTTCAACATCTTGAAAACATGTTTTCCACGCAACAACACCGAATGGAGGACTCGATTGCATCCAGGTCTCTCTGTTTACTCTTCCTGTTCCCGAGCGTACCCCCAAATGCGATCAAGCATATAGACCTATTACATGTTGTGACCGGGTCTCGACGTAGTTACCGGGTGGCTGGTCTGCATCACAACTTCTGGCGAATTGATCTAGAAGTGGATTTCGGGCCGAGTGCAAACCTTGGAAAGATTTGTCTGTGTACATGATGAGGATATGACCAAGGGCGTAAGCGAAAGCCAAGTCAGTGGAGAGCTCGAGGCTTTGTGCAAGGATAGTACAGGGACCTTGCATGACGTAGATAGAATGGAAGTTTGAGACTGTACCAAAGAGGTTGATTATCGTGCAAGGTAGCTGCGAGCGAATGCGGGGGGTGTTCGGCCGAAGCGGTTAGCCTCGGTATCGGACAACATTCATGGCCGCCCCCGAACGCGTGTTTAGTCACACCAAGACTTCAGCAGCTCTTACTTCGCGCAGCTGTTTTGACTTGTCGCAAAATCACTGTTCAGCATGAGCGCGGATGGTCAGACGCCGAGAGTCGTACCTCCCAGCCGGCGAAGAGACAAGCCTATCTTGAGCTGCACCCTTTGTCGTCGACGAAAGTGAGCGGCTTCGAAACTTGGCCTACCTGCCCTAAGGAACCGCATGCTAATACACTGGAGGTTGAAATGTGACCGGCAACAACCATGCAAGACATGCGTCGATCGCGGACTCTCATTGTCGTGCACATATATTCGTAGCACCCCAGCGCCAAGAGAACCCAAAGTCCCTACCAGCGTTCATGACAGGATTGATCAACTCGAGAAGCTTGTCACCAATCTCATCGGCGGCAACGCAGCTGACCTTGTTAATCCCGTACTGTCTAGTCCAGCACAGGAGCAGCATCATGACGAACAAATTAACCCTGAACTTCCTGGAACTCCGGATCGTGTGAGGATCAGTGGCGACACCACAAGTTACACTAACGGGGGTCATTGGACAAGCATTCTTGATAGTGTAGGTGATCTTCAAGCAGTGACTCTTACTTCTCTAACGCAATCCCAGATCTCAGAGTTGCGCGAACACCTTGATCAAATCCCCGCGTCAACCATTCCTAGAGATGAAGTACTAGATGATGTACCGGGACCAGAGCTGCTGTTTGGACGTTATCCGCATGCGACCAAAGAGGAACTGCTCGCCGCTCTCCCTCCGCGATCAGAAGCAGATCGCTTCGTGAATACGTTCTTCGTATCAATGGAAACACATCCGAGTAAGCTCGTTGCTCCGCTTATAAGTTACGAACTAACACCTCTAGCCTTGATACACAAACCAACCTTTCTCAAGCGGGTGAGACAAATGACGACTTATATTCACGAAATACTAATAAGCGTACAGTACAACGAGCTCTGGATACGGCCATTCGAAGCCCCCACCATGTGGTTGGGCGTGCTATATGCCGCGTTCGCGCTCGGCTTTCGGTTCCAAGCCGCAATGGACGCTTCTCAACCCAGTAGTTCCGATCTAGCTACTGATTCAGTGCGCATGAACTTTTACCGCGAAAAGGCTGTACAATGTAGGTGGTAACCCGTACGAGCTGCACGTGGATATAACTGACACATTGATTCTCAGGCATGATCCTCGCGAACTATACCAAGACCCCACCATATACGATTGAGGCATTTCTGCTCTATTTTGGTACAGAGTTCGTTCGCTCAGTAGACAGCCAATTCAGCGTATACATGCTTGTAGGTATGATCGTACGCCTTTGTTTCCGTATGGGTTACCACAGAGATCCGTCGAGATTCCCGAACATATCACCTTATAGAGGCGAGCTGCGACGTCGCAAGTGGCTTGTAGTCATGTCACTCGATCTCATTACTTCTGCTCAGGCCGGATTGCCGAGAATGATCATGCCATTCATGTACGACACTCAAGAGCCTCGCAACCTGGACGAAGACGACCTCCACGAAGACATGCTAGAACTGCCACCGTCAAGGCCAGCAACTGAGTTGACGCAGCTGCTTTACTCTATCATTCTCACAAGAGTGCGGCATCTCCAGGCACGAATCTTGGACCTAGTCAATACTACTTCTCAACCACCATACCGAGAGATCAACGATATCGATATTGCGTTAAGACGAGTCTTCGATGGGGTACCGAAATCCTCCATAGCCAGCACCGTCGAGGATTTTGGTAGTGCTCTGTCGCCAACCTCTATGCGCCACTTGTACTTAGACTTGGCGTTCCTGAAAGCTGAGCTTATGTTGCACAGACCTTACCTTGTACTCGGACGAACAGATGCCAGATATACATATTCTCGAAGGGTATGTCTGAATGCCTCCATAGAAATGCTTGACTTTCAGAACAAGATTGATGCCGAGGTTCAACCAGGAGGCAAATTGTTTACTCCAGGGTGGCGGCTTTCTACCGTGAGTTGGTACATGTCTTCGGTCGTTGCACAAGACTTTCTTCTCGCGACTACTGTCCTAGTCCTCGAACTAGACGCAGACCCCATCCCTCCTGTTCTACAGGCTCCTGAGTCCACGCAAAGCGAGATGAGACTAGATCATGCACCTCCTACACGCGAGGAAATTGTAGCATCATTACGGTCAGCGTACCGCATTTGGTCTAGAGCCAGTAAGAGGTCTCAAGAGGCGCGTAAGGTAGCCACAGCCGTAAAACTTGTCCTCTCCAGAGTGTGCAATACGAAGGAACAGGTTACGGACTCTGCACAGAGTAAGTTTATTTGCTCCACTCTCTGTTCACGTAAATTGATTTGATCAAACAGCTACTGTCCCTTGTGCACAGCTCAACATTACTTCTCCAGCACCATCTTTCGACTTCAGCGACCCTGGATCTGCTGTTGCCGCGCCAGTCCCTTTTGGTATGGGCAATGGTGCTTTCGGACATCCGTTCGACTTTGGCTATATGCCCATGGATCTAGACCAGCCTAACTTACCTTTTGACTGGGTGAGTTATCGGGCTATTTTTCTTAAAAGAAAAGCTTTGAGACTGACTTACTATCAGAATGATGTGTTTTCCGATATTCAGACGCAGCCTTACGGTGAATATCCACCACGCTCGCTTTTCTAGTAGCAGGGTAGCTAGCCATAGTCCGCATCAAGTCTTCGTCTATAGTGGACGGCTGGGAAAATTTGACAAGCGCCAATGAGCAACTCCAAATTACTCACTAAGATGCTGAGAAGCTGCGATCATCGGTATAGTGTTTCAGTTGCACTAGTGAAGCGCTTCTCGTTTCTGCGCAAACCGCGACCTCCCATGTGCAAAAGGTCCGACGGCTCCTAAACCGGCTTAACACCCACAACGAACAAGTTCGAGTTTTCCAGATGTTGACGATCCAATCCGAATCTAATACACTTGAAGCCGGTTAATATCCTGGGACGCTCACCAATGCGACGCTTGAGCCATGTCTCGCAGCGACGAAACAAGAACGTCGATCGCCAAATCCGCACATCAATCTCGATCCGGCAACTAAAATGATCTTTGAAACCACCGGTTTGTCCGCACACGAGGCTGCAAGTGCCGTACCCGCGACAGAATATAGCAAGTCCGTCATGCAACACTATAATCATGCGACAAGCCTACCACGTGCATCCATGCAGGTCAAACATCGAGATTGGGTTACGCGATAGCGGAAGTAGTTGCGTCATACTGCGCACATATCCAGGCGGCCTACTTATCTTTCCTCTGACTCGCCTATATGTCTCCTGTTATGGACAGCATACACCTATGCTTATGTATTGACAACCGCCAATACTGTCGGTCTTACTTCTAGCGCCTGGCCGCCACATTACGTATAGACGGAAAGAATGGATCACATAGAAGGGACCTTTTACTTGGAGAAAGAGATTGCAATCGAGCCTGATCTTGGAGATTTGCGAAAGTCCACCGACAAGGCTCTACCTGCGCCTCCCAAGACGCCGAAGAGGGTGTTGATGAAGTATCGCTTCTCTGCCTTCTTCCCAATCGCATTTGCTGTTGCGAGCTTCGTGCTTACGCTGGTGCTGGTGCTCGCAGGAAGCGATGAACACACTTTCGGTGGGCAGTACATGGTGACTGTAGGTATTCAGCTAAATATTGAGGAGGTCAAGTGCTTACGGAAAGCAGCTGAACAACTCTGCGGTTACCCAAGAAGGCAGGCAGCCAGATGCGCCATCAACGAGATCGGAAGGTGTAATTGAGGAAGCGCTCGCAGACGTCTACTTTCTTTATCTAAGGACAGCGTGCTCTGGGTCCATTTCGAAGTCTCCGGACGACGCTTCCGACGTCGTCATTGTAGAACGATGTGAAAGCTACAGCACAGCCAGCAATCGTAAGTGAACCAAATCTGCAATGTGGCCGTGCCTCAGTTGACCGGACGTTCGTAGGCCTATCGACACTGACAAGGCCTGCTGTTGGATCTAGAGACTCATTATCCCCAATAGTCCTAGTTTCTACGCTCCTCAATAACATGGTCACTATACTGGCCGGCGTGCGACAAGCGATATTTGCTTCCTTACTCATCTCGCTCGTCGGTGCTGGGTTGTCCGCCGTCTCTGCTATTCCTGCCATCTTCTTCCCACACTCGAAACTCCTCGCCTACTTCAACATGTTCTGGCCGGTCTTTGCAAGCGCATTCGCCTTTGTCGCCGCCATCTTGCTGACGGTAGTTATTTCTGGCGTCTTTCCAGTGGTTGGCAAGATTGTCGACGTCGCTGGCACGGACGTCGTTCAAGGTACATGCGTACTCTTGATCGTGTGGCTAGCATGGGTTCTCGTATCTTTATCGGTTGTTTACTGGGGTATTGTTTGGTTTGTGGAGGTTAGGCGGTCAAGCTTCACAAGGAGGAAAAGGAGCGATGACGAAGTGGGGAACTGGAAAGGCATCGGGAGGGAGATTAGGAGTGACGTGAAAGGTAGCAAAATATCATAATCCTTTACTAGTATACTGTATGTGATACGAAATAGTTATGATAGTGTCGGGCATGTAGAATTGAAGTGAGTCGAAACGCGTCAACGGAAGCGTTCTAGAAGACGGGCCCAACGTTCCTGCGCTAGCGGGGTGGCGAGCGGAACGTGGTTATCAGCCAACCATGGTGCGAGGTGGCCCCACCGCCTCCGACTAGCGCCGAGCTCAGGGTCAAGTACTCCACAAACTCTCAGAGCTCAACCCCTCCGCCCTTTCCACCCACACACTTTCTGCAATTGTTTCCTACGACTGCCCAATATGCGGTCCTCAGTCTCTACAGCGACGGTGCCGTCCAAGGAGCCTGTGCCCCGAGGTTTCACAGTCAAGGCAGACAAGCAGCAAGGGCCAATGGTCGAGAATGAACACGACCACTTTTTCTGGACATACACCGAGGAGCCACACAGGACACGGCGCATGGCCATCATCAAGGCACACCCAGAGGTACCATCGCTGCCAAATTAATTCAGTCAATCACATGCTCACTCAACGCAGGTGACGAAGCTCTGTGGCCCTGAGCCTCTTACCAAATACCTTGTCCTGCTCGTCGTATCCATCCAAGTCCTATGTGCATACGCTCTGCGCAATACACCCGTTGTATCGTGGCCCTTCTTCCTCACCGCATACGTCATTGGTGCTACGGCCAACCAGAATCTCTTTCTCGCCATCCACGAGATCTCACACAATCTGGCCTTCCGATCGCCGCTGGCCAACAGGGTCTTCGCCGTCTTTGCGAACCTGCCAATTGGCATCCCGTACAGCGCCTCGTTCAGGCCCTATCATCTGACACACCACAAGTCGCTGGGTGTCAATGGTCTCGACACAGATCTGCCCACCGCCTTTGAAGCCATCTTCCTCGACTCGGTCGCCGGCAAGGCTTTCTTCGCGACCTTCCAGATCCTCTTCTACGCCCTGCGACCCATGTTCGTCTACGCCCTGCCAATGACCAAGATCCACCTCTTCAACGTCGTCGTACAGCTAGTCTTCGATTACGCACTCGTTAGATTCGCAGGAGGAAGGGCCTTGGGATACTTGATCATGAGCAGCTTCCTCGCCGGCTCTCTCCACCCCTGCGCCGGCCACTTCATCGCCGAACATTACGTTTTTGAGAAGCCCAACAAGGACGCTGCGAATCCCGCCAACAAGATTCCGCTCCCGGAAACATACTCGTACTACGGACCTCTGAATTTCTTCACCTACAACGTTGGCCTGCACAACGAGCACCACGACTTCCCTGCCATCCCCTGGACGCGCCTACACACCTTGAACCGCATCGCGCACGACTTCTACAAAGACTTGCCACAACACAAGAGCTGGGTGTACGTTTTGTGGCAGTTCATCTGGGACAAGGACATCAGCCTTTGGTGCAGGGTCAAGAGAGAGGAGGGTGGACGCAAGGTCGGTGCTGGGAGTGGGTGGAACGAGGAAGAGCTGGGCTCGAACGAAAAGAAGGGCCCTATTCCTGGTGTGTTATAAGCTATCCCTGGGTCATTTGCATGCAAGGCGTTTGAGCGGCCTGATTTCATAGAGTATAGAATCAAGAACGATTACATGGTTACCAATAGGCGGACTGCACGAATTTACATGCTGTCTTTGAATCAAAGACGCCCTTTTCTACGCTGACCGCGACAGCGGCACTACCATATCTCCGATACAGCATTTCTGTTGTATATCTCATACGGAGCCTACAGCAGCAAGCCGCCAACGCTTCCTCCCTGCCCACCCCACTTCTTCACAATAGAATCCCTTGGACATCGCCACAAACTGTATTCCCTCATGCAAACTCACCAATTCAGCCTGAGGCGAACCCGTAGGAAACGGCTTTTTCGCCGGCACCGCCCCATCCTTCCCTACAGCATGTGAAGGGTAGTGGGGGTAAAACATGAGATGGCTAACCCGCAATTCCTTGTAAAACGGTATCAAGAAACCTAAATCAACATCAAAGGACCAACTCCATGCTGGCGTCGGTGGAAGTGGGGCAGTGGCAGTGACAGGCAGGGTCCCAATTGTTACACAAAGTTCCATACCCTGTCTGGTTTCCTTGAAGATGGAACTCAATGCCGTACCCTTGTTCCCGGGTGTGGCTTTGACGTCTATAACGACATCCTTCAGAGCGTTGACAGTGGCGGAGTAGGCGTTACGTTGTACGGATATTCTTACCATGATGTCGCCTTCTGTGTCGGCATTCAGGAGGGGCAAAAAAGGCGGAAATATCCATTTGTACTTTTTGGACACTTCGATTCTGAAGTGCCAACCAGCGTGGTTTAAGAAGGAAAGGTTCGTGCGAATGGGATTTTCCGAGACGGGCGCATAGAACCAGCGAGATGGTGTGGTGCCTATAGGTCCGGGGGGAGTGCCAGATGTGAAGGGGTGTCTTCTTGGGGGTTGTGGTGCTGAGGTATTTGGCGGTGGTGCACCGAAAGGATGGAACTTTGGGGGCCGGAAAGGATCGGGAGGTTTTGGAGGGTTTGGAGATTGCTGATACTGGTGCTGAAAGGGTCCCGTACCTCCTGTACCCGGTCGGTGGAAAGGTTGTTGTGTTTTCGTATATGAAGGACTCACTGACTGCGCTAGAGTCTTGTCGTGTTTTGCTCGCTGTATAGGGTCAAGTAGGATCTCGTAAGCTGTAGTCGCTAGCTTGAATATCTTTGTCCGCCTCTCGACTAGTGCTGCTGATAGGTGCAAAGTTTTGTCGGGGTGGTTCTCCAGCGCAAGCTTCTTGTAGGCTTTCTTAATCGCAGCGTCGTCAGCTTGAATGTCTACACCAAGGATCTGATAATGGTTTGCTGGAAAAGACATAACTAAATGCGGAGAAGAACTTGAAGGAATCCCAGGTGGAGAGAACCATATGGCAAATGATCTTGTGTCGTAGAGACCTTGACCGAGACATGGATATACGCGCAGTGAAGGTGAAGGCGAATACGAAAGTCTGTGTGCCAGACATAGCGCAAACTTTGAAACGACAGGTAGCAAGTGTACTTTTGTCATTGTTACAGATGCGGCTCATTCTCCCCCACTCGCTGGTCTGTCGTTTCTCTTCATTGCGCGCCTTTGCTATCGCCTCAACGCGATCGGAGCTCAGTAAAGAAGACACTTGCTTCATCACAGCTCCTCAATCCTTTCAACCCCTCTTTCTCTATTCAGTACCACCCTCACCATCCTACCTCTGTCGTCAAACAATCCCTCGCGCAGCCGCTCCAGGTATATCTCATAGCTCGGCATATAACCATCGATGAACGCACGAACCTGCTCATCTGACATTCCTGATCCTTTCGCCTCAATCATCTTATGCTCTTGCTGCAGACGCCATATGTACACATTTCTCAGGTCGTCCGTATCAATATGGATGAAGAAGTCAAATTGCTTGGGTCCCATAAATGCATCACAGTAGCGCTTGAGATTCTCGTTCACCTCGAACAAATGCGGAAGTTGGTGATTCGCAGGGGTATTGACTGTGAGCTTCCCAGCTTTTGCCAGCGTATATTTTTCTTCTATGAAAGATTGTGGGACGGGCTGGAAGCCCACGCACCATCCTTCAAAGACGACAACGTCCGGCTTTTGCGAGATTGTCGTCCATTCTGATTGGGGCGCTCTGTCGCCTTCGCCATTGTACTTGCTCTTATCGAAGCTCGGGATCTTGAGGCTGCCTCTCCCGTTGTGTTTCTTCAAATCGCTGAAGAACTCTCGGGCTAGCTGCTCGTCGTGTGTACCAGGCTGTCCACGAGTACGGTAAAGCTTGTTGTTGGGATCACGATCCCGTTGTGCTACCAGCTCATCATGGGTTTTGTAGAAGTCGTCCAACGAAACAGTTATCGTATAGAGACCGTGATCCTGTGACAGGATCTTGACAAGCTCCGATGCCCATGTCGATTTGCCTGAACCTTGTAGACCTGTGATACCAAGTACGATAGGTTCTGATGACTCTTGACGGTGCGACCGTATCTTTGGAAGTAGGACATCAAGCGTCCGACTGATATTGTTTCCCAGGGCAGACATGACGTGTTCCTGCTGGTATATGTGTCCGCGCGAATTCGAGGTTCAACTAGTGTCTTCACGATGTTTTCCTACCCTGAATGTTATTTGAGGCTTGTATGAGCGGACATATATAGTCCGTAGAGACAACCACTCCTGCCCGCAGCCGCAACGATGTCGGCCCGAGAGAACCCCGCACCTTCCGCGAACCATCATCGTAGTCAGAACATTTGTTGCCAGCGCAAAGACAGGGCTGCAAAAATGATAGAGATGTTTCTACTCAGAACCATGCGCTCATTGTCGTACGAGCATGCTCGACCCTGTCGTTATATTGCCTATTCTTCCGCTACCACCAACAACTACCTAGCACAACACCGCCGTGTCAAATCTCCACAACACCCAAACCAATAGCTCGAAGCGGCACAACACCAAGCAAATTACCGCTGCGGACTCGCTACCACGATATAATGCAAGGGCGAACAGAAGGGGAGATGAATATTTACTGTGTTAGGAAAGTACAGAGAAAAAGTGTGGATTGCGGGATGCCATTTCACGGTTCCGATTGTCACAGTTCACCGCCTCTTACGCTGGTGAACCAATGTAGGCCATGGGGTTGAAATTGTGGTCGCGCAAGCGTTCCAGAGATGGCTACGGGAGTTGTGCGTTGCTTGTGTCTCGTGGTTCAACATGCTATTTTTGGTAGCTTGAGCGAAAGAAAGCAGAAAGAGTTCTGCGTGCGCGAGTCATGATGTAGATCGCGCGCGTACTACTGACTGACAGCTTTGGAACCACAAACTCCTTTTCTCATATGACCGCGATGGCAGGTGCGGGATCCATACTCGTCAGTTTCGCCAGTCTTCCAGGCGTCATCTGGTACACTTCTGGCAACCCCGTTGCACTCCATTCTTCACCATTCATGAGCTTCACCAAGCCAGGCGCTGCTGTGAAGATTCGCGCCATACCACTGTCCAGGTGTTAGCCTTGCACTCCCCACCAAGCTATTGAACTTACTGCCCGTGGTGGCCGGCACAGATATATTGTCCAGGCTTTCCGGGTATCTCGCCGACGAATGGTACACCGTCCGCGCTCAGTCCAATGATACCGCTCCAACTGTACTCGAACCCTTCCCCTGGGCCTGTCGGAGTGGTATTCCAGCCTTCGAATTCTGCCTCTGCAAAATTCCTGACATGCTTTGTCACACTCTCCAGGTTTGCGATTCCGTCGTTGGTGCAGTTTTCTGGGTTCTGCTCAATCCACGCATCAAGCTCCTTTTGCCCTGGGTTGGAGCCGCCAAACATGATATTACCATCAGAAGACGAGCGCGGGTTGATACTAAACAATGCACCATCTGGTAGCAGAACGCCATATGAGTTCCTAATAGCGTTGGATCCGCTCAAAGCTTGTGGAGGTACGACCCTGTTGCACATATGCGGTTTAGGTGTGATGATACCACGAAGTGATGGCTCGAGGGCTGCACTATAGGCGTTTGTGGCGTGTACAATTGTGTTACATGCGATGTCACCTCGCTCCGTGTGAACCACCCATTTTCTGGATCCCGTTGCGCTGGAGACCGACTTAGCAGTAGTGCGGGTTTGAAGGTTGACGCCCTCAGTGATATTGTCACGCATGATGTGCGCCGTCAACTTCCACGGTTGCAAAGTTGACGCCTGCCATGCGTAACATGCTTTCGCACTCTTGATTCGGGACCTTTTTGCTGCTTCAATGGGATCGTGGATAGCTTCGATGTGCTCGACCTTTCCACCAGCTTCGACGTACCTCTCGAAGACTTCTCTGGCTATCTTAGCGACTTCGTCATCAAGGGGAACGTCTAGGGTCTCTCCAATCCAGAGATCGCAGGCCACATTATTCTCTTTGACGTACGCTACCAACGCTCTCCATGTGGCTTGCTCATTGTCCATGATCTTGAGAGCTTGGTCTTGTCCATACGCTTGGGCAAACTTCTCATAATGCCGCCACTGATCAGGTTTACAATGACCCGCGTTACGACCTGTTGCACCGGAGCAGAACTCCCGTGCCTCAAGGACGACGACACTCTTGCCAGGAAATGTCTCCAAATGCTGCTTTGCGACTAGTGTCCCTGTAATGCCAGAACCGATGATGATCGTATCAGCTTCGTGAGGTAGTTCATCCGTTGTGCGGTGGTCTAGTAGCGGATCGCATCGAACTTGTTGTAGCCAATACGAAAGTGACTGTCCATCCTGTTTCGGGAATCCTGTACGGCCGTGGCTTTGTGGTTTAGAGACGTATTCTTCTACATTGAGTACAGCTGATGTTTCCGGAAGAGTGACGCCAGATGCGCCGCCCATTCCGGAGCCCTCTGAATCCACTTGCTTCATGTCGATGTAAGTGTGTATGTGGAACTTGGCTCAGGCAGGACTGGAATATCAGTGCGGGAAGCACTGTAGTTTGAGACCACTACGGTGTGATTTCGCGTGTCGTGGAGCCGCTTAATGGCTCCTCGATGCTTTTGAATATTTCGGCTGGGCATGAATCGTTGAACCTTGTGTTGAGTGCTGAGAGTGCCGCTCGGAGATAAGCTGCCGCTCACAACTTCCCCGCAGCAGCATCCCACCTTGTCATTCGCATATGAGATTGCATCGTCATCATCCTCTCCACTATTTCGAGTGAATCAAACTCCAGGATGCGTTGCTTCGACATCAAGGATTGTCCGCATATGATTATATGGAGTCCATTGAAGCACTTCACGCCTCCGACAATGGCCGTAGTATCGAAGAAGTGTTGCCTAAGGCAGCTGAAAAGGATCAAAGTACCGCCAGATATTTGCATCAAATATACCGTAAGAACATCCAGATCGAGCGTTCAGACGTCTCCAGCTACGACAGATAGCTCAAGAGCCTGTGTTTAGCTAGGAAAACGAGCTATAGGAGACTGAGTGGCCCGAGGCAGTCAACCTCGCCCACAGCGAGTGAACAACGTGAGTAAAATCTGATTGGGACTTGCTCCAGCACGAGGATCGGATACGTCGTCGAGGACGCCAATAGATTGCCGAAGGCTACATGGGGGTATTGTGCCATCTGGGTACGATGGGCGTAAGCCAACAGGCAACCTGGCATTTACATTAGAAAGAGGTTTTCAGTACGGCGGACATTGATGCTAGAGACACGTTGTTGCGTGCGTGGGCATTCCATGCTTGCTGCGATGTATTGAAAGTTGAGAGAAGAAATCTGAGATGAGGTTCCTGACCATTGGTGAACGTGTGACACATATACATGCAGTTCGTTTACAAGTAAACGAAACCTCCCATCACTCACAGAACGAAGGGCCCAAAGTGATAGTAAGGATATCGAAGTAGCAGTGTTCTTCTTGATTCAGATACTCTAATAATGCTTATATAATTCGTCTCTATCGTGTATGGGATGCATCATGGCGTCTAATATGCGAAGTAAAGGGTATCCGCGCCTTTCCTATGCTTTTGACAACGCCGTTAAAGTGACTTTTGAAGAAAGATATCCCACCCAATAAATGCGAACGCTTGTAAGAAGAAAAAAAAAGGACGTAAAGGAGTCGAGATGGATGGGAATAGATCGAGCGGGGAAAACCGAAGGACCGTATTGTGATGTTGAACGGGTAGGCTCGCAGCACTTGCGGACTGTCCGTTAACTGGAGGATATTGAGGACCACGATGCAGGATTTTGTCGAATCCTCTCAGATCTTGGCCTGCTTCAGGATCTTGCTATCCTGCTGCGCCTGTCGTAGCTCCAGGATCTCCCTTTGCTCCTGGAACACCTGTCTCGCACGCTCGAGCACCATCTCGAAACCCTCCTTGCCCTTGGCAGCATTCTGCTGGAAGCGTTCAACAGTAAACTGCTCAATACTGTTCTTGATCTTCTGCCAGCCACCGCACAACGCAGTTATTTCAGCGCGCTGGGTGAAAGCTGTCTTGGTGTCGGGTGACGATGCGACAGGCTGGTATATGCAGGTCTCGCGGACGTTGAGGAGGTCGGACATTGTCATGTTCATGGAGCAAAGGGTGAGCTTCTTGGCAACAGGGTCGACATAGGAAGTCTCATAGACCATGGAGGTGTCTTGGGCGCCGAGGATGCTTTGGATCCATTTCGGTGCTGATTGCCGACATGTGATGAGACGTTCTGTGCGAAGCTGTGTTGTGTTAGTTTTTTTGGTCGATGATAGTGGTGGGGCGTGCCGAATTGACATGTGAAAGGAGTCACTCACGATTCCTGTCGCAGGGTCGACAGAGCGACTTAATGTATCAACGGCGATGACATGCGGTGTCTTCTCGTTCCAAGGGCCATATTTCTGCCAGTTGCTCGTCGAGACCTCTTCCCACGAGTAGTCGAAGTCGACTGTCTGCTGGAAATACTTCATTGTGAGATCGTGTGCGCGGTTATGTGGATCCAAGTGATGTGCGTTGTCGCTGCAATGTTACGTGTCGCAGCAATTCGAAAGTCGTGGTTCGACGGTATAGGTCGATGGGCTGCGATAGCTTTTGAGTGGGTTATGAGTGGATTGTAGAGTGTGAAGGGTGCAAAAGGTTTGGAGATGGGTGGGCAAAGGCCGAAAAGCAAGCCGTGCGCTGGCGATAAACGATCGTCGGGGAAAGCGGGAAGTGCTCAACGCTTTTCACCGCTCGAGCCTTGTTTCTCTGATTCTCCGTAAAGCCGTCTCGGGATGATGTGCGGTGTGAAAAGCTGGAGAAATAATGCGCTGTCACAAAGAAAAAAGCAAGGGTCTCATGGTTGTTTGATTTGTTGACAGGAAAGCAATATGAAACGAGGGTACGAGAGCCTTCTATCCGAAGTCACTCTTTCGGATCTACAAATTCTTGCCACGGACAGCCGCCTTTCAACTTTTCTGACCAATCATAGTCGAGGCGCTGACAACCGCGGGCTCGAGTCGTGTGCTTCCCTCAGCGGCGTCTGGGCCAGTCATCCCGACTCTCTCCGTATGACGTCTTATACCCGAATCGGCCAGGTTTCGTTGGTGGACTTGATCTAGCCTTGACGCAGGGCGTGGGGTACCTGAAGCTTGCACTGAAGATCTGATTATGTATCTGGCTCGCGCAACAAGCTAATAATCAGGGTCTTCCGGCTGTCGTGTGCGCGAGGCTGTCATTGGCGTGCAACGATGATCTCCGACGTCGAGGGCTTCAAACATGCCTGAGTTCCATGGGCCCGTGCCATTGGTGCATTAACGATACCATTACTGGTCAATGACGAGGTGAACAGTTCGAGAAGTTTGCTTGGATTGTTGACCTTCACGCGCTCGCCATGATGGGCTTCTCGAAGCGATGTGATACAAAGGACTATGAAGACCCAAAGGCTGGTGAAGAAACCGATCTAAGAGACCTCACAAGGAAATTACGCCAAACCAAGCCGTCTGCCAAAGGCTGATCATGTATTTCATGATTCTTCCAACCAAGTCTATCGTTGGTATCATAACTTTTCGTATGAAGCGCCAGAACGCCGACCATGTATATGCAAAGTGAAGAGCAGCTTTCGTCGCTCTATGCCATACACTCAAACCAAAGTGTTAATATCACTCCTTCACAGTTACCTACAGTTCCAGGGCCTTCTTTGCCATGGCGAGCGCACCATCGAACGACTTGTTTCCTCCGATGAAACCAGCAGCGTGGACAAAGACACAACCTGGAATACCAGAGACCTGGTCGAGCTGCTCATCACGAACACCCTTCCATGCATCTGGAAGATCCTTGCGGTTCTCGAAGCCGCCATTCTCCTTGCTGACGGCACGAATACGCCACTTGCCCTCGGGCTGGTCCTCAGGGAAGAGGACATATAGGACCTGGGGTGCGACACCCTGTGGCTGCTGAGTCTCCTTCTCGAAGTTGTAGAGATGGTCGGCCCATGGCATGCCTTCGGGGAGGACCAAGATGCGTCCCTGGGGGTCGTACTGGAGACGAGCGTCGTACGCCTGCTTGACCTGGTGACGAGCAGGGAGCCACGACCGAGCGCGGTCGACGAGCTCCCAGCGGAATTGTTCCCCAACGAACTGAGAGGCTCTGTTGAAGCGCTGGTCCTCCTCCATTTGTTTGGCCTCTGCTGTCTTGGTCTCGTCTGAAGTGGGAGATTTGGGGCCATAGTTGTAGCGGTTGACTACACTGGCGATGCTGAAGCCGCGGTCCTCGAACTTCTTCTGCAGTCCCGCCTTGTCGAGATCACTGGGCGCAATGACGTTGATGCCGTTGTCGTTGGCGTCGAAGGCCTCTATGAAGTCGGTGTAGATCTTCTCGTACAAAAGGTCGCGGTCAGCGCCCTCAAGACCAGTGACAGCTGTGATGATGTCCTTTCCATAGTGCATGTATACAAGTCCAGCAGAGGAGAGCTTGGTGGTGTGGCCGGGGAAGACGACCTCGAAGCCGCGCTGGTGGTGATCGTAGCGCTTCTTGTCGTCTTCGTACTCGCCGCCTACGTCGACAACGGTATGGCACTCGGCGAGGACGGCAGGGTCACGGGTGCGGACCAGCTGGGCATCGCGGTAGGTGGGCAGCTCCTTGAGCATGGAAACGGCAAGGGCCTCGTCTGCGTGGAAGTGGCCATTGTGCGTGCCAATGACAGGCACGTCGGTCTTGAGCTTCTTGGTGGGGCTTTCGGCGGACATTGTACGTGTGAAGGTTGTGAAGAAGTGCTGCCTGACTACGTTGTGGGAATTCCAAATGTTATGCGTAGGCCGTGCAAACAAAGGTTGTAGTTTGAACATGCAATTGCTGCTAGTAGAAGTTTCACATACGACGAGCGTCCCACGGCGGGCAGCTTGGCTTGGCACAAGTGTCGGGGCGCGCTAGTGGAGGGGACACAGAAAAGCAAAGCAGCAAGATCGTCACATTCAGAGAGGAAGACGCCATAAGCGTCGTGAAGGTGGGAGAGGACCGACGGCTGGACGACGTCAAGGCCTAGACTCGTGCCATCGCCATCATCGTGCGCTGTTCCAAGATTGCGCACGCGAGCACGCATCCATCCGTAGCCCCAAGTCGTGCCTACTCGCACAGAGCAAGCAATATCAGTATCAGAGTCCCTCGTGCCCCGATTCTTCACCCTGCAGCTAGCTTCCAGCCGGTATCCAGAGCTGCTTCTCCCTCAGACCCGGCCCAGCACTGTGCAGCCGCTCTCCGCGACGCTCGAGCTTCCCACTTAGCGAGATTGACACGTGAAGATAATCGATAGCCAGGGCGTTGCTCGCGAATCTTCAACCACATCTCCCGCACGCCCACTCACACGTCGAGTGACTCCCAGTACCCTCTCCCGCGCTGCCTGCGCGTCCGTCGCGCTTCAAACTCCTCGAATCTCCGCCGCCGCCGCCGCCCACCACAGAGGCCACGCTCGTTGCTGCACGAGCTTGGCGAGGACGGCGTCCGCATGGGCATGTGGGCCACAGCATCACGGGTAGTCTCGTCGACAACCTTCCTCGGCGCCATCATCTTCACCATACCCCTTGCATTCGACATTGGCGGCCGCACCTGTGGACTGGCCTTCTCCCTGTCTCTCAGTGTCTACTACTTTGTCTACTCGACGCTACGACTAGCCACGCCAGACTCTTCGCGCTTCAGATGGTTCCTCTGTAATGTAATAGCGTGGGCACAGTGGCTGGCCATACCTACTCTCTTGATCTGGAGCCTCAACAAGTTCTCCATCGATGCCGACGCCAATTCGGGCTGGGTACAACGCACCTTTGGCGGCAAGCGAGCCGACTTCCAGACGGTGCAAGAATGGATCTTTGGCAGTGAGGGACTGCTGCAGAGTGCCTCGATAGGTGCCTGGGACAAGACTCTGCGCTACAGCACACCCGTCTTCCAGATTGCCGAGGGCTTCTGCAGTCTTTTGGTCATCCAAGCCGCAGGCCAGATAACCAGATGGGTCGTTAACAAGGAACGTGGTGACAGTTGGATGGTATGAACTCCCGCTTCCACTCTTGACAGTAGACTAACAGTTCCAGATCGGCCTTCTCATCACCTCCGCATCCATCATCTCGACCTCAGTCTACTTCCTTTGGCGCATCACTACCTTTCCAGAGATTAGCAACGTCGACGCCATCCTGATCGGGGTCGCCATTACAACCGCCATCTTCCTTGGTGGATGGGGTATCGTCAGTGCTAGAGGCAATCCGGTCGAATCATCGCTTTTGGTAAGTCAAGCACTCCGAAGCTACACCTCATTACTAATGCTTGCAGTTCGCCTATGTTACTCTATGCATCTACCAGATCTTCACCGACTACCAGCCAACACCAGGCTCTGTTGCAGAATCAAGCGCGCCCTCTGACCCTGCCCTGCCGCCGCTGCCACCTATCATTATGGCCTCATACACCACCCTTCTCCATGCACTAGGCTCTTTGCCTACCATCGCCCATACCGGTTTCAACCTCATGGTCGGTGCTGTCATGACTATCACGCCCTCTGTCATCATCTCTCTTGCCTACCGTGTTTTCGTCATGTACGCTGCGGCGCGCATCATTCCTGCCATTCGCGAAAGCGGTGCTCGCGCGCTATCTCAAGAACCAAGCCTCGACGATGACGACGAGACATCAAAGATTCTAGGCTTCTTGACCTGGTTCAGCCCAAGTATCATCATCGCCGTCTACACCAGCCTGCTCATGCAGCACTTCGCCAGCGGAAATGGCGGCGACGGAAGTGCCGTGACGGGTGAGTGGTGGACGAACCAAGGCGGTGACGCTGGAGGTAACTTCTGGAGATGGATCAATCTTGGTATTACAATGGGGCTATACGCCATCGAATTGAAGATCTCGAATGCGGATGACGACGGCAGATTAACAAGTCACTGGAAGACGGATTAGAGCTTGAATAGAAGGAAGATGCAAGCATATCACTCAACCTGCATACATTGGAGCGGAGGGACGCAGGAACCAGCGAGAGAGAAGGTAGCAGAGGTCGAAGCTGCAAATTTGAGGAAGAGGAAAGCATACCAAAGCATATGCACATCCAGAACGATGCACACAGACGAGAACTGTGCCAGGGGAGATTATGATAGGGTTGGAGGATTCACTTCTCTTTTGTCCTTTTACCCTCAAAGTAAACAAGCGCGCATTTTTCTGATACCCCCCAAATTTGGATCTTTGTGGGAAAACGTTATTCGAGTTGTACACTATGCGGACGGCAAGAGAGGAAAGGAAGTGGGAAGTAGCATCGAATGAGAATATCAACTCAGGTTCTTGCATTAGTACAAACTTGAGCGGGTTGTTTTCTTGTCGAGTCGCCGATATGCGTGTGCTATAAGGCTCGTGACTAAGACTCTGATGTTGAGTGATCCACTGGATATCGAAGCGGGGCATACCCTGAAACCGCTATGTTCATTGAACGGACGCCAAGTTGTCTTCGGAGAGTTGTCTACCAAGTCAGCATATGTTTCGATCGATGGAATCAACTGTAGTAAGGTTGCGACTGACAATTTGAGCTTAGGCTGGCATCACAAATTACAAGCGCAGCCAAGATGTAGGAATAATCTTGCTTGAGACTTGATTTAAAAACGGGCTCAACTGGTCTTGATCAAAACTACAGCGAGCCAGATGATACATGAGAGTCGAGTGATGCTGATGTTTGACATTGGTTGAGTCTCAGGTAAGATGACTTGCGATTGGTGCTGTTAAGAATACACCTGATCATAGTTCATGCACTCCAGTAGCGGATTCATCGGCGGCGAAACCTGAACATCAGCCTGGTAACGATTCGGCGCTATTAACGAAATTTAGTTTTTTTTGTCAACGGAGTATCTATCCTGATGTAGCAGGCGTCGGCGAGTGCGATTATGTATACCTCGTACGCTTATGATAAATATAGCCACGTCTCGGGTAGTCATGCTGTTCTAAGGGGATCCCCGAGCAATATTATATGCCAAGTACGTCACCTTGGGTCTTTTCACTGGGGCAAAATGTCACATGCTGAAAAATGCAACCTTGGAGTAGCACTCTGGGAACGCAGTATGACGACGATACAGCGATCGATGCCAGAAAAGTACATAGGTGTAGTCGGGAGACCTCTGCTTCTTGATTGGGCGATCGGATGGCGGCGAGATCTCACAGGGAGCTTATGCAGATTCGTCACACCGCGTATCGCTTGGGTGAGGATACGGCCCAAAGAGACCGGCAGTTGTATGTATACGCAGTTTGTGAAACCTTAAGCGCTTCGGTAAGCGCTTACTCTTCCACGTTAAGCAATGCATACGATGATGACGTTTCGTCCCAGTGAGCAATGCGGTTCATGTTCAGATCCTGTTCATCGGTGGAGGAAGATGGTGTTGTACCAACTGAGGAGCCAGAGTGAATGCTGCAGCAATCCCAGATTAGAAGCGCGTATACCGACGGTTCGGTAAATGCGGCACGGGCAGGGCGTAAATCACCCCTTACATATATCGACAAGATCTTGTCTCCCTCGGGACGCGCTTCTCAGCTGTCGGGCGTAAAGACTGGAAGGGTTCGTATGGTTGCGAAAGGGCGGACTTCGGAGCAATTGTGTTGTAGCTAGCGCGCCATCCTGCAATCAGCATCAAGTACAATACACCAGTAATATTCCGAGTGTCTTTGTCATTCTGCTAGAGACGCAGGTTTTTACAGTCAGCCATTGTCTAATGCGAGAGACGCGGAATCCATTGAAGCGAACCGTCGGTACCAAATTGTCGGGAGACTGTTCATCAGTAGTTCACCAGCAGTTCCCTTGCTAACACATCGAAATTTTGATCGATCCCAAGAATCTTACGCCGGGAAGGTGCGTTGGTAATCCGTCTCGACTCTGAATCCTGCCAACGCCGCACACGTAACCGGAGATGAATGCAGACTGTGCCGCAGCCCGGCATCGTCTCAACCCGTTTGGTGCTGGCCGAATGGGCTGAATTTGGGAAGAGTATCGTTGGTACACTCAATGTCCAAGATCTCAACAGAATGACAGCATAGGATGCACAGGAATTCATAGTAGAAGATTTGTTACGATCGTAAGGTCGCCAAGTTCGAGTACAGCACGCTGCACTGGGATCTGGACCAAATCTGACTAATGCCGCAACAGACTGCCGACGAGCAATCCTTCAGGTTCTGTCGGTGTGACCCGCATTAATGAAATGCCGAATCTCGTCGCCAAGAGGAGTGCGAATGTCGCGGTGAGCATTTTCAAGCCAGTGCATGTTCCCGTAGGATTTGGAGATGTGTAAGCGCGACCAGATCCAAAGCCTCGAAGTTTCAGGAAACACATCAATTGCGAGACTGGGTACGTGTTCTGAATAAAGCCCAAACAGAAGCGGACGTTAGACGCGTCGTCTTGGACACGGAATGTGTTGCTCCACAATCAATATGACAGAATAATCGAGATTGAGCACGGAGGTAGGCGGCGCATGTGGACGTTGGTGACAAGCGCGCTGTTCCGCGCTTCCCGTTCGCTACTCGAGTCATATGGCGGAAGGATGAGGCGAGGCTCAGAACAGAGTAGACGTCAGCTGACTGGGCACCAAAGCAAGGGGTGAGCCATTCTGGGCGACCAGAGGATTGGAAATGCAGCGGCACAGTTGCGAGGAAAATGCCGTACGGCGCAGTCCCACGTCTTTTGTCTGATCATTAGCGGGAACGGAACGCGCCGCAAGAACCAGCTCGGCGGACTGTTGGATTTGTGTTCGAAATGCGCACGCATAATATGAACTACATTGCAGTGACCACAACGACAAGTCGCAGCCGACGAACGGCCGCGCTTAACGAGGCGTCATTTGTGTGCAATGCGTGGCGAAACTAAAGAGGTGCTATTGGCTGACGTACAAGGGTTGGTTAGACGCATGACCGATCGTCGAGCAACGCCTGAGAGTCAGACAGATACAACATACGACGGGTAAGTTGCTCACTTGCCACATTAGCCGAGGAGAAGCATCGCGGCTCTCCAAGTAGTGGAGGAGGTTTGACCAATTTGAGCGTGCGGGTTCCTGGCGAGCAAAAAGTTTGCACGCGAAGCGCCCGTAGATGAAGGTGTACGAGCCGGGCCGGGCAGCCAACCATGGAGGGCGTCACGCAGTGGATAGCCGCACTCGCAACATGGCCATGGATCGAGGCAGCAGCATCAGGCCCAGAGCAGTGCCGCAAGCGAGCATATTGATGATGCTAAGGGCATAAGACGGGTGGGCGTGGTGGGCGTGGTGTGCGGCGTGGATCTTGATAAATGAAACACGGCGAGACCCATGAGCGCCTTCTTGTTTGGTGCTGGCTTTGAAACCGGCGCAGGCAGGCCTCTGAGCAGGCGGTTAGGAGGAGGCAGTGCCGAAGGGCCATGACGGCACCCCTTGATGGAAGCGCGCGGGAGGCTGGGCGATACGCAGCGCGGTGAGCGGTGGTGGTGAGTGAGTGTGGTGATTCGCAGCAGCCATGGCTGGCTTTGGGCGATGGTTAGAGATGCGTGTTGCGTGTCAGAGGGGGTTTGTCTGGCGGGCTTGATGCCGCGGTTGGGTGGATGTGTATGGTGAGGGAGGGCGTGCAGCGCGGCTACTGCGTTTGGCGATGGAGCAGGTGGATAAGCTAAGGTTGGGCCAGCGCCAATAACAACGATACAGCACTTTAATGTGGTGTTTCCGCGTTGGCTTGCATCCTTCTAACGATTTCTGGTCGATCAACCTCGCATGCCAGCACGCCGGGAGCGCTCGTCGCACGCAGTCGTCTGTGCCATCCTGGAGGCCTCTCCGCCCACTCTACCCTCCTCTACACCCAGAAAACGGCTGTAGGGCTGTAGACGCGACTTTTCCGCCCAAAAAACGTGGCAGCGGTCAAAATGCAGGGTCTATTATGTAGATAGTCGAAGGAACCGCGTCTGTGGTCCTTCTACGAGGTGTTCGGTGATGGTTCTGTCGCAGCTCGGGTGGGACAGATAAACGCGGGGGGCAGGGGCCGCCTGCAGCTCGGGCCAATGAGGAAGGAACGACATGGGTGCCTGCCCGGGATGTGTAGAGCCCATGTGTGCGCCAGCAGAAGGAGCGAACAGCCGCCCTCCGTTGAATCCTGTTGCTCACCCGTGGCCAGCGTCTGGCGTCGTCGGGTCGCCCCTCCCACATTCGTCGCGCCATATACAGTCTTCCCGCCATATACAGTCCCCGCCGTGGAGAGGCGGCTTCGCTGGCATCGCATCATCGCCCGACAACACCACGACACGCCCGTGCTCGCCAGGAACCTCCTTCCACCACTACAACACCTCAGAGCACAGACTCCGCTCTGGCCACACGTCCTCGACTCCCGCACGGTACCTGACCTGACCGTTGAACTCATCTTGCTTCGACTACGCTACAGTGTAACCACCGACTTCATCCCCGACATCTTTCACTGCACACTTGCATCCACCTTCACCAAGCCCATCAAAACTGCCCGGCAAGATTATGGTGGCTGGACATCCTGCCCACACTCCACCGTAGATTCGACTTGATTCCGTGAACCATCCATCCATCCAGCCTCTGATATCCCGCCTTGGACATGTCGACCGTACTGCATATGCCCGCATTTAATTCCGCTCCCCATGGCCCCGCCTTCACGTCCGTCAATGGTCGGTTGTCTCTAAGTCCACCCGACGAGCAAAAGCCACCCGTTGTCACTAAATCTTCTACTTGGAGCCCTACCTCTCCAGACCCTGAGCACAACCGTCACTCTCCAGACAGCGATTCGAGCTCGTCCACTGTTAGCAGTGGAGACAAGTCTCCCAATAGTTCTGACAAGACAAGGTCGTCTCCCGAGAACCCAAACAAGAGGAGGCGTTCTGGATCCGACGAAGGCGCCTACGGTCAGCACAGCCCTGATCAGACGACTGCCGGCCCCAGACAGCTTCCGCCTCCCTACCAGCCTCTGAACCGTAGCACGACCATGAGCATGGAGACCCCTCAATTACCAAGTTTGCCTCCATTAGGTCGTCCAGATGCTGAGCGCCGCTGGCAGACCGAGCCCCGTGAACTACCTCATGCGACTCATCATTTCCAACCCCGTGAGCCACGTCCAACAGAGCCTTCCCGCAACAATGCTTTGTCACCCGAGTCGCGCGACATGATTGAAGAGACTGAATTCACGCGTGCCGGCGTACAAGTCGAGCTCAAGAAGAGGAAACGGGTATGTACCTTTGGCCCACCCCCTCTACTATACTAACTTTTCTAGCAATTTGCCAACCGCACTAAGACTGGTTGTGGAACTTGCAGAAGGAGAAAGAAGAAGTGCGATGAGGCCAAACCAGAGTGTATGTTTGAACATGCGTTCCAAGTCTGACAAAGTCTGACCCTTACCAGGCAATAATTGCACACGAGGCGGTTTCGTTTGTGAGGGCTATGCCAACAAAGTACCTTGGCCAAAGAATGGGCCTGCTAAACCGCCTGCCATACTAGCCAAGGAGAAGTATGCTGCTTATACGTCGTGCCCAACATGTCAAGAAAAGCACACGCCCCACTGTGGGCCACAAAGCAGTGAAACCCCTTACCCACCACCCGAAATGCATCCAGGCAACGGTACCGAGCGCAAGCCTTGGAAGTCATCCTGGAGTGATCCTGCACCTCCACCAGTCCGAGCGGCTTACCAACCGGAGGCCCCGCCGCCCCCGGCACAGTATATGCAGCCTGCGGCAAACCACTATGAGAGACCCTCAACCCACGATCATCAACCGGTATCTCAACAGCAACAGCAGCCTCACCATACCTCTCGTGGCTATCACCATGCTCCACCAAGCACGAATCACCTCGCTATCAACACTGCTGTCCCTGCCACCTCTATGTGAGTATTTCCTATTAGCTGAAAACACGTCGAGTTGAGAGACAAGGCTGCCGACAATGGACCGTATCTGCCATCCGTACTCAAAACACAAACGCACTTGGACTTCACCAGCTTACACATCTGCAGGGTCGCCAAGCCTGTCCAACAGCTACATGTGGCACAGCAGCATCCTCGTCCACCGCCTCCCCCACCGCCAACATCCTTGCCACCGACGCGATCGCCGACGCGCTTTACAGAGTCCTCCTCAATGACCTATAGATCTGAGAAAGACAAGATGCTAGCGGGGGAGCCATTTAACCCCTTTGACAAGACCCTAATGCACGAACGCCATCTTAGCACGCAAGCCCAGTCTATCTTCAACAGCAGCAAGGCAAATCCCTCCAACGTTCTGTCGAGCACAACCGTCGACCACTTTTTCAAGCAGATTCTGAATGCAAGTCGTCATCGCGAAGGAAAGCAAATTGAGATTCACATGGGTCCCAATTGCCATGTCGCTACGCCTTTTGCTTGTGACTACGGTTACCACCTTAGTATGGGCGAAAATGTTGTCATTGGTGCTGACTGCCATCTCCACGACTCTGCAAGGATCTCTATTGGAAGAAACTGTAAGATCGGAGTTCGGGTCACAATACAGACTTTGAAAACACCCACCGATAACAAATCATTGAAAGGGAGCAACGGTACCGAGATCGCGCAAGAAGTACACATTGGGGAAAATGTGTACATTGGCGATAATTGTGTGATCGAGGCAGGAGTTCACATCGGGCCCAATACCATAGTGCGCCCGGGCTCTGTGGTGTCTCGCGTAAGCTCTCAATCCTGCAATGATTTGAATAACCATATACTGACCTTGTATAGTCTTTGCCCCCCAACTGCGTCGCTCATGGAAATCCTGCGATCATCCTACCTAACTGAGATACTCAGTACAACAATCACCTTGTGTTCTCGCAATCTTCCAGAACAATTCGTCATGTACGAGATATTCGCGAAGTATTTCACCTATTTGATATGGGTCTTGCATGTCACATCACGCACCACTGTGTGGTGCAGGAGTTAACGGCGTGTCTACAACCTGGAGGATACCCATTGCTATAGTTTTTTTTTTTTTTGCTTTTGTGGGAAAGAGAGATGCAGATGGTATATAGCTGTACGTTGAGAACGGGTGGTATCTGACTTGTATAGTCTCCTTGTATCTCGGTACCCTGCCTGCTGGACATGGCTGTGCTCTAAAAGCTCAAAAACATAACATCTCCTACAACACTGCTTGAAACTGTCACAAGATTGGAGTTTGTGATGATGAGGCCTACTTCATTTAGGGGGCGGTCCGGATACCCCGCGATGAGCTGCTAGGATACTTTGAGCCTAGCTCGAAGCGTGACTGTGAACGCGGCTACACGTGCGGGATGCGGTCCGTGCAGGAATCTGAGCTTCAAGCCGGGAATGTCAAAATATCCGCGGCGAACAATCAGCGCCGCATATCCCACGTACCCATACCATAATCACAATGCCACCCAAAGCACCCCTCAATTGGGGTCTCTTACCACCATCCTTTCTTCTTCCTTCATCAGCGCGCTCCGTCCTCCAGCAAAATGCGCATCAAATATCCTCAAGACCCGCCATCGCATACACATCGATTCGAACCATAAAATCCACTTTCACGCCCAAACCCGACCGCTTCGCACATCATCCCGCCCGAGAAGCCCTCACCAGCACATCTACCGCAGCGCTCGAGCGAAAAGCCCACAGCACACCCCTGCGAACGGGTCTTCTCGCCCTCAAGAAGGGCATGACATCCATCTACGACCCCGAAACAGGGAAGCGTACAGCATGCACTGTTCTACAACTTGACCGTAATGAAGTGGTTGCGCACAAACGGAGAGACCAGAATGGATACTGGGCGGTGCAGATCGGTGCTGGACAAAAAGAAGCGCGGAATGTCAGCAGGCCCATGTTAGGACATTTTGCGGGTGCGGGCGTGAGTCCTAAGAGATGGGTTGTTGAATTCAAGGTCAGGGACGAGGCAGGGCTCGGCGTTGGTATCGGGGAGATGGTTGGCGCGGGGTGGTTCACAAAGGGACAATGGGTGGATGTCAAGGCGATAAGCAGAGGAATGGGATTCGCTGGTGTGAGTTCAACATGGCATACGAGTTGCAATAGGAACAGGGACTGACAACTGATGTGTTCAGGGTATGAAACGACACGGTTTCGGCGGTCAACCAGCATCCCACGGTCAATCGCTCATGCATCGTGGTATGGGTTCAGCCGGAGGTTCCCAAGGTTCAGGTTCTCGTGTGCTACCTGGCAAGCGTATGCCGGGAAACATGGGCAATGAGAGCGTGACTGTCAAGAACTTGAGGGTATTACAGATCGACGAGCAGAATGGCATTGTTGTTGTCAATGGTAAGAAATACGAAGCGAACCAGTGTAATTGGATACTAACACTGCATGCAGGCTGCGTACCAGGACCGAAGAACCAGATTATCCGCGTTCAAGATGCGAGGGGGAAGCCGTGGCCTGCGGGGCCCATGTCAACCGCAGAACTGAAGCCAACAGAGGTTTTAGCCGAGGCGGGCGTTCCTGATGCCACCGAAGCGACAGCCAGTGCATAGGAACAGAGATGAAGAGACGAAGAAGTGAACATTGTACCATATCAAAGAGACAGGTGGCTCGAACTATCTGGATACGGGCAAAGATTACCATACGATTATGCATACGATATACTTCCGGTTTGATGAAGATGTTAATGCAATGGTAGTGGTACCATCTCACCGCATCTCAGAAAAGAGTGTGAGATGACGATATTATCAAGTTTTTACACTTCTATGTCCTTCACTCAGAACCCGCATCTTCGCCTACTTGCACTTGATCCTGACTACCATCTTCCACGATAAGATGCACCTCCAGCAACACCACTCTCAACCCCTTCACTCGTATACCCTCCTCCATCTCTACTGCGCCAACTATCTTTCTCGCAGATATCACTCTGCCCTCCACCACCCACACTGATTCGATCGTCGTCGCTGTCGCTAGGGAGGTAGTCATCACCCTCTCCTAAACCGTCATCATCACTTTCACTCATATAGCTCCCAATCATCCTTCTATTCCTGGTGTGTTTGTTCCGTCTAGGAGGAGAGGTGGAAGGACTCCTACTCCTTGTGCTCCTTCCAGATGCATATCCATTCCTACTTCTACTTCTGCTCCTGCTTCCCCATGCGCCAGGCATGAGACCATAGTCACTACCGCTCTGCCGCCGCTGCCGCCCAAGTAAAGGTGGCGTAGGTACCGCAGGAGGCGGTGAGGGATAGTCTTCTGAGTCAACGGCTGTGGGTACGCGAGACAAGCGGTCGGAATGTGAGGTACTGGGTCGAGAAGCTATGTCAGAGTATGCAGTGGCGTGAGTATTGTCCCTGCGGTCTGGATATACGGGGCCGGACCGGTTGAAGGAGCGGTCTGCATGTCTTGAAGGATGAGGAGCTGAAAAGGTGCTCGTATACTGGTCTTCAGCGTCTGGGTAGGATGGACCAGGCCGACTAAATTGGGGTTCTAGATTCCTTGAGTGAGATTCATAGCGGTCGCGCTGGTTGTACTCGTCGTACACCCGCTCGGGCCGGTGGTAACGGTCGTTTGCATGGCCCGAACGAGTACGTTGTTCATGGTGTCTTTCTCGGTAATTGTCTCGACTTGGCGCGTAGTAATCCTCAGCATCTCGTCGAAGGCCTGGATATCGCTCGTAAGATTCATCTTGGCGATTTGCTGGACTACTATCGCCGGTACTGTAGGATTCGGTATCGGACCGATCCGCAGTATGAGCGTGGAGCTTGGTGTAGCGATCCAGAAATTGCTTTGCTTCACGATAGTTCTCATGCTCTCGAGGGTTTAAGCTGTGGCTTTGCGTGTGAAGGTCGCTGCTACCCCAGCCTGCCTTGATTTTCTGCGTGTTTCGCCTTTCGTGATGCTGAGCATAATCTGAAGGTGGACTTTCACTGTGATGTCTTGATGAAGAGTCACGGATCGGTGAGGCTTCCCTAAAAGAATTGTCGCTGAACTGGTCGTTGTAGCTTGATGTGCGATCCCTCCATACATCTCTCTTCAGCTCAGGTGAGGCGATGTAATCATCGTCAGACTGGGAATCCTGTGCTATGTAGTCTGAATCTTGAGATCGAGTCCTATGCGGCCGACGAGTCGGTCGCGGTTGGTAGCCCGGACGAGGCTGCGAGAACACGTTTCCATCCCTGCTTCGCCTTGTCTGCGTAGTGTAGTCGTAATCCATGGCCCGATTTACATATTGCTTATAATTAGGAGGGGAATTTCCATAAGATCCACGGCGTGGGGTGATGTAGTCCGAGCTCGAATCGGTGGGCGAGGAGATGCAGTCTGATGAAAGATGGGTATCCTGGTAATCACAAGGAACTTGGCTACTGTATCTCGGTGCTGCACGGTAGGAGTTGCTCTGCCTTTCATAGCTTCGGCTACTCTTGTATGGTTGGCGCCTCATGCTGAGAGTCGCGTGCAGGCCTTGCAGCCCATTGATTAGTCGACGTTGAGCTGTGTAATTGGGTTATGCAATCTGGCAGTGGAGAGACTTGGGCTTCTCAAGTTGCTTCATTTCGTTGTTGTGGCTAGCTATTGGAAAGTAGGCAAAGCGTCATGCACAACCACGTGTTGGTCCTCTAGCCGTGAGTAAAACGCGCTAGTGTCGCCACGACCCCTGCCTCACCGTTTTGTCATCCTATCACGCCTCTCCACCATCCCTCCATCTTCTGCCCGTGCCATTCTGTCTCCCACCACCCGTTCTATACTACGGGAAGTAAACTTAACAACTACAAACTTTACGCCTCAACCTTCCCGACAGCCGTGGGATGGATTGCGTTATTGCGCGTTATATGACAGATGACAGGTGACAGCTAATAGCACTAGCTGGGTACATCACTACTCCAAGCAACGAAATGCGCAACAGCAGCGACGGTATCACTTTGCATTCTTTAATTAACCATCTGTCCCATTCCTGTTCATCGCACTTTCCCTTCAGCCTTGCATTCTCGGTCCAGCCTGTTTTGGAACCTGTAGATTCCACCTATCGGAAAAATGAATCCTATAACATCGCAGAGCACAGCCTCATGAGCCACAAGCCAAGTCTCCTTCCTCCAACAAGGGGCAATCCTCTCATCTTATGTCGGATAAGCTCAATCAAAATGTTTCCAACTATGACCCAGACATGATTTTTGTGGAGCTAGCGGCTGCCCTGTCATGTTGACATGAAACAACAACAGCGGGACTGTCGGGACTAGACTCCTTGGGAAGCTACATCCGCAACGCCATCCTGTTTGCAAACAACGGTCAAGCAACTCTTCCCTGAGCGCATCAACGCCAAACTACGCACTGTTGACCTGTTCATGACTCTCAGTCGGTCGAAGTTACTTTCCGCCCCTTCCAGACGCCGGCGTCCAGCGCCGCGCTCCTGGTAACACCTGGAAATGCCCGACATCTACCGCAGTCGGTGATGAACGGCGCCAAAGGATCCAGGTCGATGCTCGAAAGGAATATATCTCCGTAGAGTGAGTGGGGCGTGGGTTCAAACACCAGCCAAGAATCCTGTCAGATATAAAGATGCGAGATCAGCCACCGGATCTTATCATCCAGCTTCTATCATTATTCACTCAATCTCTCGTTCATCATCTGTCATTCTTTTCAGCAAACTGTGTTTGCTAGCCATTCTTTATCTTCAATCCGATAACCTTTCACTATGAAGTACTCTCTCTTCACCGCCGTTGTTGCGGCTTTCGCATCTGGTGTCAGCGCTGCTGACGCCGTCAAGGGCGCTGCTGAGGGTTTTGCTAAGGGTATATCTTACAACATATCCATTTCTAACTTCAATCTAACATTGTCCAGGTGTCACTGGTGGTGGCAGCGCCAAACCTGTCTACCCCTCCACTACTGCGGAGCTCATCAGCTACCTCGGTGACTCTTCTCCTCGTGTCATTGTCCTCACCAAGACTTTCGACTTCACTGGCACTGAGGGTAAGGCTACCGCTGCTGGTTGCCGCCCATGGGGAACTGGCTCCGCTTGCCAGATCGCCATCAACAAGGACGGCTGGTGCGACAACTACCAGCCTAACGCTCCCAAAGTTAGCAGCATTACCTACGACAAGGCTGGTATGCTCGGAATCACTGTCAAGTCCAACAAGTCTTTGATTGGACAGGGCAGCAAGGGTGTCATCAAGGGCAAGGGTATTCGCATGACTGGCAACGTCAAGAACATCATTGTTCAGAATGTCCGTTTCACTGAGATCAACCCTCAATACGTCTGGGGTGGTGATGCCATCACCGTTGACGGCGCCGACATGATCTGGATCGATCACGTCACCACCGACCTCATCGCCCGCCAACACATTGTTCTCGGTAACGGCGCTTCCGGTCGCGTTTCCATCACCAACAACGAGATCAACGGTGCCACCGCCTGGTCTGCCACCTGCGATGGTCACCACTACTGGGGCATGTACTTCACTGGCAGCTCCGACATGGTCACCCTCAAGGGCAACTACATCCACCACACCTCCGGCCGCTCCCCCAAGGTCGCTGGTAACACCCTTCTCCACGCCGTCAACAACTACTTCTATGCCAACTCCCAGCACGCTTTCGAGGCCGACTCTGGTGCCAAGATCATCGCTGAGGGTAACGTCTTCCAGAACGTCAAGGAGGCTGCTCAGTCTGGTCTCCCAGGCAAGGTTTTCGCTGTTGGCTCCAACGGCTCTGCCTGCAAGTCTGCTATGGGCCGCAACTGCGAGCCCAACGCTTACGGCAGCTCTGGCACCATGACTGGCTCTGACACCAGCATCATTGCCGGCATGAAGGGCAAGAACATTGCCGCTGCCGGTACTGCTGCCAGCGCCAAGAACGTCCAGCAGACCGCTGGTTACGGAAAGATCTAAGCGACTCTGATGGAGTCAGCTATCGCTTAGAGGAGAGTAACTTCATCTGTTCTTGTATATACATTCTATTACTTCGTACATATTCCGTTTAAATTGGAGATTTTTTGTTGTCCTCCATTGAAAACCTCCCTGTCCCTGAATTTCTAGTGTTCTAGTTCGTTACTATGATGAGTGTTGAGATCTTCTCTTGATGCTGCCCTATGAGCAACCGTTCATTTGCGCTACCTTTTTCGATAACTCCATCTTTTTATCATCTTGTCTACCGATAACGCCAATCGAAATACGTTGTGTGCGCCAAAGGGAGCTTCAAGCGTAAGAGAAAGGGTGAGTAGTAGAAACAATGACGTAATACGGTACACAGCGGAGCTTCATATTTACCTACCCGCTTAGACGCTCTGATACGACATTTTATAAGGGAAAAAGTACTCAAAGACACACAAATTGAGAAAAGAATACTGATGAGTAGAGTCTGAAATGACACATGTCATTACTATTTTACCTTGTAGGATATGTATGGCTAAGAGGCTGGAGAGGAGAAAGCGATACGAGTCCAAAGATATTTTCCGAATATTCCGCATCCGCGAACTTGGCTACGTTGAACTAGCCAGAAAACAATAGAAGTTGACGCAGACATTATGGTAGCTAGTCCGTGGCCCGTCATGTTGATATGAGCAGGAGACCTGCGCTTTCCATATCATAATCGGTGCTGTTCGAAGTTAATATAAAATGTGCACGTGGCGAGTGTGTTGCCTGGCGGCGCTACTACGGTCCGCTATTTGGGGTATTCAATCTCTCTTCCTGCATCTGGATGCATCTCACCTCTGTCTATCACATTCCGGGTACCCCCACTATTCGACATAGGCTCAAACGCACCAACATGGTGACCGAACGAGACTGCGATTCAATGTAAGCTATTTCGACCACTATTATCGACTCACTAACATCGACCCAAGTGCTGCGCAAAACCAGATCTCCTCCCCACTGCTTCGCCTACCAGCAGAACTTAGAGACCGCATATACAAAAAAGTTTTCGCTCCACGGATTGCACGTGTCGTCCCTCGATCGGTCATCAAGGGTTACACGACATGGCCCTTCACGGCCCTTCATGTCTGTCGTCAAGTCCGGCACGAAGCCAAGCCGATCATGTTTGCTAGTATCACCTTCGACTTTCGGGCACTCGAACCAATTGTCGATCCCGCCGCAATTCTTACACTGGGATCCTTTGAGGCCATTGTAGTGGGATCAAACTTGGTCTGGTACGTTTCAAATGCGATGGGGTACAGCGGGGGTTATCCGGAGCGCTTTAAATCACTGCAGAAAGTTTATTGGGGCACTCTTCAATCCCCAATTAAGTTATTCTGGAGGCGCGGATCGGGTGGCGTTGTCACTCTGTAATCTTTCTACAGAGAAGGCATCCAACTGAGACAAATTTCTCGCCACTGCGGGATGAAACCTCAGCTCAGATGTTCAGGAATTATGAGGGATGTAAAAAGCCAGGTTCATATGCCGGTCCTGCTTCAACGGTAGTTGATTTGTTCGGACAATAGCCGGCGCATTAATATCAATGACCATATGCGGTAGTAATAAGTTGCAATGAGTATGTGGGGCTCCAGGATATAACTCAACCCTCATTTTCGCGTGTAACGCCGCAACAGAACACGCAAAACTGTAATGCTCGTCATGTTGTTCTCTATCTTTCTATGTCTCTTCTTCCTTCTTAGTGCAGTCTTCGTTGATGCAGCGCTCGATGTAAGTACCCTCGCTCGCGAAGTAGTGCGCGTCGAATCGGTGCGACAAGTCAAAGACCTCCAAAGGCAGTTGTGCCACTTCGCACAGTATGGGCAATGGAATAGCATCTCTCAACTTTTCAGTATCAACAGCACCCTCATCTGGGGCAACGTGACCGCTCATGGTCCGGCGTCAATCGAAACATGGCTGCGCAACGATTCTGGTGACATGAACGGCTTGGTTTCTGGGTCTCTCAGTACAATGATCGTCGAGACCCCTGTGGTTAGCTTGAGCATTGACGGAAAGCGCGCGAAAGGACGCTGGAACGGCATCTGGTTCCAGGGCGACGGCAAGGGTGGAACGCGAATCCAGGGCGGAGTATACGAAAACGAATACATCTTGATGGAAAATCGGTGGCATATATCGTTGCTACACTACTACGACATGTACAAGGGTGATTACGAAAACGGTTGGCATAATGTTAATGGCAAGGGCATCTCGATAGTTCCGTATCATTTCACAGCCGAAGGGTCTGGACTACCGATACCGCCGGCAGTGGGAGACCCTGAACCGTACAATGGGACCATCGAGCGACTAGGAGCTAGGATCCAGAGGCTGAACGATGAAGACGATGTTCGGAACTTGATGCATGCCCATGGCTACTACGTTGATCGAAGGATGTGGTCAGATGTCGTAGATTTGCATACTGCAAATACGACTGTACGCATTGGCAATGAAACTGCACTAAGAGGTAAGGCTGGCGTCAGGCAATTCCTCAAACGCATGGGTCCAGAGGGCTTGACGCAAGGGATCAACAACGATCATCCAATCTTCGACATGATTGTTGAAGTGGCAGAAAACGGTAGAGAGGCTACAGCTCGTGGTACCGAAATTGCCATGCTGGGTGATGTCAACCGCCAGGTTGCCTCATGGGAATTTAATGTCTTCAGGAACCGGTTTGTGAAAGAGGATGGGGTTTGGAAGGTCCAGGATATTGTGGTGGCGCCACAGATCGTTGCTGATTACTACATCGGGTGGGGACAAGGTGGATTGAAGCCCTCAGATGCAGTTATCCCGCCATTCTCGAATGTCACTAGTAGTCCTGTGGCAGAAGGGAGTACGACACGTTCGACAAATGTGACAGTCAACGACCTTAAGCGCCGCCTCCAACGTAGTGCAGCCTTTGACGGTACTGAGAACGTGTCAAATTCTTACGGCTATTACGCCGACGATATCCTAGGGGAGCAGCTGGGCGAGCTGTTCGCGAAGAATGGACACAAAGCATCGCCATTCGCAGGATTTTTTCATACCCCCGAACGAATAACTGGAGCAATGAAGGCATCGTATGGTACGAACCGTTCGGCACTCCGATCTAGCATATCTTTCCACTGGCGTCCGCAGCCTGTCATCATCGTCTCAGAAGATGGCCGATCGGCAAGCCTGCGAGCGAGATTGTTGCAGCCTTCGACGTCCGTCAACAAAGCGGGCAGCTTCAATTCTGCCATATACCAGGACCAAATCGTTTCTGAAAATGGAAAGTGGAAATTTTGGAGTGTCACAATAGACGAGTTCTACTGGCAGTCGTCGTCCTGGAAAAGTGGATGGAGCATGGCGACTCAACAGAATTCAACCCAACCCGATCCTCCTGCATGGACGAGGAGGTATCCACCTGACCTCACCATAGCAGATGTCGGAGACAGGGAGAGTACGTTTCGCGGTGGAAGTGGCCGATTCATCCAGTGGCCTGAGATTCAAAGAATGTGGTTTGGGTATCGGAACTCCGTCAGCGGGCGGAAGCCTGAGTGGTACTGGCCTGGCTGTGTTCCATGTGGAGTTCGGCCAGACTGGTCACTGGAGGCAAATGGATGGCAGGAGCCGTGAGCTGCTGGCCCAATGTAGGAGCTAAGTGCACAAGTCCTATTCATGTGTTGTCAAAAAAAAAAACGAAAGCGATAAGATGATACCAACCTGTGTTGGTTCTTTGATGCAGTGCCGCTTTAGGATGGTGCGAAGCAGCGCCTTACCTGCTACCTAACCAGCAATGTGAACGCTGTACGAGGCTGGCAGTACCAGCCACCCCAGTTTCCCCGCTTTGTACCTGCGTTTTGCGTCGAACCCGAAATGATGATGTATGCTTGCAACAGGTATGGTGTCGGGTTCGACGGCAAGTCGACAAGTAGGTAAGTCTTGGCAATACCATCCACAGATGCCGGCTGCTTCCTCACAGGGGCCTGATGACGTTCTTCAACCCCAACTAGAGCTATGACATTCAAACGTTGCCAATCAAAACCAGATCTTCTTTACGCCCAGCTAGGCGACCAGCGAAACAAACATCAAGCGCGATTTTCCAGTCGACGAAGGCCTCGGAGTCGCTGCCGTTTATGCGGTGAAGCCCGCGGCGCGTGGCTGACACGCTACCCATCTAGGTCGGTACGGCAAAGACATCAGGCATCTCACAGCGCAGACAGCGCGGGTGTCTGAATGAAACTCCACGATACGAGGGACTCTCATCGCATTCAGTCGTCAAAGTGACGGGTCTATGGTGCGGATCAAGCGTAGCGTAGCCTAATGATGTCTGACATGGCAGAGGATCGTAGAGGCGGGTCATGATGCGCGCCGAGACCCGCACAAGCTTTTAGACATCCGCCTGGTAGTTGGAACGGCGCAGCAGGAAACGGACGAGCGTCGCGCCTTATTTTAGGTAGGCCATGCCCATGTACTTGCGGGCTGCTATTCCGCTTTTTGGAATCTGGCCATCACTTGCGACGTCCTGCCACAGTGTAGGACCGACCCCTGAACGTCAACATGCTTCAATACGACAAGATTTTGAAATTCGCCCTGGTGCCGTCAATTATCTTCTTCCTCATATCCCTCGTCTCGGTGGCATTGACGACGCATTACTGGATCCTTACAGATTGGGTCATACCACGCGGTCTCAAAGTAGTAACAAGCAATTTCAACGACCGACTGCAACAGTACGAGACAGACGACACAATCGTTTACTTCAAGGAGTCCTCGACAGACGCGACTATCGTTTCTGGATGTCTGAACTTGACGGCGGCTGTTGTAGCTCTTATTGCCTGGAGTACGTTGCGCAAACCAGATATGGACTCGCAGTACAACATTGTACGTATCTTTGAGGTCGATTTGATTAGACAAGACTGACCACCTTCAGAGCACACGTCGCTTTTGGATGCTTAGTATTATTGTTACCACTCTTGCTGGATCTGCGACTGCTCTTTCAGCCGTCGTGCTTCACTATACCGAACGAGGCGACGACCAGTGGGGCTGCAGTTCCGAGCGATTGATGATGAGCGGCAAACTGAACACGAATCAGTACTGTACACGCGAGATGGCAGCTTGCAACTATCAACCAGGCTTCGTGCCAAGGGGAGACCGCGAGAATACCAGCATAGCTTGCACCGAAGCGGTCAGTCGCTCGTGCCATGTCGCAGATCACCCACTGACATATTATCAGGTAACTGTGAAATGGTTGCAGATCGTCATGATCGTGAATGCTCTGATAATACTGGTGATGTTCTCTCTCCAAGCACGTCTCCGAAGAAAGTCACGAGAAGCACGATTGAACGAACCGGTACCGGAGGAAAAGACGGCACCCTGATGATGGCGGCATCCTTATGCGATACGATATTTACGACATACTCACGAACTTTTACGACACACTCCTTTCACGAATTCAGTCAACTCAAAGCATTGCATTATCATCGGAGTTTGGGCTGCAGCCAGGAACACTTTCTTGTAATTGACAATAATGATTGCCAGGCTGAGTCATGGTCATAAACCTTGGAAGTAAGAGCGGGAGCGATTTCATAGGCAACAGTTAACGCGCCTCATATCAAACGGTTCTCGATGTCTCGCGCATAGTTCATTGCTTGACAAATTTCCAGCTATAGTGCTCTATTTCCATTCCAGATGCAACTGGTCATTCCAGCATCCGTGTTTCTTTTCGACGACCGGCTCGCTGCGGATGGGGCGTCATAGCGGCTGCAACACTAATATCAGTAGAACATCTGACTGCTGCTAGTCCAACAACTAGCGTTGGACGGACAGAACAGTCGGCATGTGTTCTTTAGCGTCCTGCGACGTCAGCGCTCGAAGCGGAAGTTCGAGTATACAGAAGCTAGTACGCTTTGGGCTGTGTACTACGAACATGCAGCCTGAAGGTATACGCTGCAATCAGAGTTATCATGCTGGAAACTAATAACTATTGTATATGCCTAGGGCCTATTTTGTGCCGAAGACAGCCCTGAGAGTGCGGCATGTGCAGCCTACGTCGTTCACCACGTTTTTGGCCAAATGCGTGTTCAGAATGAAAAAGGGATCTTTCAATAGCGATGGCGAGGAGGAGTAACGTAAAATGAATCCAGGGTGGTAGAACTCAGTGAGGTGAGCAGTGAGGTCGTCGCTGCCTCGTGCCTGCCTCGCCGGCATGAAGCACATGGCTGCTTACGTACTCACACTGCTCCTGCTCACAACAGCAGTTGTTTGTACACAGAGCGCGTCAGGTAGCAACTCTCATTTGCTCTCAATATCTACCGTCACGAACCTCCTCATCATGGCCCCACACCCTCTCTTTCCCAACCTCGAAGCGTCTGTCCTCATGGACAATCGCCCCGTTGTTGAACTGTATGACCATGAAGATGCTAATCTCCAAACCAAGATAGTCTACATCGAGTCTGAAGCAGGCGAGCAGTTCAGTGTCCGCTACTACATCCCCGGTTACCTCTTCGAGCACCATAGCATCAAGGCCATAGTCAGCATCGACGGTGTGGATATGCGCAAATTCATCTTCGAGAAGCGCAACTACGGCTACTACGGTGTCTCGAGGCACATTTATGCCAGCAGCGCAAAAGCAGGCCGTAACTGTATGGGCCAGCGCTTCCGCTTCGCCTCTCTGGATACTCGTGAGTGTAGCTAGTCAGCGTTCCTGCCACATGGCTAACGTGTCTAGACGATGAGAGGAGCGCAATCGAGCACGAGCTCCAGGAGCAACTGGCACACACGGGTACCATCTCCATAGCATTCCACAAAGTCACCAATGTACGCATGGCGGCTGCATGGAAGGATGTCCCGTCAATGTACCAGTACGACAAAGTCCCCGAGAAGGCTTTGAAAGGCTCATCCGTCTCGCACAAGACTACGTACGTATTGCAAAGCTGGCTTCCTGTCATGCGCTAACAATCCTGACAGCCTCGACCCGCCTGAGCGCATCGCACCTGTCAAGTTCATGGAGGCTGACTACGTCGATGGAGAAGGTCGCCCGTTCGCCGTCATTGAGTTCAGATACCGCTCTGCAGCTGCTCTGAAGTCACTCGCCATTCTCCCCCGATCATCGAGTCCAGCACCAGTCAAGGACGTGGTCTCAGAAGAGGAGGTGAATAAAATCTACGTGAGCTTCCTATACCCTCTGTTCTCTAGACAGAAACTTACCGGATACGACAGCTCAAGCAGGAAGAGGCCGAGACACGCAAGCGAGACCGTGCCGATGACGATGGTGATGACGGAGACGTTGAGATGGTGAATGAGAGGCCCGCAAAGCGACGTTGCTTCCCAACCAGCAACGATGAAGTCATCGAGCTGGACTGAGTAGGCTTCGTACATATGATATGGGGTTTTACGGCAGGCAGAGCACATGATCTGCAGAATACGTAGCATCCTTGCATAAGCAACGTTCAATATGATAGTATGGCATGCTGCAGACAGGCTCATCTACCGAAAAGACGCTCGCTAATATAAACTAACAGGCTGAAAGACACTTCGTGGACAGACCCGTAATTCATTACCATGGTCTCCGTTTCATCACATCTCTACATATGGCACCAATGTATCCATAACCTTAGTCAAGTGCTCCAGCACATGCCCCACTTTAAGTACATCCTCATCCTTGGTCGCTCTTCCGAATATGTATGCCGAGAACGGTATTCCAGGTGCGACGTTGACCAGGTGGTTTCTAGAATCCTTCTCTATGTGCGTATCTATCGGAAACACCCCCATCGGCACGCTCATCACCGGACTTCCTGCTTTCGCAGCAAAGCTCTGTATGGTGACACTCAAGGTAGGTAGAATCATAACGTCGCAATGATTTGTACACAAAGCTGTCTCGATGCCACCTTCGCCTGTGTAGTAGTCGTCTTTTGCTAACATGGTCCTGTAAAGCAACCCGTTCAGATCGGAGGCTTCCGCCCTCTCGAGACCTTCGACATTCCGCCGCGGGTATTGCTCCGCTGGATGAGCCTTCGTAAAGGTGATGAGATCTTGGAGATTGTGGATTCCGTTAGGATTTGTCTCGAGGGAAGAGAGGTATGAGCTTATCGCAACCTTCATATCTGTGTCCAGAATAATGTTTTTAGCTTCTGGTGAAAGAGCTTCCCAACTCGAAGCACCAGTAATCTGGAAGTCGTGGATAATGGTAGCACCTGCGTTTTCTAACAATGTGAGCGTCTTTTCAAATGCTTCCTTTCTACACCTAGGAAGGTTTTTCAGTTCGCTAAGATGATGAGGGACGCCGATGCGAATGCCGTTTAGATGAGTGCTTGAACATGCACTGTTCAGATTTTGCAACAGCTTCTGCTTTGTTGGCGAAGGAATATGGTCGCTTTGCTGCACAAGACCAAGGACGAAAAACAATGTGTCAGATACAGTACGCGTAAGTACTCCAACAGTGTCGAGTCTTTTGGATGCGTGAATTATCCCCTTTGAAGAAAGAAGACCGCGCGTAGGCTTGAAGCCCACGATACCTGATTTCTCGGCCGGAGAAACAATGGAGTAGCATGTCTCCGTGCCTAGCGCTGCAAAGCACATGCCCGCTGCAACCGCTACGGCACAACCTCCCGAACTACCGCTGGCCTTCATGCCTAGGTGGTAAATGCCTGTAGTCTGACCTCCTCTAGCACTCCAACCTGAACATCCACTCGTAGACCGGAAGCCTGCCCACTCAGCCATATTTCCTTTGCCCAGTACTATAGCTCCCGCCTTCCGTACCGCTTTCACAATTTCACTTTCCTCAGACGGTCTGGCATCTATCAAGGCAACACTGCCACATGTTGTGGACGTGGCGTCAAGAGTGGGCATATTGTCCTTCAAGAGAATAGGCACACCGTGTAGCGTGCCTCGAGCGCCGTTTGTTAGTCTTTCAACATCGAGGAGGTGGGCCATGGATGTGGCGTCTGGGTTGACTTCTGCCACCGCGTGAAACTGGGGGTTTAGTTCACGGATACGGGTAAGGTAGACTGAGGTCAGCTCAAGGGCTGTGAAGAGGCGGTCTTGGAATGCTGTCCGAATCGTGAGATTGTCGAGACCGGCGAGAGGTAGGATGTTTGGACGGGTCTTGGTGGATCCGCTAGCTTTTTGGGTACCTGCAGTCATGATGGGTGGAGTTGATGTGTTTGCAGATCTGCTCACGGACATATTGACCTGGCAAGTTCGCAGTATTTCTATAGCGCTGAGGAAATCTATTTGTATACTTAGGGAGACAGTAGTACCGATGAAGAGATGGGTAAATATACATGTTTAGTTGTGAAAGATTGAAGAGCCAATGTTCACACTGGTCTTCTTGAAGATCATTGTGAAATATAGCTTCGATGCTTCAAACGCGCCATCATATTTGCCATATCGTTGTGGGTTCTCTTCCTTCACATTGCTCAGTCAAGTTCTATGACCTCCGTCTCATCAGTTGGTATCTGTCTGACGCGTTGCTGCTTCTTCTTTCTACGCAGGTCGAACGAACGTATCTCGATGAAGTCGTCGTCACATGTTGCACTCAGGCCACTGGATCCGTGATCATTGCCTCCTATGGTTGAGGTATCGGATAGCTCGCGTTTCATGCGTACACGGGTCTCTTCTTGCTCCTAGTTCATGTCAGCGCGTCAGATACAGACACAGGGTAACAGGTGACCCACCCTGAAGCGCCGCACAATAGCTTCTAATTGTTCCCTATTCAGTTGTCCGAGAACCGTGTCATCACCATAGAGGAAGTCGACTGGGTCGGGCGTGCGTTCGATAATGTGTAAATCCTTAAGTGCAGCTACGAATTATATGGTTAATCCGCTAAAGTTCTACTTTGAGGGCAAAACTTACCAAGCGAGCGATAGTAAAAGTGAAATGTTGCGAATGGCTCCCCTCCGTCGGCATATTCGGCATCGTAATACTCAATCTCTTCCGCGAGCTCCGTCTCTCCAAGACTGCAATCACGTTAGCCCGTCCCGATGTCTAGCGCGAATTATACCGACATTGCCTGATGCGACAGCGACTCGCCCTTGATAGCCTTCTTGTTGACTGTGTCCAATTTCTCAAGCTCCTTGTGTACAAATTTGGTCTTTGCACTGCGTCTCGCGTTGTTGAGGAAGTAGAACTCGCAAGTAATAATACCAACGAGCCGTATCTTCTTTTGTAGATCCTCCGGTATAGGATCTTCGCTGCATTCCCCTGTAAATACATTAATATGCTGTGTTGCAAGAAGCAAAGACATCCTACTGATATCAAGTGGTGAGAAGCGATATGGCTTTATCGACCAATTCCTACCATCGTTCGAGATTGGGCCGGAACTGACATGGCCTTCTTGGTTGTATAGCTCACAGGGACGAATAAGAGGTTCATCGATGTCCTTGCCGTCCATTGTCACGATCATAGATACAGGGCGGTCGACGGGAAACGGCGCCTTGAACGAGTAGTGAATCTCGAAGGCCGAATTTGAATGCACTTCGATGTAGCTTTCCGAAGTGGCTTCCGATACGGCTGCGTGCTGGTCGACATACTCGCGAAGTGGGTTTCCATGGACGTAGATCTGAACCTCAAGCCCTGGGACTTCATGTACAATTGCCATGGCGCCAGGCACAAATTTATGGCAACAAAGGAAACGAAGAGTGATAGTAGAAAGACGTCCGTGTGAGTGGTAACGTTGCCAAAGATATATTGAAGGTGTTTTCTGTGGAAGAGCCTTCACCTCAAATGAGGATGGAGGCATTGGCGGATGGAACGTGAGGTGAAGGTGATTATCAGCAGGTGAGAGACGGTAATTCTGAAAATCCTCATCTCCGACGCGTCACTGAATTGCGCGTCCATAGCCATAAGATGTAATTTGGGCATGCTAGATTCCTCGATGCCTCCCTTCTAGCGACCTCGGCCTTAGTGCGAACACCACAGGCCCCACTCAACGATAAGTAGGATGAAGGGATGTAGAACGCGGTGGGATATCTGAGAAATGTGAGAAAAATGAAGTGAGGAAAATCGATCGACCATGTCACTGACAGTGCCCCAACTCTCACGCTTGCGCACCATCACAAGCACTAAACCCGCCATGTTGGCCAGTATTCATCGACCTGATTACTTGAAGCGCTCAACAATCCAGAGTTACCACCTCATCTTTAGCCCCAGGGCCACGGCATACCTTCTTCGGCTGACTCCTAGTCCACTGAACTTCGTCGTCGCCTAGGAGGGTGGTATCACCGGCCTGGCTTTCTTCTTCGCCTTCGCGCTTGATCCTGATCGCGTTTTGCCTCTTTTCCTGTGACCAGTCAGTCATAAGTGTACAATCGTTTCTACGATATTCTATCACTTACGCGCACGCGCTTGAGCTCCGCCCTCATCTCTTCCTCAGTCATGTCTTCCGGATCTTTGTCCTCATCCTCATCCTCTGACTGCTGTGATGGGCTTGGAGTACGCGGGATAATACCAATAGACTTGAGCGCATCTGCACGGTTATTAGCAGGCTAAATGACTTGGCCTGACATACTTGTGACTGACCAATTGATCTATAGAGAAAAGTGAAGGTCGCAAAAGGCTCATTTTCTGTAGTCTCTACTTCGTTGAAAGTGATGCTGTCGCGCTGTACTGGTATGGTGAGGCTATTGGGCATGTCAGTGCCGACGCTTTTCATGGGTGTTATAAGTATACCTAGTGTGGTGAGACAATGCATCACCCTGTGCTGCAACTGTTTTGTGTAGCGCCTTTTCACTGAGAGAACCAAACTCGTTGTTCGCAAGCCGAGGTACTTTGGCTGGCTTCACTGCCTCTAGATGCTCAATCAAGTAGAAGTAAAGCACGATGCGACCGGTAGTTGACAGCCGGTCAGCAACCTCTTTGGTGGCCGGGGTATTGGTCTCGTCTTTTCGTAGTCAGCTAATACCAAGGAAGATGCCGATTAACAAGAGCTCACTAGTCTTTAGCTCGGCGAATTGGAAGCCTTGAGTAAAGCTACGTCCACCAGCGAACGAAGTAGATCTCGAGCACAAGTATCCCTCGCAGCCTTCTTTACCACCCCATTCAATGAATGGAGCTTGCACGTAGTTGCCATCCAGAAGTATATCCATTTGAATGGCTGAAGGAGGGGTGAATGGTGGACGATAAAGATAGCGGATAGAGAAGTCGGTAGCTGGTGGCGCTTCGATGTATTTGGTAATTGAAGTCGTAACCTCGCCGCCCTCGAAGCCAGCATATTCATGTTCTGGTAGCGCTAATGCGTCAACCTCGACAGTGACCTCAAGGCCTGGGATACCGGCTGTGATAGCCATGGTATTCGTGAGTGTGAAGTGCAAAAGAGTCGTGACAGGAAGGTAAAAGTTAAAACAACGATTATATGAGTTACAGTCAGCTAAGATTTTCAAGCTGATTAAGCAAGTGAGAGAAATCTATACCGACAGGGAAGATGCGGACCAAATAAGATGTTGAGAGGAGAAGATTTTTGGAAGACATAAAAGATTCGCAATCGACAGAAATGCCTCTAGTAAATCACTATTGTCAGGGTATATCTTCAGGCTGTAGCCTAATTCAAATCAACAATCTCGATACCGTCCTCGTTTAGAGTGATGGGAAGCCTTCTGCGCTCAGCAGATACAAAAGAGACGTTGTCATCATCCTGATCCTCCATGACAGCGGTACTGCTTCGTTACCGCTTGAAGCTTTCTCGCTTGACACTTGGCGCGGCGTCTTCTCGTCCACGATGACGCCGAAGTAGTTCGTGAGACTCCTCTAGAGTAAGGGTATCAACGTCACGATCTTCGAGCGGTACTGGACTGCGATTGCGGGGGATGATGAGAACAGACTGGATGGCAGCTGTATATACTTTAGCTGCATGATTCACGGGGTCTAGAATCAGATTCACTTACCCTTAGACCGATACTTAAATTTGAAAGTGATGAAGGGCTTGCGACAATTATCCATGTATTGGCATGTCAGCTGCGTAGTCTTCGGTATAACTTCTGGAGCACGCAGACTAGGATTGTTTAGTCTATATTGCAAGCCTCCTATGCGTATCTCTCTTTATGTTGTTTGATCGGACAAGGCTCTGCTCTTCAGAGCCTTCTCCGGTATGTTGCCAACGTCCGAGGTACTCAGTGCAGATACCTCCAGCTTGCTGGAATTGCGAAGGTTCCTGACGAAGAAACCATGGACCTTAATCTCTCCCATCTCTTTCATGTCTCTCAAAAGCTAATCTCCAGCGGAACGGACATCAGAATCATCCGGGAGGAAGTCAGATCTAGCGAGCTCAAGCGTGTTGGGAGTAGGGAAGGTGTGAAAGTAAGCGTGGGCGTGAGAAGATGAGTGAATGGTGAAAGTGTTGAAGTGAGTCCTCAGGATAAGGGTCATTGGGATTACACGAATACTTGGGTTACACAACAGTTGGGGCTACACCAGCGTCTATCGTTACGTGAATACCACTGTATCTCTGAGACGAGGCGCTAAAGCGCGTTGCCACGCGAGCGGTCCAAATACTGAACCTCACGGAAAAAGCTTCAGAAAGCTCGACAGTTCTGGGTCGAACGCAAACTGTCGTGGAATGGCTCCACAATTAGCCTAGATGATACAGTGAGCATTTTCAAAGTCCTCAAGAAGTCACATGCAGAAACTCGGTCAGCGTATATACAAAAAGTCTATTCTTCTCCAAACTCCAATCAGGGTTTCCGCCTGTACATATACCGTCCGCTTCCAGATGCTCTTGCAATACAGAACACCATTCCTTCCTCCAAAACAAAGTAAAAAAAGAGCGCAATCCGTCGAACAGTAGCCCAAGCCGGGTACATGATTTGTAATAATGTCAAAACATTACGCCAAGTGGCGAAACAGGGCACAAAGATCAAGGTTCGGGTCTGAAAATGATTCGCAGCCGGTACGCCAGTGCAATGATATCCGCCCGCCAGATGCTGTTGTACGTTAACAAAAACCGAAGGAAACGCTATGCAGTCGTTATCATGGGAATATGCCTCCATGCAATGGTATCATTCGCGGTTGTGGATTAGGCCGTAATTGTTGGAAGATCGCCATGGTAGTAATGCTGTGATGGATGCGAGGTAATGTGGGGAGGGCGATGGCGGTCGATGGTCCGGTAAGGCGTTGCTAGATGCCAGAGAAGCAGCCATGTGTTCAGGGAGAAAAACCTGGGTCCACTTCGCTGTCGGCACAGCTAGTGCCTGGTAGTTGTCGATCTACCATGCACCTATGCTTGCGGGAGAGCCGGTCCCATAGTTTCCACTCAACAACTGTTGGCGAATGGACATGGCATCGTTGGACCCGCCTGCAGCAGGGTTGGGCGTCTCTGTGCCCATCCAGCCGAGGCCTCCACGTAGCTCGTTGACTGCTTCCTGCATCTTTCCGCCCGAAATCTCATTGTGCTTCGCAATCTTCTGGTCCCATCCGCCATATTGTAGCTGTATTCCACCTGCCTTCTTGGCTGCCTCCTGGATGACTATGGCCCACGCTTTTGCCATTTCCTCGTATGCCTCCTGCTTGTGTCGGTTGTGTTGATAAGTGTCCCAGTTGGGCAAGCGATGGATGATCTCAGTGGCGCCGTCAAGAAAGGCGAGTGATGTAGCGGATTGATGTTCGTGGGGCGGAAGGAAGTGAGGTGTGAAGTCTTTGAGCGAGTCGAGCAATTCGTCAAGCTGTTGCCGCACCCGGTTGTATGCGTAGTCGGACGACGCACGGCCGCCGAAGGGGAAGGCAGCCTGAAACGCCGCCTCGTACTTTGACAGAACCTCCAATGTTGACTGTATGCTTGGCCGCGGCGCGGTGGTGACGACCTCGTTGCCGATGTCAGGGTGGCGCTGGCAGATGGACTGCAGGAGGTTGCGCATCTCGTCGGGGCTCAGGGTCTCGAGGAGGCGAGGCAGAGGGAGGGGTCGGCCTGAGATGTTGGTCCGCATGCGCTTCATGCCTCGCGGCGCAGGTCGTGGGAGTACGGCGGGCGATGTGGATGGCGATGCACTCATGCGGTCGTCGTCTCCGGCGCTGCCATCGTCCTCGGCTTTCCGCTTGCGGCCTGTCATTGCGGGCGTGGGGGCGAAGACTGCAGAGGGAGTAAAGTCAGTAGCCGACACGGGGTTGCGTTGTTGAGAGCAGCGAGCCGACTTACGGTTGCGGGTGGGAGAGCGGCGGTTGTTGTTCAAGAGATGAGGGGGCGTGAAGGTCTGGTACTGTACGCTCATGACGAGGAAGGGCCCGCAAACGCAGTGAAATCGCACGCCTGCTTTGTTGGGAGCCGGATAGCGATGTCTTGAGGATGATGCAGAGGGCGAGGCTCTCGTTGGGTCGGCCGTAGAGCGGTGTCAGGTGTGTTGTTGTTGCCGTGGTGGAGACAGCAGAGCCATACGAAGGCCCAAGAATATGCTAACAGCTATGTCCGTGCACACAGCCAATCACGTCACATGTCACAGATATCCAGCGCAACACTTTCCTTCTCATCTGGAGTTGAGCTTGTATCTTCTCTCCGCTTTTGCTTCATCCTAAAAGTTGCCCATTCACGTTTTGACATCGCGTGGTTGCCTGTTGGAAAAGCAAGGGCAGCGGCTACGGCGGCACTAGCTACATCACATCACATCACATATCACCATGCATATCAGAGAGAATGTATCTACGTGGGGGATCCTCCACCGTGGTGCAAGCCCACAGTATCAGATCTAGTGAATTTCTATCCAGGACGCACTCACGCCTTGCTTCTCTTCTGAGATGCATAGCGCCCAAGGCTCCTTGCGTGCGCCTGAGACATGGGCATGTCCGGTGGCGCTTTGATTCAACCGCATAAAGGAGAACGCCATGCGAGTGCCACACTTACCTGCTCGAACAATGATGCTATCAAAGACTCCCACCAACACCGTAATATACAAAACGTGCTCCACAAATTATAGATACAGGGACTGGGCTGCGACCAGATCCCTACGGACAAGCTCCAGTGCTGCCGTGAACTTTTGTTCAAGCTCTTCGCTGCCCATGACTTTGGACGCTTGAGCTATTTGTCGGAGCAGTTCTTCCAGTCGCCTGAACAGACGGATGAGACTTCCCTCGTACACGTCCGTCATTTTGCTGCAAACGTTAGTCGTTGTTCAATGCGGATCAACCGAAGCGACATACCAAATCTCTGCGAACGTCGCACCCTTGGACCAGGCGTAAACGACCTCCATCAGCTCATACTTGAATGACTTGAGGTACTCCTCTTCGTTGACAGTCAGCTTGCTCTCTTGTGACATCTTCGCAATCACCCTAGCCTGCTGCTGGATCTCGCGATACGGTTTGGCAAGCTCTTCCTTGAGCGCCGGCACTTCCTGCGTCTTCTCCTCGAAGATGAAACAACTGAGACAAGCAGCACACTGCTCTGGCGTGAGCTCATTGAAGAAACGATTGAAGAGCAGCTCGCTAAGCACAAGCTCATCTCCAGTGCTGATCTCGCAAGCAACACGGGCTTTGAGCTGGACGACGTCCGCATCGTCAATGAAGCCAAGTCGTCGCAACACTCGTTTCCTGCTCTTCAGCTCGTCCATTTGAATGACTGACAGGGCGCTCGCAATCTCCTTCCTGATGTTCTTGATCTTCTCACCGATTGCAATCTTCTGCGCGTATTGGCTGTATAGTTCGGGTAATCTGGGCGAGTTGTGCAGGGGATTCGAGAGCAGGCGGGACTCTAGAACTTCAATTTTCTGCCTTGTGTTAGGGAGAGACATATGTGTATGATGGCAAAGCTTACCCTTAAGAGTCTCTTAAAACTGTCATCCTTGATGTTCATGTTCTCAATGGGATCTAGAATGGCAATTCCGTCGGGGAAGCGCTTCTTGACCTCGCTCAGCGCTTTGCGAACGTTGTTCCTTTGCTCAGTCGACTTGAGTTCGTTGGGCAGGAATACTCGGAGATGGCCAATCGATTCAATGCAGTTCAGGACTACAGGCACAACCTCCATCTTGCCTTTGTCTCCGGCCGCAGGTGGTCGCACACCGGGTGGCAGACCATCGTTGACCGCAGGAACAAACTTGGTATCGCTACTGACGGGCAGTAGCACGTCAACAATGTAGGATTCTTGAGGTTGCAGAACTTCTCCCTTGTTGGCCTTGCGAGCAGTGTACGCTACAACAGCGCCCCAGCCGAAGTCGTAGTCTTTGAACTTGATCTTCACCAATCGACCACCTTGCAAGAATTGCAAGCAGTAGTTGGGCTGCATGATAACATCGCGCATGTCTTTAGTGTGTGTATCCAGCTGCTGCCGCAGATTGTAGTAGTCTTTGATTGCAGGCTCGTCAACAATGTTCGTGTTCGCCTTCTCTTGTTCAAGCTCTTCAAGTTCTACGATACTGTTAGTAGTTGTACCTAGATATCACAGACACAAACTTACGTTTCTCGAGATTGGAGACACCTGCTGTGCTCTGGAACTGGAAGAAACACCTCTCCAGCATAAACTCGGGAGATATGCCCTCAACTCGCATAAGGTTGAGGATCATGTTGTAACCCAAGTGGAAAGCGGAGTTGAGATTGTCCTGTTGACCGCGGACAATTTCCTTCGCCACAGCCGGCTCCATCTGCTCGCCAATCATCATGATGACAATACCACGGTCATCGAGACCACGACGACCGGCTCGACCAGACATCTGAATGAATTCGGAAGGCGTGACCCATCGCTGCGATACTCCATCGAATTTGCGCACACTGGTAAACACGACTGTCTTAGCCGGCATGTTCAATCCAATAGAGAAGGTCTCAGTAGCGAAAAGCACCTTGATCAGCCCCTCCTGGAACAAAATCTCGATAGTCTCCTTCAGGATAGGTAGCAGTCCAGAGTGATGAACACCAATACCCCTTCGGAGTAGGGGAAGGATGTGTTGAATCTGGGGTAGTTGGCGGTCCTCCTCTGAGAGCATCTCGATGGCGCTGTTAAAGACCTTTGTGACCATGGCCTTTTCCGA